TGTTCAATAGGAGTATGTTTTAAGATCACTTCCGGAGAGAACATTATACTTTTAAGCATCACTATAGGGCCCATTTACCGATTTAATGCGTAAGTTAAAACATCTTTTCCCAAGTTGAGAGGACCGCGGCAACCAGCAGACCTCCGCGGGTAATGGCAGCCAGGGCTAACCGCAGTGGGTCTGCAGCAGCCCTCTCTCGCCTAGCCGTGTGTGAAGCACCGCTGGCTATGATGGCGAGTGGGAAATGTGCATTTGATTTGAGTTTATATGACTGTGTTAATTAAAAATTAAGCTTTGTTTTTATTAAAAAAGAAGCTTTAGAATTGCGATGATGGAGTTGGCTTTTTGTTGAATTGGTACATCCCTTGGTAATTAAAAACTGGTTCTAAGCACGTTTTGGATACTGTTAGCTTAAAAGGACAGTAGAGTTAGCATCTGCTTCATACTGTAGCTTTCTTTCGATGCTGAAGTTTTTTATTTGAGTTTGAACTACATTTGATCATCTTTAGGGCAACTATCAAACCAACAGACCTCAATAATTCTATGTTATCTACTATCCTAATAACACTTCAGTGCCATAGGTTAAATATCCAAAACCCGTACTGTTTAGCCCAATCTACCCTTTAAACATTTAAGACTAACCCTTCAAATTGTAAAAGAATTTTACTCAAAATGCTATGTTGGTACAAATTAATAGAATACTTTATATTCAGGCTATTACGTAATATATAATCAGCAGCTAGCTTGTAAAAATGCAGCTAGCTTAGTAGCAAGAGACTTAGGAGTCAAAGCAAAGTTGGGTTTAATTTGTTATAAAGCAACCAAAGTCATTCAATAAAGCAAAAACCAGAATGCGGCCAAACTAACAAAAAGACCTTGAGAAATGTTAGCATATGGTTGGCTAACCTTGCCACTAAAAAATAAGCTATGTTTGTAACTTATATATTGTTTTATATAAATCATTACATGACATGCAGATTTGTAATGACAGTTAACTGAGATTCTTGGACAAATCTCGTGTCTTAAAAGTGCGAGTCCGAGTCAGGCCTCAAGTCTTTGTTAATCTGGGTGACCAGACGTCCCCGATTTCCGGGGACTGTCCCCGTTTTGGACCACCTGTCCCCGGCTAAAGCTGTCCCCGGAAATGTCCCCGATTTTACCGAGGCGAAAAATGTTGCGTGTAGACTGTTATTACGGTAGAGCTGTTGCGCGCAAAAATAGGTATTACGGTAGCTGGTTGCGCAGCTGATAACATAAAGATAAGGAACACAGCGCACCACAATAAGGGCGGTAATGATCCTTTTGGATGTCAGCTGCCATTAAAACACAAAGAAGAAGAAGAGCGCATCACTTTTAAAACAGAAGAAGAAGAAGAAGTGGAAGTTCGTTTTTTACAACCTGTGGCAACTGATGGGGAGCTACGCTGAGTGATGGTAAGTGTGTTAATCAATTAATTTTATTCTGATCGGGCTGATCTTGTGATAAATGTTTGGTTTGTGTCCAGGTTAAAACAATAATAAAAAGTAAGACAAGACCACGAGCTGAGCATGAGTAAAAGACGCTGGGTTAAAATGTAGCAAAATGATTGAAAACTCCTTGTTAGGCGCTAATCTGGTACGCTGGTTCTCCAGGGATCAACAAGGGTTTGTATAAAGATGTTTTAGAATGGATAGGTGACCTTTAGTTTATATTTGAGATAGTTATTATAAGTAGAGTTATTTCAATTTGTTTTGATGATTTATGGTTGTGATTTATGAGCATAGACTTCCAGTTTTTGGTGTGCTTTTTTACTGCTCAGTTTTGATATATATGAAAGTTCCTTGTGAAAAAATAGGAGTCAGTAACAGGAGAACTGAATAAGACAAGATCTACATGATCTAAGAATGATGGAGGAAGAGATAACCACCTGTTTAATGTTCATTTATTATGTGGTTTTTGCTTGTAGCTCCTAATATTGTGGTTATTAGCATTTTTAGTATTTAGATTAGATATTAATAATAATAATAAGTTTTCATGTTGCACATCCTAATTTTTTTGGAGGTGATTTTGATTATATAATGTCTCTGTTTTAGAATAATGTAAGATTGATGCTGGAGGAGTGAGGAAGAAGATAGAAAGACAGAAAGGAGATTGAATGAGAGAGGAGGAAACTAGGAACTCTGATAACCCAGGGCCACTGCCTCAGACCCTGTTCAGTTAATATTTCTGTTTCAAACATTTAAAATGTATAATATGTATTAATAAAGTTCAAGTGATAAAGCGTTGACATGATTTGAGTGATAAACTAACATATTGAGTGATGTAGTGTGCAAAGTATGCTTTGGAACACAGAGTGGCTGTATACTCAGGTTAGTAGGAAAAATGAACCTGCTACTTTGAGACACACAGGCCCCTGATGTGGCTAGGTGACAGTAAGAAACATATATGAACCTTTACCTGCAGGCTTGACTACTACTTGTTTTTTTATGTTAATGAAGAAAAAAAATATTTCTTATAGGTATGTACAGTAGATGTAAACAGAATAAGTATTTGTTGCACTTTTTTGAAGAGGTGGGGGAACTCTGTCTCAACAGACAGCCACAAGCATAGAATAAATGTTTGTATGTACTTTTCTAAATTTCTTTTCCTCATGTCACTCTCCCCTTAGGAGGTGGCAGAGCTCTTTGGGCCCGACAAAATTGGAAAGCCCTGCTAATGACCCTTGACCCCTCCGCTCCCACCCCCACCACTTTGCCCCAACCCAGAGACACAGTTCTAGTTTTCTACTAATAACACTATTCATGTTATTAATCTTAGGATATACTAAACATTTGGAAAGGCACATTCCTGGCTTTTACACTTGATTTTTGTTGTTTAAATATTAATAAATATGTAAAAATATATGAAACCATTACTGTCCCCGTTTCCTAATTTCATCTCGATAAGATGTATTGATTTTTATCCACGAGCAAGAAATGTCCCCAGATTTGATTTCAGAAATCTGGTCACCTTATTGTTAATGTCATTAAATAAGAGTTGTTTGTTCGTTCGTTCGTCTCCGTACCCCAAGATACTTAAACTCTTCCACTTGAGGCAAGAACTTTCCTCCAGCCTGAAGGGGAGACTTGTGTCCAGAATACTCAAGTCACTACGTCAAAACTGGGTATTTCTACTGCCAGAAAGAAGGTTTTGAAAATAATTTACCTTTCAATATTTCTTTTAAACTACATTATAGTGACTAAGTTTGGTTCCTAAACCTTCCCTGCCCGGATTCCCTTTGGTTTATAAGAATGTTTTCACATCCCACACCACCCACAAACCTTTTCACCAGATAATTAAAGTCAATCGGAGTAAGTTTCTTACAATCGCATAAATTGTGATTGAAGGGAGATAAACCATAATCACATCCTTTACATCACAACACTAACACCAATGTCCTTATTTATTTTGACTTTGTTTGACCTTTTCAGGTCTTTAGGCTAAAGTCTTTTTCTGCAAACTCAAAGCAAAACACAGAAAAGCAGCTTTTAGCTCTCAAGCTCCACTAATCTGGAACAAAATCACCCCAAAAAACTGTAAAAGCACTGAAGCATTAAGCTGTTATAAATCAAGGTTAAAAAACAAACCTGTAGAGTGGCCTTTAACTGAGCTATCAGAACATTATTAGTTTAACTTTATTTTTTAAATCATCATCTTATCATTTGAATAATTGGATTCTATTTCTTCACCTTCAATACTTATTTAATGACCATTATGACACAGCAACGGACCCCACCTTTTATGTTTTTATTTTCTTGTATAAGATTTTGAATCGATTTCCTGCTAAAATTTTATATATAATACATATTCCTAACCTTGACTTAGTTTACTAAGAATTATCTCAAGTTTTGTGAGCTATATTTTTATCTTTTTGCCCATTAAAGATATTAATGTTTCATTCAAATGCAAACCTATTATCAATTATTCATCCTTAATCTTAGTACACTTTAAACTACTAATATCTAAAAACAAAATATCGATGTGATTCACATTTTCTCTTCCTTTCCTCCTCGAATAAAGGTTTTCAGTCACTGTTGTTGGCTTCGCCATGTCATAAACCTCCAAAATCTAAAATTGTTCTACAAAAGTGGCTGTTGATATCAATGGCCTTACAATGCCATAGAGCAGTGTGAGAACAATGCCCTAGAACTGCAACCTGGCCGGTGGGACAAAGTAAAAGGTGTGTTTTTACAGCCTTAGAAAGCAGGGTGAGCTGACAGACCCCTTAATTATCTCAAAAAAATCTTAAGGCTGGGTTACGCTTCACACACCTCAGTTTGGCATTAAAATCCATGTGGTTTCCACTCTTGTCAGCCCTAGGATGCCATGTAGGGCACAGATTGCAAGCTTACAACACCACACGACATGTAGAAGAAGACAACAAGGCTGTTTCCAACATTTTTCAAAGCCTTTTTCATTTCATCCACGGTCACAGATATTTCTTTCCAAGAGTTGCTCAAAATCTCTCAATAGTATTGATATTTATGGGTAAAAATCAACAGATGTTTATGTTTGCGAACCCTTGCAAGTAGGAACTGTCGCTCGTCCACATTTTTCTTTAAAGGTATACTATATGTTGTTTAGATTATAGAAAATACTGTCAGTTGCATGATTAGATGTTTTCTAACAATTAAATTCAAGAATCAAACCCTGTTGAAGTTTAAGTTACCCTACAGCCACACCTTAAAATGAAGCAGACCCTTCTTTAAATGTTATTGTCAAAATGGATAATAGCTTTCCACACTGTGTGTAGTCAGACTAAACTGAGTGGCAGGTTTGGAATTTGAATCTCAGACAGAGAACCATATGCAGGGAGGGTACATTATGATTTGGATTCCTTGAAGGAATTCATCATAAAATACATAGAATCTGTCCATTCAGATGAGTTTCACTCCAAGTACTCTACAACATCTCACACCCGGTGGTGTGAAGGACATGTGGTGGATGGAAGGATGGATGTTTGGGTCTCACGGAAGCCATACTTGTTCTGTGATCAGAAGATCAGCAAACTGCCAGAGGGGAAGGCATGCACGACACAAATCCAGACAAAGCAACCATTGAGAATAAGACATGTGAGTGTGCATCACAGGTACACCCAAGACATGTAGAATAAGAATGATAGCAAAGAAACACGAGTAAAGCAAATTGGAAATTCATTTTTTGAAGGGAGAGAACTGATGCTCTCATAGTAAAGGCCTGATAGTGATTGTTTTCGGAGATAACATAGTAAAAAATAAATAAATATATATATATATATTGCTTTGAGTTGAACAATAAATATTAAATTTAATATTTAATACGACTTATTATTAGCTATAATGGATTATTAGGTTATTAGTTTTGCCTTTCCTCCTGTCAAAGCAGAACACCTTGTTCCCCGTAGCTTAGACGCTATCCTGCCTTCCAGATGAAATATGGTATAACATAACACCCATGCCCTACTAAATTAACTTTTAATTAACACTTCTATCTGAAATTTAATTTTATTTGGAAGTAGTTTGCTTAAGATGAGCTTCGAATCCTTTTTATGTCTCTCTGGTGAAGCATCTTCAGTCTGTTCCTGGGCCAGGATAAAGACAGTTCAATTAAGGAAGTGTCTATTTTCTTACTTTATGCATGCCATTATTCCCCCCCTCTCCCCCAACAAGGGAATAAAAGGGTTTATGCAACATAAGGTTCAAATCTCACTCCTATTATTAGAATAAAAATCCTAACATAGACTTTGGTTTCATGGCCTTTCATTATGCGCTGTTATCCACATGGTTGCTGTTGGTGAGGCTAAGTCTGGGCGCCATCTTGGCTACATGGGTGACGCATTTCATTAAATTTTTATCTAAATTAAGACAGTTACTGTTATAAAAGATGTCAAGTGAAAACTTTTTAGCTTGACTTTTCACACAAAGGTTAAAAACAACAATTGTCCAAAATGAAAGTTCATAGATGTGCACTGAACATGTTTAGGTTAAATTGGATATCGGTTAAACTTTGTGATGATTTTAGCGGCTAAGTATAGAGAATGACTGGCAACAAATAAGACTTTTTTAGACATTCAGTGGGCACCATAAAAATGTTTATGCCTCATTTAAATTAGTTCTTAAAGATGATAGCTACCGGTTTAACTCCTCCCAGCCAGTAAGTGGCGCACTTGCGCCTGTCTGTCTCGTTTCACCCGTACCGTTTGCAAGCTGGTTGCCAGGCCCGCTAATGATAACTTCTGGTTACGCCTAAGCTCTTTCTAATTTGACTATAACCCGAACATTTACTATTGGTGCAGAATCCTTTCCTTTCGTAGTTTGCATCGTAACCAGAAGTAAATATTTTGGACCCGATAAACTTCATAAAACAATTATTTATATATTTTTTTCCCGGTAAGATTGACAGTTCTCCTAAACCACTCTAGATGTTCTTTAGCAGTATTATTATTTGAACAGTTTATGTTTTTTGATTAAAAAAAAAGTTGTATCTATGGACTTTTGATCTATTCAGGCTGAGATGGCTCAGTAAGTTCAGTACCTCTGGTGCGTTCAAACCGAACACGTTTTGAGCATCAAAAATTATGTAAGTTATTAATTGTTTTTTTATTTACAGGACAGCCATATTTAATCAGATTTTTCTAAAAGCTTGACTGTTTTTAATGACATTTTAATTCCAAAGGTAATTTTTAGTTACATTTTAAATGGTTTAGGATGAAAGCCAACCTACAGTTTTCAAAATGAATTTCTAAATGGGTTTTATGGTTTGCTAAGCTTTCAAGCTTTTTGAAATATTATTTTGTGCTTTCAATGAAAACACAGAGGCTTTAGGAGTTAGTATTTTGAACAGTAACCTTTGTTAGTACTACAGATGTACAAGCAGTGCCTATTGAGACTCACACATCGTCTTTTGATGGGAATGAACTTGCCCTCCACCTCAACCCAGCGGGTTTTGAGCTGGAGTTGCCGGGGCTCCACTAGATTGCCGGCTCCAGCCTCTGAGAGCTGATTGGCTAAGCCCTGCACCTCCTTAAGCTCCTCCTTCTTCTTGTCGAACTCTGAGCCAATTTCCTATTGGACAGAATCAACCGAAAGGTCACTGGCCATTGGCTGGGACCCGGTCGGGTTAAGCACAAAGAGGCATGTAGATGTGCTCAAAAAAAAAACAAATTTCTGCACAAACAACAACTCACAAAGCGACATTACATAATCAGGAGAAGAAATAAATGTAGAAAAAGAAAATACATTTATTTAGCCACTAGCACAGATGTCACTAAGTAGAAGGAGAAATGTAGGCCCAAATAATATGTGGGTTATTAATCAATAAAAAAAAAAAAATTACTTTGACTTAAGACTTTATTTTCACAAAAAGTACAATTCCTGGCAGATACAGAGGGGTGAGTTCTGTATGAGAGGCTCAGAAGAAGCAAGAAGGTGTATGGTAAGGTTGAAGAACAGAGAGATGGCCAAACACACAGACAGGCATTGGGAAATCTCAGTTGTGGAAATGACAGGTGAGTCTACGGCAAGCAGGTAACACTTCTGCTTAGCGAAATGTCATAGTGATCGTCTGAAAGGGAAAGACACAAATATAAAGTCAGGAGGTTTGCTGGAAAATCGGTGAAGTCCAAGTTCTCACACCCGGGAGTTATGTCTTTTTTTTTTTTACCAACACCAGCTGATTTCCTCCGAGTTCGCTGAGCATACATGTTCAAGGTTAAAGTGTTTTAATAAAGAAATTATCAAAGGCACAGAGCAAAAAAGAGAAAATATTCAGCAAATATAAGAACAAAGAACATATTGAAGTCAAGAGAATCTCTGCTCTAATCCGGTCTTAAATAAATTATTTAAAAAGAGAGTCTGAATCTGTTTTTCCTTTTTTCAAGGTCAACTATTGTCTAAAGCTAGTCTTAAAGGTGAAAAAAACAGAAATTAGCAAGAAAACATTAAAAAGATGTGGGACAGAACATGTAAGAAGAGTGAGAAGAGAACAAACATCTATGAAGGGTTTAATGGTTGGGAGTAATAAGTGTGTAGTATGTTTCTGAACGTGGTTTCACCTTGACCCGCTCTCCCTCAGGAGGGTCAGGAAGCTGGTCGACGCTGCGCTGGATGTCATCCAACCAGGCCATCAGGTCGTGGGATTTCCTTCTGTACTGGTACCACTGGGGAGCGATGGCCAGAGCTTTCCTGTTCCTCAGGATACGCAGATCCTACAGACCAACAAATGCAGGCTGAGAGATTCAATAGTCTTTTCCTTTAATGCCACTACTGCAACAGAAATTTGTCCTTTAAATGAAAAGCAACAACTCAACCCTGCTGAAAGACATTTGTATTTAAAGGCGTCTCAGAGGTCTGAGACAATGGACTCCTTTTCCTGAAGCCGTTTTTTGAACGACTCATTTGTCAGTTGCGCCTACCTCAAGGGTCCCTTCTACTTTTATTGGAGTTGTCACACCAACCATCAATAAACTTGAGGAAACGGCTTGAGTTTAAGGCAAACTTTAATGGTCATCCATATGGGACGACAGCGATTGATCAGGACTCAAAAATCAAGGACAGAGGTATCAGCACCCCATCTAGGCGGTAGCCTTTGGCTTTGGTCCAAGACTACCACTTTGGTAAACACCAGCAGCTCCTGACAGCTGATCTTATTTACTGGCAGCTCTCTGTGCCTGCAAGCAACATGTGGAAATTGAGTCCCAGCACTACTATTTGGTCTGACACTTTAGTTTTGGAGTATAGTCAGCATTGCTATAAAGGCAATAATCTACATATATTTCTAGCAGAGACAAATACTCTAATTTAACTGGATTCTTCTTGGTTGAAGGATATTTATTCTATTTCCATCTAGTTTAGAGCATTTTCTTTCCTGTTTCTTCAGCTCTAATTGTATGTTGTGTTCAGATATATATATGCATAAGGGCATTAGACCCAGAAGAACTCTTGAGGAAAGATACTTGTAGCTCCTAATTTAACAATACTGCTTTAATCATGACTATAAATGCAATGTGGAACTGGTCAAGCCCTTTCTTTAAGTAATATTATACTTCAGCTCCATGACAGCTTCCCTGTCTGGAACTGTTTCATTAAATTAGTAAACTTTCCTGCTACTTTACCAGGCCCTGAAGATTATATTCTTGAACACATCAGGTACTTGCCTGAACTTATTCTGAAAGTATGAATATTTTTCTCAAACACTGGTGAGTATTCTCATGGTGATTTTCCAAAAATGTACTTTGTTCTATGAAGGTTCCGTAAAGTCTGGGAGAATTCAGGTAAAGTTACCAGTAAATTATTGGTTCATAACCACAAAGTTTGGGTAAATATTTGGCATGTTCCAAAAAGTAGCCACTGGTCTCACATAATGGTCATTACCATGAGAGCAAGAAAATAAAATTCAAGTGATTCTTGGAGATTTGCGGAGTGTGATTCTGGAGATCACCTGGTAATTCCCAATAAAATAAGTCATAAGTCCTACAAAAGAAAACTCCAATTTAGGGAAAAAAGACTACCGAGTTTAGGGGATTGGTTGGTAACCTACATGCTAATTACTAAAGTCTGCAAACTGTAACCTCAAAGTTCTGCGAGGCAACATGAGAAGTTCCACGAAAGTAACTCCATTAAGTTCCATAATTTTAGAAAGTATCTGGTAAATTCTCAAAAGAAAATCTCTAAATCCAGAGAAAGTACTCATGGTGTCTCGTAGCTCTGACAAAGTCTCAGTTGTGCATGTTGAGTTACCTTTACGGTGTTGTATTTGCTGTTGAGCTGGTTGTGTTTCAGTCTTATCTGCTCTCGCTTGTCTCGATCAGGGGCTCTCCTTTGTAGGTTCTCTCCTTTCAAAAGCAACTCTTGCACTGCACCTTCTTCACAATTCTGCACAAAGAAACAAACAACCTTTAAGGTGCATTCAAAAGACTAGACCGGCTAAAAACGTCTGTTCTATTGGCAGAAAGAAACCTTGTCTTCCTGGAAGTCCTCCTCCTTTAGGTTCTCTCCCTGTTTGGCCTCCTCCTCCAGTAGCTCAAGCCAAACCCTTACTTCACTGTGATACTGTTCAAGCTCCCTTGCCGATGCTGCCGTCTGCAGAAGCAGAGTTAGAGTTTGAAACTTCTTTTTAGATCAAAAGAGATTTCTGTTGTAGTAGTCCCTACCAATCCAGAGGTGATCCTCTGAGAGATGATGTCAAATCTCTGGTTGAGCTGATCCATTCTGGGTCTAACTTGAGCCTGGCAGTTCTCTCCTCTGGTGGACATCAGCTCTTGTGCCAAATCCCTAACCTCCTCCATTTTCCCTCTAGTCAGCTCCAGCTCTGCACGCAACACCTGGAGGAGATAAACAAGCAGTCACGTTTCTAAACCATTAAGTTCTATTATTATGTAAAGTATCAAGTGTTGAGATTTGGTTCTCTTTGGTCCATTCTTGGACCATATCACTGAGGTAAAAGTCTGTAGATATAAGTGGGATTTCCTTTGGCAATGGCATAACTTGCTTCATTCTTTGAGCTTAGCTGTCCAGATTAACACAAATTACCTCTAGAGCCTGACCAGTAGCAGCTCAACTGTTACGGCCACGGATCCACATGATTGGATTAGGTATTCAAATCTTTAGCCTCATAAATAAATGAACTAGTGAATATCTAGTAAGAGTTATGAAAAAAAAAGATTTCCTTTAGTCCACAAACTTCCCCCTGACAGTGTACGACACAAAGAGGAGATTTTGAGTATTATTCAAAGATCACAACCTTTAGCACGGCATCATTGGGCCCCTGATTATCTATCTCATCCATCTTTCTCTCTGCTCCGTCAATCCATTCATTCACTTCCTTTATCTGTCCGTCTAACTTCTGCATCTGGTTCTGGTAATCCTAAGCAGGTGAAAAGCAAAAAACAAAAGAAAGATTGAAAGTTTGAGCATTTTTCCTCCAACAGCAACAACTTCCTTAGTTGAATTATAAACACATAGTATAGATTAGGATGTTTATTTCTGACCAGCAGCAGGTTGAGCCATTCCTCTGCTCTGGATGTGACTGCGATCCAGTTACAGTGCAACAGACTGACTTTGTCGTCCACTAGGCCTCCGTGGCCTTTTAGCACAGCCTTTAGGGCTTCTGCGAGTTCCACCACCGCCTGCAGCTGTGGTTGACGCTTCTCGATGTCACTGTGGACTGACTATGAGGACAGGATGCAGACGAAGGAGAGTTAGCACTGGTTTTCATCCATATGCTTGTGACAAAGATCTGCCGTACCTGTGCCCAGGTGACTTCAGCTTCCAGGTCGCCGGGCATGCCCTCCACAGCTGAGCGCCTGGTTAGCTCAGCGTCAGTCGCAGCCAGCCACTCCGTCAGCCCATTGAGCTCCTTACGCAACTTTCTGGATAACTTCAGACTCTTCTCCAGCTCCAATTTACTCTCTGTTACCTGAGCAGACAGAACAAAATGGAAGCAACATCCGTCGTAGTTACAGGATAACATGTTTCTCTGTGTGTTTTTGCATACCTGTGACCCCAGCTGGTTGTAGAGCAGTTTCAGAGCGGTCACTCTGTCGTCCAGTTCCTTAGGTTGCTCCGTCTGCTGTCTCTGGACCACCTGTCTACCTGTTTTAATCACAGTCTCCACCTCTCCCTTTACTTCACTCAGTATCTTGTACAGCTTCTGTTTAAGCAAAATGAAAAACGACAGCCGGCTGAAAAAACACACCCCGACTCTAATCCCCATTCACTCGCCAATTTCTCCACCTGCAGGGCCGCTACCTACCATGCACTGATCCAGTTGGGACTGTACTACATCCTGCTCCACACTGCGGATGTCCAGCAACCCCACCTGACCTTTGACCCCGGCCAGGACGCGCTCGCACTCAGCCAGACGGGAATCGAAGTTGGCCGGTTTCTGAAAGAAACAGAACTTGGTCCAGACGTCCGCCAGCATTTTCTAGGAAGACACACGACAGCCCATCAGTTAAACTGAAAAACCTGTTAACATTTTGTCATAACATTCACACAGCAACATTTATATGAATTATATTAAGATTTTATCGATGTCCTATTGATGAAGTTTGCGTGTGTACCCTTAAAATCAACCTACCTTAATCAGTTTATCTTCATTCATAACAGTTTCTTGCTCATATAACCTGCGTTAAAGTGGCTAAACTCTCAGACTGATTTTCAATTTGTACTTGGCAGAAAACTAAACTCCCTTTGAAATGCAGATTTACAGTATTTCCATTAACGAACAAAAGAAAATCATGTTAATTCATGTAAATAAAAGTGGGAATCAGATCTCTGCATTTGTAGTCGCCTAAACCACACTAATTCATGTCGACACAGCAGTCACTAAGAACTCACCTTTGGGGGTAAATACGCCTCATGATTAACCTGCATTTTATCCTGAATGTTTCTAACTTTAAATATTTTGCTTTATTCCCAAACCAGAAATCTTTTGAAGTTCATATACTAAAATGATAAGTTCCTAAAATACATTTAGAAATCCAAACATCCTTTGCTAATCATCTAGGAAATAGATATCTTGTTATTTCCTTTTGGAAAATCAATTTTCAAGTCTTGCCCAAGTTTCTCTCTTGATTTTATCTGAATATTATAAGATCCCATCTAACTTAATCAACCTTAATCCAAACCATTTTAGTGCCTCTCTCTGAAGGGTGAACCTCTAACCCATTCCCAAGTTTTGGAAGTGTCAAGGATTTCTTTTAAGTAATTTATTCCATCAATCTATTTATAAACACTGATGGACTTTTTCCTCTATGTTAAGGAAAAGCATCCCCAGAAATAACAAACCTTTCAGGCTTTTACAGATGCAAAGATTAAATTAAACCCATTATGGTTTCTGATTTATAAAGGATGTTGGCTGCAGTGGAATTTGGTGTCTTTATTTTTAACGTTTTAGAGTAAATCTACAAACTAGTAATGATCTTTCAAAATAAAAAAATAAAAATCAGACAATAGTAGTCAATCAGCAGATATTCCAGTGAAATACTAATGCTAATAAAGTTGCTGTTAGATGAAAAATTAACAAATTTGGCAGAAGGTATGAAAATGAGAAAATCCTCATGCAAATTAATTTTAGGTACATTTAATCTGTTTTTTCAAGTTTACCTGGGTTAAGTCAATCTGTCCCATGAGCCTCTGCGAAGGGTCCTTTTCCTGGTTCTTCTTTCTAATGTCTGCCAGAGTAGTTTCATGGACATTCAACTCCGTCTGGATTTTCTGTTACACACAGAAGCTCAACCTTAGAAATTCAGTGGAAACCAGTCAAGGTCGCTCCTAATAACGCTCCTACCAATGAAGTTTAAATAGCTGGTTAATGTACTTCCCCCTGCTGACCACCAGGGGGCAGACCATGCTAAAGGATACCCAGAGGCAAAGCCCTTAAGTTTGCCTCATGAATAAACACATGCTTTCTTCCCATTCACGCTCCGTTTTAAATATCAGTTCCTCAGAAATCAGGCGCTTATTCGCTAAATGAATCCAGTCATTTCCTCCTCTTCCTCGCTGTGTTTGTGCGCGTGGCTGAGGGGGGGAAATGTCAGCCTGGCACACGCTCTCCCATTCTGTCACTTTGCCATGGCTGCAGGTCATTACTTCATGATCTATTGTCTGATTAGTTCGGCGGGTGTATGTGTGTTTGGATGGAGAGAAGAAGAGAGGTGCGAGGAAGCGTGAGGGGGAGAAGCCAATGTTTGACGAGGACACAGTGAAGCTGAGGGCAGCGCGTCCTCATCAGCTGCATCCTTAATTAGGACCTTGGAGTGAAGAAAAGAGAGTTTCCAGATCTGTTCTGAGGAAATCCAAGGAGGAAGAAGTTTCAGAGATGCCAAACAATAACAGAGCCTTGTTCTTTTTAATCAGATCTGGTTTTGGATTTTGACAACATCTGAAGATTTTCCCGTTTCATGTATGACACACAATAATCAAATCTATTATGTTTCAGTTTCCCTGGCCTCTGAAGAATACAATAAAACAGTTGAATCTCTTGCATGTTGGTGATCAAAAGAAGGCAGGGAAGGAGCCTTTTTCTATGTGCTTCTGAGAGCTGAGTCAGTGAGTCTGTGTGCAATGGAGCGATGGAGAACCTGCCTGAGCCATAGGTGGTGATCCTTTCCAGTTCAAAGAGATGTAAAAGGCTGAGAGACCTGATGTAAACTGGTGCCGGCATCCAAGCTGGTTTGGAGATATTGAACCAACCTGGAGATGCTCCCCTTCCTGTCCTTTAGAAAGCTTGTTTTAGAACAGCAGATTCCTTCTTTTTCAGTTCTCTAGTGGCTCCTTCCAGACTTTCCAGGACACACCCCAATTCCTCCAGAACTACTGGAACGGAGTGTGAATTGGGATGTGCAGCCAGACGGAGATGACGCGTTCTGCTCATGCGCTCTTGTTATCAGAGAACTGAGTCAGGGAAAAACCGAGCCGAGCTGACCTCTGGAACTGGTCTGCAGTTAGCTCGGTTCGGTTCAGTTTCCTTTCCATTTACAAACCATAAGTTATCTCAGTTTTTCAAGGGTAGTGTAAATGGGGTAAACATTTTAAGCTCCTTGTGTAAACTATCCTGCACTGGTTTGTTGTCCATTTGTTTTGCCTCCATCTAACACTCTTCATAGAGGTGTGCTTACTTTTAATTTTCAGTATTTGGACCCAACTTTTAGCTTTTTCTGGTTGTGTTTTGGTAAGAATGTATGGGCAGTCATTTGGACACAAACCTGAGTGCAAAAATGGTGAAAATGGTAAGAGCTGTGGGTACATCATGGCTACCTGAGCCTCCTGTGGTATCTGCTGGGCATCAATGTGGTCAGACAGGTAAGCAGTGAGGTGGCGGTCCGTGTTTGCCAGAGACTCCTGGATCTGCCTGAGCATCTTGTCGTTCTCCTGGGCCCACTGCACACTTTGCTCCAGCTCCTTCCGCCTGAGCGCCGCCTGGGAAAAGGAAAAGCTTCGATAAAAACTGGCATCATGTACAATCATTTTAATAACATAATAAAAAAAAAAGAATAACATTTGATCTAAAGCCATGTTATAACGAATGAAAAAGAAGATCAGAGAATTGGATAGTTTTAGAGCGCTACATGGCGTCAGGATTATGACAAAACAGAACTATGAATGTATATTATTGCTTGACAGGTGTGTTGAGGTCGCCTACTTTCATTCACCTCAAGCTCATACAACAAAAAACCTGGATATCATAAACTTCACATGTGCATCAAACTTCCCAGGTGCAGTATTCAGTGACCAGGAGCACAGCTGAGCTGCATGAAGTCGACACCCCACCTACGTGAAAAATGCTTCCGGTTAATGCTTCATCAGTGCAGGTTTGTGCAGATCATTTTTTTAAGGCCACCCAGAGGTCACCATCCCCTGGTTAGCTCTAAATTGAACCAAAGTGGTCTACTTTTGAGAGTTTTTGTGCAGTTAAAACTGTTGTTTGTGCTGCTTTTGTTTCTAAAATATAGTCATTGATGACGTCAGCATCTAACCGGACAGTGCTGCACTCGTGTCTGAATTTGAAGTTATTGCATTACAAAATATGGCATTGCTGTGCTGCAGTTATTAAAACAGCCAACATGTTTACCTTTCCTAGTGGGTGGAAAGATAGTTGCACAATATTTAGTTGCTCATCAGCCTTTGATTTGTATCTGCAATCACCTTGGAAGACCATCATCAGTTTTTGGAAAAGCCTCAGAAGAAGTTTAATTAGAAGCACTCAATTTTCCAAGTTTGTTCTCGTGGCTCAGCTGTACTCGTGGTCACAGAATTGTGCACATGAGATGATCAATGCACGCCTGTAGTGTAAAATATGCTTGTTTAACATTATATAAGCTCCTGGTGAATGAACAGCGGTGACCTTAATGCTCCCGCGGAGTACATTATACGACAGTTGTTTACTTTTGTTATAATCCTGTTGCCATACTGAAAGGTCAAATTTCATAAAACTGGTAAAACACGTCTTTTTTTTTTTTTTTTTTCAAATCACTATAACTGCTAACACCCCATTAAGACAGGATGTATACTAGTACATGGGTGATAAAAGGTCTGAGATTTATTTACAATGCAGCAGGCATTGATTCTCTTAAACATGCAGAAAATTTCCATAAAGTTTTTGTGTAATTTTGCGCTAGAGAGCCTTGCATGATATCCATCTTATTACTACATAACTTGCTTATTGTTGCCTGTTAAAAAAGAGCAAAACCTCTGAACTAAAAAAAAAACAAATAGAAACAATTGTGTACTATAAGAAGCCCCAGTCATTCTTGAGACAAAAAACCTAACTATAACACAGAAAATGCACACAATTGTCCTCTAATCTTCTTAAAAAAATAAATCAAAGTACCCTCCTGACGGTTGGACTTCGAGGTATTTCTTTCATGTTGTCTCTTGATGCGCCGACCTAAGATCTCCAAACGATGACCGCTGTCCTACCACTCACTCCTTTCACTATTTTCCCCGGTCACTGGCTGTCAGTGGGATTAGCTTGCAGACGCAGCCATTACCTCACAGATAATCCAAACCCTGAGTGCGTGTGCTTGGTTACAGGTGAGCGTGCTAATCTTACACAGAGGGATAATAGATCTAAGTTTAGCTCTGAGCCCCTTGTGCTGTGCTAATTTAAGAAGTGTCCAAGAGGACGCTTCGTATTGAAGGGTTTGGGTTGAAAGGCAAACGGTAAAATACGACCTGCATTCTCCTGCCGTTACAGAAGGAGAACTGCAGCATTTTGTACATTGAATGCATGTATTTGAGTGACACGCTAAGCATTCCTGTGGTAAATTTAGACCAGTAAGAGAGTTTTTTAATCAAATATTAATTTCCATCAACAATAGATAAAAAATATGTAACACCCCTTAATTATGACATTAATATCCCCAAGAAGCTTTATTTTGTCTGTTATCCTAACTCCATAGAATCTGAACCAATTCCCAAAAAATAAGTGCATAACGCTGATGCATTTACATGGTAAATATACCTTTACAACAGCAGGCAATTCACCTTAAGGGCTTAAGTTAAAAAGCATCAAAAGACATCAATGTGTTGCGGAAATTTTTTTTTAAGTCACAGCGGTGGGTGAAGATCCATTTATCTAAAACCAGTGTTCAATAAAAGACCTGTGTGACATTTGAAATGTAAAATTCTAAAGATGTAAGAGTTAAATTTAGATAATCCTGTAACATTGTTGGCTAAAAATAATGTACAAAATCTTAACTGTATTGAACTTTCCAACTGTGAGGCAAATTTTATTTTTCATGTGCTTAAGGAAAAGAAAAGGTTCACAGACTCTGATAGTGAATAATTTAGATTATTTTCTGATCTCAGTTAAATAAACGTAAGCAGAAATGCTAGTAAGGAGGAAGCAGTTCAAACAGATCTTTATAACCCATAAAAGCAGGCAGATAAACGGTTTCCTACCCGGGCCATGAGTTCATCCCATCGGGCGTTAAAGACGTCCAGTTTCTGTTGAATGAGTTCATCCAGAACCCCTCCGTCCATCAGCGTCTGGGCCAGTTCTCGGATCTGGTTCCTGTTGTCTTCTGGGTGTTGCAAAAGAACCTCAAGGCTCTGCAGATTTCACCACAAAACAAAGACAGTCCTTTATTTTCTTCCACAGTGTGATAAAACTCCCAACTTATAGTATTTGTAGCCCCTTGGCACTAAAAGTGAAATATGTTAAAGGTCTGTAACAGTTAGAAACAATCGATATGTTAAAGGTTGCTATGTAGATAGTTGCTTTTTGTATCTCTGCTTCTGTCTCCTTGAACCCCAGTCGGCCTCAGCAGATGGCCGCTCACACTTAGCCTGGTTCTGCTGGATGTTTCTTCCTGTTATAAAGGAGTTTTTCCTCTCCACTGTCGCTACAAGTATGCTTAGCGTGAGGGATTGCATTTGAGTCAATAAGTCGATGCAATCAAATGGTTTCCTTAGATAGAAGACTTTGAATCAATCTGACTGTATGATCTGGTGAAATATAAAGTGCCTTTAGATGACATGTGTTGTGAATTGGCACTACAGAAATAAACTGAATTAATTCTTACTTCAGATGGACCTCTGACTTAATTATTTCACACTTATGTTTAGACTTTTTGTGTTGATATTAAACAGAGTCCCCGAATACCAGCAGCTTTTTGAAGATATTAATATACAATTGTTTTAAGTCTCATATTTAGACAGAAGTGAAAACAACTAGGAATACTTAAAGAAAGAAATAGTAACACCAATTAACTTCACCTAAAAAACCCCAGGAGACTTTTTATCTGCATTTTTCTCTATATATTAGGTTGTATTTCATCAGCAACTTAACAGCCACAGACTTGTGCTGTAATTAGATCTTGCAGAATAGGATCTAATGCGACTAAGAGCCAAGATTGTTAAATGAAAATGTGTTTTGTCTCTGACAAGGTAACTGCTGAGAGAAAATATTGTCTCTTTATATAAAGCTGTGTGCTTCAAACTTGAAGCAATTTTTCATACATCAGAAATTGAAAGATTAAAAACGATTTCCCTGCCGCCCCACTAGTAGGCGGTGTGTTCTTTGTATGCATTCGCAGATTTAAACAGTCCCTAAGTCACAGTGCGCATGTACCTGGGGTTCCCGGATACATTTCATTTTTTTTTTTAAATAGTAACAACAGAGGTTGGGGTGTTTTTTTTTTACAAAGGAGGATTAGGGCCACTGGAAAAAAAATCTTAACTCATTTTTAAATTTTATTTCAGTATATGAGGAAAAAAGTCAGAATTCTGACTTAAATCCCAGAATTCCTACTTTTGTCTCAGAATTCTGACTTTTTTTCAGAATTCTGACTTTAATCTCAAAATTTTGGACCTTAATGTAGATGGGCACCATGAAGGAAGAGATGTGAGCACCCAGCTTCACTGACAAAGATGTGAGTCGTTTGGGAGGGCCAGTAAAAAATTGGTGGAAAATGATGAAATTAGGTAACTTTTTACATGCCAAAGTGGTTCCCGGTGATGCTATTTCATTAATGGAAGAGCAGAAGGTGATTAAAACAAGAGAGCTAGTTTAGTCTCTAAAACGGATATGGCTGTTAGCTGTCAGAATTCAGTCAGAATTCTGAGATCAAATTCAGAATTTTGAGATTAAATTCAGAATTCTAAGATTAAAGTCAGAATTCTGAGAAAAAGTCAGAATTTTTAGATTAAATTCAGAATTCTAAGATTAAAGTCAGAATTCTGAGAAAAAGTCAGAATTTTTAGATTAAATTCAGAATTCTAAGATTAAGGTCAGAATTCTGAGATCAAATTCAGAATTTTGAGATTAAATTCAGAATTCTAAGATTAAAGTCAGAATTCTGAGAAAAAGTCAGAATTTTTAGATTAAATTCAGAATTCTAAGATTAAAGTCAGAATTCTGAGATCAAATTCAGAATTCTGAGAAAAAGTCAGAATTTTTAGATTAAATTCAGAATTCTAAGATTAAAGTCAGAATTCTGAGATCAAATTCAGAATTCTGAGAAAAAGTCAGTAAAAATCATTTTTTTTTTTTTTTTTTTTAGTGGCCCTAATCCTCTTCAGTAGTTTTTGAAAACTCAACACTTAGGAATCAATTTTTAAATTGTGCAATTTCAGAGGAAGTGTGCGCTGATGAGTACATTAGCAGTAGAAACAAAACAAAACTTTTCTGTTATCTTATAAACCAAACCTGAAATATTTTGAAGCCTAAAAGGAGATGTATTACGACTCTTTTGTGATGATAAAATTAATAGAAATAAACGTTTTTTTAAGAACTCAGAGAATACAACTCCTGGTTCACAGCTAAAAAAGCATTAAATGTCTTTTCAATGTCATCATTAGCTCAAAATTTTAAATTCATAAAAAAATATTTTATTTGTTTTAACAAATAAAATAAAATTCAAACAAATATTTTTATTTGACTTTTTTAATCTATATTAGGAACATCTGCCCAAACATATCCAAACTTTTACCACTTTGGAACTATACAGGGGTTGGTATCAGCGAGGTGTTTTGATCGTAGCCTAGAATTTTGAAATAAAAAAAAATTAAAAGTTTTAAAACTATAAGGTTAGGAAATACTGGAAAATTTATGAAAGCTGCACTTCAGTCATGAATAAACAACGGACAAGCACGTAAATCTGGAAAAACCAGGAGAGAAGTATTTGGATTAAGCTGATTAAACACAGAAATATCAAACAATAACTATTTAGATAGTCCATTTTGCTTTGCCCTCTTTCCAGCAAACTTAGAGGAAAAAAGTAATGACTGACTTTTGAGTATTTGCTTCTTCCTTTGTATTTAGAGATTTCTAATGTCAATACTGCCCCCACAAGGATCGATTTGGTATTATAGTGTATTTTAATTGAATTTCCGAAGTTCCCCCTCTAAAAAAATGTTTCCTTCACTGATAAAATAGCTGCCGACATGTCAGTCAATCCGTACCAAGTTACAGGAGGTGACATCAATCCCTTTATCTCCAGGCTGCAGTTTCACTTTACTATATTGTCTAAATCAAGTTTCTCCCGCCAGACTTTTCTTCTCATTTTCATTCCATCGACTGGTTCTTAAAGTATTATCCAACACTGGCATGGATAATCTGCTTTCCTGGGGATTCCCTGTCAAGTTTGTGTCATGCTTAATTTCTTTATTTAAACATTCCGGTAACCATAGCAACGTACGTGCTTCCTACTGGGTGCAGCCAATCAAAGAGTCAAAAAGCTATCTGCTGCTTAAAATAGGCACCAACATCTTTGAAGAGTCTGAATTCAATAGTTTACCTGACTGATATCTAGAGTTCTTCTTTCTTTCTACCGTCTTTGTTGACATCGGGAAAACAGTTTATTGTAAAATGTTAATCATTTAGACACAAAGCCATGATGCAAGACTCTCAGAGGAAGGCTGCAGATATTTGGAGAGAACTTTGTTCCATTATTGTTGCAAGCAAAAAAAAACACATTTTATGATTTGAAATGTGAAAAATATCCACATAAGCTTTGAAAAACATTTATATCAGAAAAGGTAGAGTGTAACTTTTAACTAATGTGTTTTTATTTCACAGAATGACTTGTCTATTTTCAATATACCGGTATATATATATACTTCAAAGTTTTTACAAATTTTACATTATTTTTCTGTAGACCAATAGAAATGTATCAAAAAAGAAAGAAGAAATTGAAGAAATAGGGCAGATTAAACTATGAAAACTTTTTTTCTTTTAATCTGAAAAAACAAAAGTTACTCTCAAACACTTTTTCATAAAATGTTTTTTAAACTTCTATTTCTTGCATGTTTTTAAATGGCCATTTACAAAACATGTTCTTTGGTTGTCAGAGTTAAAATTAATTTTTTTCCCTGACTGCATTTTGCAGCTTCTATTGCAAAGAGTTTAGCATTTAGGTTAAAACAATGACTTTCTGGTATTTCTGACCCCAACAACTCCTCCAAATGATTGCTGTGAACCCTGCAAAGCTAAAAGCTACAGGTCCACTAAAATTTAAACATGTTTTTTCTGCAATGAACACTAAAGTCTTTGTGAATCTGATGTGACAAAAAGCGTAAAAGCTTAAGGCGTATACATATTTTTACAAAGCCTCCAACTGCCAACCACTGCAGATTAAAAAAAACATAAAAACCTTGATTTATCCTATTAAAATGTACAAAATTCTTACAGGCATTTATTTCCCTTCTGATCATCGTTAAAATCAATTTCCACAGCAGAAACTGGAGGGATTCTTGGAGGCACAGATTAGAAAGCACTGTGAGCTACATAGAAATGACAAGAGTGGATAAAACCCTCCAAAGCAGGGCATTAAGGTGCCGTTAATAAGCCCTGGGTCACCAGTGACCTGATAAAGCTGATGAGCATGAAGAGGAAATCCCTCTGGGCGTTAAAACTGAGCTATTTGATGAAAGGCTGGGAAAAAAAAGAACTGGTGACCTAAATATGTTTCTAACAGGTTCAACTCGGAAACCTCAGCAGTTTGTTAATGGTCCTGCACTGGACAGAGCATCACTTTGCACCCAGTTCAATGGTGCAAAGGAAAGAAAAACAGTCTAATTGGAATCTGCCTTTTTTTTAACATCAAATTTTAAACAGTGAATTTTTTTAACACTGAATTTTAACCACTGAATTTTTTCAGACATTGAATTCCTTACACTCAATTTTTGTCTGGTAAAAATTCACCAGAAAAAAAAAATCAGCTGCAAAAATTCAGCCGCAAACGTGTTGACCTTTTGGTGAACTCAAGCCAAAGCAAACTACACTCGATAGAGTCGAGAAGCTTCTAGCCAATGAAATCAGCCCATTTGGTCACATGACACAACGGCTGCGCTCAGCATTGTTCCCGGCTGAATGAGGATTTTTTTTTTGTTACACAGAATTACAAAACGTCAGTTAGCTACTAACAGACAGCTATTAGAATGCAGTGTTTAAAATTTGGTGTTAAAAAAATGCAGTGTTTAAAGTTCTGTGTTAAAAAAATTCAGTGTTTAAAATTTGGTGTTAAAAAAATTTTGTGTTTAAAAAAGTTCAGTGTTTAAAATTTGGTGTTAAAAAAATTCAGTGTTTAAAATTCGGTGTTAAAAAAATTCAGTGTTTAAAATTCAGTGTTAAAAAAATTCAGTGTTTAAAATTTGGTGTTAAAAAAATTTTGTGTTTAAAAAAATTCAGTGTTTAAAATTTGGTGTTAAAAAAATTCAGTGTTTAAAATTCGGTGTTAAAAAAAAGGCAGATTCCAATGAGAGAGTTTTTCTTCCATAGTTCAACCCCACAACCTTAGACTAACCCGGGAGGGTCCCAAAGTGAGGGTCAGGTGAAAGTGAAAAGAAAACCTTGTCAAGTAAGAGTGCGAGCTGTTGGCTCAGTTGTTTCACCCAGTCTAATAAGAAGAAAAACTCTAATAGCTGTCTGTTAGTAGCTAACTGACGTTTTGTAATTCTGTGTAACAAAAAAAACCTCCTCATTCAGCCGGGAACAATGCTGAGCGCAGCCGTTGTGTCATGTGACCAAATGAGCTGATTTCATTGGCTAGAAGCTGCTTGACTCTATCGAGTGTAGATTGCTTTGGCTTGAGTTCACCAAAAGGTCAACACGTTTGTGGCTGAATTTTCGCAGGTTAATTTTTTTGCAGCTGACTTTTTTTTGGTAAATTTTTACCATATAGAAATTGAGTAAGGAATTCAATATCTAAAAAAAATTCAGTCTTTAAAATTCGGTGTTAAAAAAAATTCAGTGTTTAAAATTTGGTGTTAAAAAAATGCAGTGTTTAAAATTCTGTGTTAAAAAAATTCAATGTTTAAAATTTGGTGTTAAAAAAAATTTAGTGTTTAAAATTCAGTGTTAAAAAAATTCAGTGTTAAAAAAATTCAGTGTTTAAAATTCAGTGTTAAAAAAATTCAGTGTTTAAAATTTGGTGTTAAAAAAATTTAGTGTTTAAAATTCGGTGTTAAAAGAATTCAGTGTTTAAAATTCAGTGTTTAAAATTCGGTGTTAAAACAAGGCAGATTCCAATGAGACTGTTTTTCTTCCATAGTTCAACCACACAACCTTAGACTAACCCGGGGGGGTCCCAAAGTGAGGGTCAGGTGAAAGTGAAAAGAAAACCTTGTCAAGTACAAGTACGAGCTACGAGAAAGATCTGAAGCATGCTGCAGTTACTTATTTTGGCCACAGGTGGCACTAATATTAGAAAACAACACCACACTAAAGATTCAGAATTCCCAGTGTCAACCTTGGAGAAATACAGGTGAAAATAAAATTTCTCCCCAAAACCTCAAAATATAACATAGCTGCAAGCCTTTTTCAGATATTTTGTTACGTTTTATTTGCATCGGTTAATTTTAATCTGTTTTAAATCAATGCACCTTTCTTAGCACTGCACTGTCCTTATAGTGAATTGAAATGTACAGCATTTCCAATGTGGAACTGGAGCGTTGCTAAATATTCCTGAATCCGACTTAGAACGTTAGAGGTTAATGGACCATGATATTCAAACAGCATTTGCTGTTTATTGTATTTCTAGGAGTTTAATAAGCAGGATTTAAATAAACTGATTCATTAAGAATGCAATTTAATTGAAAGGAACGGCTGCCCCCTAGGCACAAAAAGAAGCATTATCGCAGATCCTTCCTCCCAGCTGCTGTTATTAGATACAATCTCCACTGCTGCCAACAGACCCAGGAAGTCTCTGCAACTATACGGTTTGTTGCACAGTTTTTTTATTTGCTTAGTAATTCTTTTTCTTTAGCAATGCCTATATTTACCGGCTAAATGTCAACTTTTTTACTTGCTCTGTTAGTGCTTATAATGTTATAAAGGCTGATATTTAAAGTTTTTAATCCCTTCTAGATTCAGTAAATGAGCTGCTGTTTGTCTTTTCATCTTGAACATTTTTTCCTTTGACCTGCCAGTCTATTTGCTGTAAAAATTATTTTGACTTTGTGTTTTTGTTCTTATTAGTTTTGTGTGTAGCTGTATGCTTTGATTCCCTGTTAGTTTTGGCAATAATACATCCAGAGGTTTGAAAGGTACCCAAAAATTGTACTCAAGTTAGAACAGCAATGATTCATCATATTTTAACTCAAGTAAGATTGAGAAGTAGCCAACCGAGAAATTACTCAAGAGTAAAGAAACTATTTGGTAAAAATGCAGCTCAAGTGGTGAGAAACTCATAACATGTGATTTACCATTTAAAATGATGTAATAAGACAAACCAAAATGTAAAAGTATTTGCAAATTCTAGTATTTTATAGTCTATATTCAAACAACTGGATGTTGTAATTGAAAAATAAGAAATTTCAGGCAGAAGAAACACTTTTATAAACCAACTTTTTTACTCAAAATCAAACTAACCCAGAATCTCCAGTGACTATATTTACCACCTACTGACCTGAAAATATAACAGTCGGTTGATCAGATATAAAGAAAGCTGATGTACATAAAATGGACTCCAAGTTTGACAAAAACAATAATAGTGCATTGTTGCCCAGGTAACTATTGTTTAAAACAAACTAGGTTTAGCTAAAAATTTCACTCAAGTAAGAGTGGCGACATTTGACTAATATATTACTGAAGTTAAAGTAGAAAGAACGGTGAAGAAAAACTACATGTAAACGTATAATAATAATAAAAAGAAAAGTTAATTAAGTAAATGTAACTAGTTACTACCCACATCTGCGTAATCTTCAAATTGGGAGGCAATATTCGTTTCCATTCCATTTGATTGAAGAGCTAGTTTATTTTAGGTTTAACCTTTTTCAGCTGAGAAATTCAGATAGAATGAGTTTTAAATAAATATCTTGTATCTGAAATGATGTTGAATTTCATGCTTATAAGACTCGTGCTTATTTTGCATGGTTAAATGGATTATTTTTGTTTTCTCATTATATGCTGAGGCTGTTGAGGCATTTCTGAGGCCATTATTAAAAATATCTCTGTTTCTGTTTAGCTTTAGTTTTTTCCCCCCTAAAGAATCAGCAGGATATTTTATCCTTCTGTGTTTCTTGTTTATTAGAGCAACTTTCAGGAAATAGATGTTTTGTCTTGTAATGATGCACCAGATCAGTGTGAGCAAGTCAGGCAGCCCTCGAGGTCCAGCTTAATCATCTGGGCCTGGTGAAAGTCTTTGAAAATCCTTTGTTTACTTCTGCCTACAGACATATCTGAAATCAGACATGAACTCCTAAGAGACGATGCTCCCTTTTCATTCACTGGGGAACCATTGTGGCTCCCTGGGCAGGAAATAAAAACTCCAGTTAGATTAATAACATAATTTCCAGTCAATCATGACATAAATATGTGGAACCTAAAGATAGCACAAAGTATATTTTTGCATATTTCTAAATGTTAACTAAAAGCAAAACTGATCTTATCGATCAAAAAGAGAAAGATATAAAGCATTTATCATAAAACAATCCTACATTTATCACTTTCAGTTGGATTTAGCCTCTATTTTAAATGACCCATGTGCTGCTTGTATTTAAGGACAGTCCCAGAAAATGCGCATCATACTAATAATGCTGACTTAGTAGCTTTTCATTTATTTATTATTTTTTTTAAGATATCTCCCTACGTTTATCTTTTGTAAAAAGAAGTTAATTTAACTGTACAGTCTTTTCCGCCCTCATATTAGACTCACATCCAGCGCCTCCTGCAGCTTCTCTGCTCCTCCTTGTAGGTTTTCCGTTTCGTCCAGTTTCTGCTCCAGCTGATCCAGGAAGGCGTTTTCCTGCTCCAAGTAGGACAGTAACTCACACCAGCATGCCCAGACCTCCTTTAGAACCACAGAAACAGGAAAAAAGTCAGAAGATTGGAGATCATACAGATTATATGTTGGTATGAAAGGCAGCAGGATGCAGCTAATCAAATGTTAACACTAAGGTATCATCAGCAAATGTGAGTACCAGTCCAGACGGGATATCAGGTCTCCGTCTGATAACTGTTACATCTGGATTTAGCTCTGGACTTTGAATCGGCCATTTTAACCAAAGACATTTCGATCTAAATAATTCAGAGATGTTTCTCTACAAACACGACTAATGTTAACCTGACTCCGCATATACATCTGGAAACCTTCCGTAGAAGTAATTTTGGGAAGGGGCGAAAATACTGGTTAGCTGATTGGCCTATGTTGGTGATAGACGGGCCAAATAAACCAATCAGATCAACGAAGCATATGACGTACTAAGAGAGCGACGACGAAGAGGAGCCAATTGATAGATCAAACTCTTGCCGAAACCAGTCGGGAGAAGAGCAAAAACATCTTTTCCTCTGAGAAAAGCCTCCAGAGCAGTGGTTTGCTCTTCTTTCAGTGAAGAAATACTCTGTAATTCCGATAAAACTTGCTCGATAGCCACGCTAACGCTAGTTTCATCGGCTGAAGCCGCCATGTTCTTTAGACTGAACTGTTGCGCTTCTCGTTGCGTCACACCTCAACCCGCCTCAAAGCCAACGCTGATTGGACGTTCGTTTGGTGAATGGCTCCAAATTTTCTTCAACGGAGAGTCTCCAGACTGATCTGCGAGTGAAATCTTGAAAGCTTGCGAGATCAGGATGGTCTCACGAGGCTAGATTAATGTATGTTCAAAAGAGATCTCAGAGACCTAGAGGTTAGAAACAGTGGGGCATCTCCCTAAAGAATGAGTTGAATGCACAAGATGAATTTCACCACTTTAGGATTATGAGGGGAAGTTCTATTGCCTTTACCAGGTTTTCATCTAAGATTACCCTCCATTTATCTCAATCCATCTTACTTTCAAAACTCAACCAATATTATTGTGAGACATGGTTAAGATATGTTCTCTGTTTGTTTTTATCTTATATATTTTAGGATTAGGCAAAACAAAAGAGTCTACTTTGTTCCTCTCTGATCAGATGATTTAGATTAGATCAGATTCAACTTTATTGTCATTACACAGGTACAGGTACAAGGCATCGAAATGCAGTTTAGGTCTAACCAGAAGTGCAATATTAGCAAGTGCAGGATAAATTATGGTTCCATAAATACAGGACATGGGTTTCTATTGAATGAGTATAGAGGTCAATACCATAAATAATGAATATAATATATAGATAATTAGTGTTATGAACTAAATTTACAGCTGGATATGTATTGAATATAATATACAGGTGGATATTACTATAAAAAGGGTTTTTAGTTATGTACAATAGCATATATACAGATGGGTTTTACTATAAAATGAATAACTAAAGTTTGGACAGAATCTATCTAAATTAAAATGCAGTGGAAGGTAATTGCATATTACAGTTAAAGTATATTATTGCAAATGTATATGTAAACATGATGAGGGTTTGCTACGAAGATATGGAGTGTAAAGAAGAAATAAATTTGAATCAAAATAAGAATATTTTCTTAAATTTCCTAAGATTTTATTTTGTAAAATTTATTTTTTTCAAGCTTTTTTTTAACAGTTTTTTAGATTGAGTTTCATAAACTGCTTTATTTTTAAATTGTGCTTTGCAGATCACATTCTCTTCACTTTAGGCACAATACAAATGCTTAGACCAATAGAAATGTTTTCTTAAAGCTACAGTGTGTAACTTTTAGCGACATCTAGCGGTCAGACTCCAGACTGCAGCAACATGAACATCTCCCCCCCACCGCTTCTCCCCCTCAACAGTACGGGGAGCGTTACGGGACAAAATGTCTTCCACGACGTCCTCATCACCTACCTTCTCAAGTGATGAGGTTTGTTTACATAGATAATTTTACAGATAGTATTTCATTAGTCTGTGTAGGGTATAGATTTCATGTAGACTTAAGATAATAAATATACCCGTTATTTTTTCCACACCGTTGTGACGTTTTGGGGATCTCGCAATCGCTAGTTTGTTGGCTCTGCGCTGCCGTAGCGCAAAGATGTCTGCCTCCATGGCTGCGAGACCCGCTCCTATGTGATTATAAATAACGAATTCTAAGGCAACGCAAATATTAAGGTTAAGAGGCTGAGCTCGTAGATGATGATAAATAACATAGTTATGTATAATATATTACATTTCTGACTGTATATCCCTGTAATTATTACACACTGTAGCTTTAATTCCTCACTGCAGAGAAAAGCCAACCGTCAAAAGTGGAGAGAAGGAGTTCTGTAAAATGTCATTTGAAAAGAATTTTTAATACTATCTGAAAATGAGAAATTAGATTTAATTTTTTTGCTCAGAAGTTTTTCTAAGTTTTGTTTTTTGATTAGATATTTAAACATTTCTATTTACTGGTTTACAGGTTCTTTGCTTCTAACGATAATGGAACCAAATTCACTCCATACAAAATATATTTTGGCTTATAGCAAATGATAGCAAATACTGCATGCGATCTCAATACATGGCTGCTTAATGAACTAAGGAAGCCATGAAAGAATGCAAGTATCGGCTGATGCAAACATTAGCACCATGTATCAGCTTACCTCTAATTTGCACCAGACTACATTGTTTATGGTTTTAACCAAATAAAATGAAGTAGGATGACGTAAAATAAAGTAAAATGATGTAAGAATATTTCTCTTATACAAAATACACCAAATTCTGACATTATAGAAATATATCATTAATAGCATTAATCCTGACAAACACTGATAGTATAGAGACCCTGAGATTCAAATGCATACAAAACAAAATCATGACTGCATAGCAAAAACTACTGCAAAGACAAAAGGCTTGCAAACACATTGAAGATGGACTCCCACCAGTGGTCTGGATTTCTCCAATTATGCACTGCTACTTTGAAGTTTCTCTGCCCCTCCACTTTGCATGTGTTTAGCTTGTGTGTTAGCATACATTATGTATTTTCAGTTTGTTTAGTCCTCTCTATTGCCTGTGATTGCAAAATTCCTCTTTAGTAGCGTCTGTGTCTTAGTGTCCTTTTTGTATATGCAGTAGTTTTTGAAATTGCTGCTTATTTGCAGGACGTTTGCACCCCTTGGCTGAAAAGAAACAAAGTACTTTACCTCTAGAGTTTTACATTTCCCATCCAGGCGACTACACAATCTCTGATAGTTGGCTGTGAGGATGCTCAGTTCTGAACGCAATGCATCATGGGCCGTGGGCGGGGCTTTGCCTATAAAACTGTTAACGCTGTCAGTCAGGAGTTTGACCTTTTGCTCCTTGGAGTGGACCTCCTCCTGGGCCCTCTAGAAAAAAGATAGAATAAAGGAAAAACAATTTATTTTAGCAAGATTTTTTATTTTTTATACAACATGTAGAATAATTTCCAAGTTGGGTTTGGAGCAGAAGTAAGAGAAGAAATGAAGGATGGTGGGAGTATAAAAGAAGCAAAGGAAGAAGGATAAAATATGAGTGAAATAAGGAGACTGAATCTGATTTAAACTTCCTTTTTTTTTCCTTTGTGCTCAGCAGGGTGAGAGGCTTCCTCTGCCGAGGCTGTGGGAGATATCACAAGGCAAACAGTGCCAGAGGGAGAATTCACAAATCTATTATATTCAAGTTATGCAAACTAAACAAAAAAGATATTGGCAGTGGATGGAAAGTCAATGCAATTTTATACAGAATTCAGGAATCTGGGGAGTAGATGGAAGGCACTGACGAATAGGACACAAAGCAGTGAGTGAAAGACGGATTTCAACAATAAAAGCTCGGAAGCCTGGAGGCGTTATGGGGTCTGAATTATTCACATTTAGGACGGGAGTGACGAAGAGGAGGGAGAGTCCGTCAGACCTGGGGCCTAATTGTAAATCTAGCTCAGCAGAGTGATTTCACAGAGAAGTTCTTTCTGATTAATAAATATCCAGCAACCATCCATATGGTAGAATCAACTGCCACAAAGTTATCCGCATCTTAAAGGTTACTGCAAGAAACACAAATTCATTTTAAATACCAAACTAGCAAAGTGGACAAGAAAACATTGTTTTCAACACTAAAGAATAAAAAAGCCGAATTATTGTGAGGTGCATTCATATCGTCTGCCCGTGTCCAATACTTTGTTGTAACATCCGGATTTTTTATTCAGAAGTCTTTCATTAGCTCATCCTTTATCTACCTCCATAAGATTGGAGCAGCTTCTCTACTCCTTCTGAAGAAAAGCTTCCCCACAGGATAATGGAGCCACCACCTTGTTTCAGAGATCTATTCTGATAAAAATTCCACATCAAAGTTAGGCGCTATTTTTAGGCCTGTCTACTACACAAAATCTCAAATACATCAAAGTTTGCGATTTTAAGAGTCCCTGTAAATAAAGAGTAACTTCCAGTATTGATGTATCATGACTGATGTTTCTTTTCGTCCAAATAACCTGAGTAAACACAAAATGGCAACTTAATTTATGAAAGAGTGAGACATTTTAATCCAGATGGATTATCTGAAAATATGAAAGCAACCCTTTAAATCTGACGCTAAACCAAAGAATTTCATTAAAAGATCAGTGTCAAAGTCTGGAGCTTCAGGACAGGGTGAAACAAATATAAATAATGCAGCTAAATATTCTACTCTCTACCAGACCGTTCTGAATTTTAACATCAGGCCATCAGTTAACCAATAGCCTGAACAAATTTGGGATGACTTAACGGGATAGTGACCAAAATCAGGCTGAAAAACCTTCCAACACTACTAAATTAAAACTATTCTGCAAAGAACTTGGTGTTCTTTCCAAATGCTGTTGGCACAAAAAGCTGCCAAGGGTTGTTGGGTTAAGGGGGAGTTTGCTTTTTCTTTTTTTCCCCTCCTCTCAGCCAGGCTTGGTTCAGAGAGTTGTTTTTCTCTAATAAACAGATTGCTGCATCCAAAATTATTGTATAATTTGAAACATTTGACTTTGACCGAAAGCAAAAACAGAACAAATTTGTGAGGGAAGAAATGTTTTTTTAACTGACCCCTTACCCTGTGATGCATTCAATAATAAATAATCTTGTGTGGAGATCCAACCGAAGACAACACACGCACTGAAACAACTCTGTTATGTCCCAAAATACCTCCTGCCCCCTGACAACGACAGTACACGTCCACATGCTTAGACTTCCTGACAATTCAATTCTAAAATACTTTATTAATCCCAAAGGGAACTTAAATGTTGCAGTAACTTTTTGTCAAATTGTAGGTGCTGATAGCTGTAAGCAGGAAGGCTCCTCTGTAGTGGTGTGTATTGCACAAGGTCTGGAGAAGCCTCTGATTGAAGACACTTTGTTGCAGTTTATAAAACCTTCTTAAGAGGATGCTCAATGCTGTGGGGACCCCCCAGGGACATAAATCAAAATTAACTTTCATATACACATATTAAATTAAACTCTTTCATGTAATATACTGAAAAACATGCATAAACACCAGTGAAATGCTCTCACATAAACTAGTGAAAACTTTGACCTCTTATATAGCCTACTGAAAACCTTGCACAAACACTGGTGAAAAGCTTAAATAACCTACTCAAAAGCTCTCAAACAAAGTAGTGAGAACTGTTTATATAAACTAGTGAAAAGCTTTACCTTTCATACATACTACTAAAAAGCTTTCATATACACTACTGAAAAGCTTTCATACATACTACCGAAAAGCTTTCAAACACACAACTGAAAAGGTTTCATACACACAACTGAAAAGGTTTCATACACACAACTGAAAAGGTTTCATACACACTACTGAAAAGCTCTCATATAGACTACTAAAAAGCTTTCATACATACTACCGAAAAGCTTTCAAACACACAACTGAAAAGGTTTCATACAAACTACTGAAAAGCTCTCATATACACTACTGAAAAGCTTTCATACACACTACTGAAAATCTTTCATACATACTACTGAAAAGCTTTCAAACACACAACTGAAAAGGTTTTATCCACACTACTGAAAAGCTCTCATATACACTACTGAAAAGCTTTCATACACACTACTGAAATTCTCTCATATACACTACTGAAAAGCTTTCATACACACTACTGAAAATCTTTCATACATACTACCGAAAAGCTTTCAAACACACAACTGAAAAGCTTTCAAACACAACTGAAAAGGTTTCATACACACTACTGAAATGCTCTCATATACACTACCGAAAAGCTTTCAAACACACTACTGAAAAGGTTTCATACACACTACTAAAACGCTCTCATATACACTACTGAAAAGCTTTCATACATACTACTAAAAAGCTTTCATATACACTACTAAAAAAATTCTAATACACTACTGAAAAACCGTATTCCTTTTTAGTTGTGTACATAAAAGCTTTTCAGTAGTATGTATGAAACCTTTTTAGTAGTGTATATGAAAGCTTTTCAGTGGTGTGTACGAAAGGTAAAGCTTTTTACCAACAGTTCTCACTACTTCGTATGAGAGCTTTTGAGTAAGTTATATAAAAGGTAAATGTTTTCACAAGTTTATGTGAGAGCTTTTCACTAGTGTTTTTATGCACTTTTTTGTATATTATATGGAAGAGTTTAATCTAATATGTTTATATGGAAGTTAATTCTGATTTATGTCACTGGGGAACCCCAAACAATGCTGTCCATAATGTTCTTCACTTTATGAAGAATTCTTCTTTGTGAAACAATTTTCAGAGGTTCTAGAAGAGCTCCTAGAACATAGCTGACCTTCTTTAATAACTTGTTAAGCTTTTTTTTTTTTTTTTTTTAAGTAATTTACTCTGATGCGGTTACCGCAGCAGAGGATGTAGAAAGGGATCACACGCTCCCCAACAGACTTTAGGATATGTAGCATCTTGTTGCAAACACTCAAAAACATCAGTATCTTTAGTAAGTACAATATGCTCTGTCCCTGTTCTTTTAGATCACCTCACAGTTGCGTCTCCAGTCTAGTTTGTTGTCCAGGTGAACACCAAGGTATTTATACTACTCCACCATCTCTACTTCGTCTCCCATGATGTTAATAGGATTCAACATGTTCCTGTTTCTGCAGGTAACAAGACTCTAATACTGGAAGTCAGAGGTGTAAAGAGTAAAAAGGAATAGTGAGAGCATCAATTTCACCATATAATTTCAGAATGATCCCTTCCCAAATGAAAATTATCCTTATTTTTTCTTACTCCATACTGGGACATTTTATCTGTTACGGCTTCTAAACAAATTGGTCAGAAGATATTGCTAGCTGTAACCGTTAAGGTTATTTGGTAAGACATGAGGAGGTCAAAGTATGCTCAATATTTATGAATCTTTAGCATTTCTAAAAATGGAATATGGCCATCATCACTTTGTCTAAAAAAGTCTTCAACACCCCTCAAGTCTGTCCAAAAGCGCAAGGAATTCTGTCTCTGAGGACTGAGCAAGAGAATCAGGTTGCTTAGAGTGCAGAGCTTTGTCATCTTGGCAAAATGTAGGTGTGTGTTCCTCTGCACATAAGGTGAAGGGAATACTTTTGGACAATGGTTTTGCAATAGAAAAACAAAGTAAAAGACAGGACTAAGTTAGGAATCTCATAAATCTTTCTCTTGAAAGTTAGTCTCACTACTTAGTTTCAACTTAATTGTCATTGAGAAAACCTTAGAAGACATACCTTGAGTTCCTCGACAGCCTTGCGAAGCTCTTCTGGCGTCTTGTATGTGAAATCTCTCTCCAGATAGTCTTCCTCTGCCTGGTTTATCCATTCTTGCATTTCTTGCATCTCTTTCCTCAAGGCCATAGTCTTGTCCAGGCCCCCTTTGAGGGCAGACTTCTTTGCATAGGCCTAAAGAGAGTAGAGAGGTGAATGACGTCAAGGATAAATAAAGTCAGACATAAATGTTCTGTGTGCAGTTGTTGCAGACCTGTTTGCAGACATTCTCCCACTGAGCATTCAGCTGATCCAGTTCCTTTTGGATGTGAATGGCATAGGGTGGCTCTGCTTCTTTCTTAAGGTATAGACCCACTTCGTTGATTCCGTTCACGCTGGGTTGGATGGTGTGGATGTCGTTTACTAGAGCCTATTTTTTTTTAAAAAGGGCACAAGAGATAGAGAATGGCCCGGGTGATTGTTAACCATTAACCATCGATTTTGTTTGCAATTCAGGGTGATTTTTCAAAAACCCTTCAAGTAATATAATCGTCAGTTGAAAAAACAATGTATCTAGATTGTAGATTCATGCTTGTTTTCTTACAGTGCACTGCTCTAACTGTTTTTCCAGAGCTTCAGAGTCACCCAGAGCAGGCCACTCCTCATTCAGAAAGACATCCACATCTGCCATCCATTTCTTCAGAGTCTTCACGTCATTCTAGCAGAGGGAGGCGGACAGAGAGTCAGACTAGAACATAACATGTACATTTGGTCCATCTTTGTCAAAAACATTGCTTTGGTTTCACCTCAAACTGCATCAGTTTGGCCATGAGCTCCTGGATTCTCTGGACACTGTCTGCCAGAGTGGAGCCAAGTCGTCTCCAGCGCGCCATTATGCCATCCATCTCTATACGATACCTACAACACAAGAGGAACTCCTGTGGGCATCTTATCTCCACATCTGCTAACAATCAAAGAAACTAAACCCATGTGAAGGGATAAAGCTGCACCCAGATATATTTTTTAAAATGCCATCAGTGTGGTTTGTAGCTAAAACGCCAGGGCTAATGGCTATTTACAGACAGGAGCTGGTTTGGGCTGTGCACAAGAGGTTGTTATATCCTCCTTGGCAGCGATCTAAAGCAGCCATGAGTATTCTCATTCCATGTGGAGTGAATTCAACCTACTTGGCCTTCTAGCAATGTTTTATTTAGTTTCAGAAGATATCTCTGTGTCCCCCTATGCTTCGTATAATGACCTTTAAATATGACATCAGGATTCTGCCAAAAGTGCACACACGTAATAAATACTCCTATGAGCAGCTTTACTTTATACAAACGCTCGTAAACTTTTTGTCGATGTCCGATGACCTTTTTTAAAAGACAACCTACATTCACTCAGAATCCAGAATTCATCCCGACCATGTTATATCAAAAAATAACTTTCCTAACCAACCTTCCAACTCTTGAAGCAAAGCGGTTAGAGAAGGAGCAAGAACTCACGTGGGTGATATGTTGGGGCTTCATTGGGGCGCATGTGACATGTTAAATATGTGTGTGAGGAGTAGTTGCTCATAGGATTATTTATTGTGAGCAGTTTTGGCAGAATCCTGGCGCCATATTTAAAGCTAAAGGTGTCTGAGACCACAGCACACCTGAAATTAACCAGAAACCAATTAGCAGGAAACGCTCTGCATGTTCAAAGCTCTCCTAAGGCTTATAATGTTAAGTCTTACTTTTGACTTATGTCTGCTGGAGCTTTCTGGAAGACCTGCTCCACGGCTGATGTCAAGTAGTCCACCTCCCTCTGGTGTTCAGCCAGGGATACCTGAAGAGCCTGAGAGGGAAGCAGAGACAAAAACCATGGGAAAGATAAGACCAAACAAACAGCAAAGCAGGGGTTATTGAAGATTCTGTATGAAGAGATTTATATGGAAAGAGTCTAAATCCAGAGAGTACAGGAAAAAGTACATTAAATCTTTTAGGATATAACTTGTACACAGCAACTTCTGTTTGCACTTTTTTTTTTCAAACCTCATTCATATGACTTAGACCTAGATAGATTTTATTTCGTCATTTTGAACACACAAGTGCCCCTTCATAAGGTAAGCAGCAGTGATAAAAACATTGTGATGAAAAACAGTAATTTAAACATATGACTGTACAGTTACAGTTCTAACATTCATTTTATTTATTTATTGTTTTTATAGATGCCCGATGTGTTAATTACTGACTAAATAAATTAAGAAATTGTTCTTACACGTTTTTAAACTCATTTATGAGTTAAAACAAACCAGGAACCTATTAGGTTACTAAATCTATAAATTGTGATAAACATGATTAATTGTATGTTGTTATGTTGCTCTGAAATACTGTTAGGCTATTCATTACTTTGTTTTAGTGAAGTGGACGCTTGGGTATACGTCTCTGTTTTAACTGTATTCTAGCAGTAAATTATATTAAAAAAAACGATCTTTTAAATGATAAATATTCAAAACATAATTTTAATTATGCAATATCATTTTTAATTATTTAATCATGCATTTTTTAACTTTTAGTATTTGAATTCTGTATTAGAAAATATATATATTACATCCTTTTTACATGGTAAATTTTTTTTTTTTTTCATGGGATTCACACTTATTTTATAATGTATAAAAAAAATCAATTTGTTATTTCACTCTATATTTATTGACAAATAAAATTAAACATGTAATATTTACATATATTTTTTGAATGACAATAAAGTATTAGCTTAACTGTTTAACAGTTGATTTTAAATATTTTAATCGGATTTTATGCTATTTAATTGTGCATTTTATAGTGTATGATATTTAAATTGCATAAAAATAAATAAAGGATACATCTACTCATTTCATGGTACATATATCTATTTCATGGGATTAACATTTATTTATCCTCTGGGATTACATCACAGTGATTGTGAAAACCATCTTGAAATTCCCCACTTGATGCCTTGTGACCCCCTACTTTAGAAATCCCATCTTTAAAAGTATGTGGGTTGACTCCAGTTATTGAGTTATGCAAGTGGTAGATCCTTTAAGGAGCTGTGGATTTAATCTGTCATAATCTATCATTTAATTTTTTTTCAATCATCTTGACATCTTTAATCTGACCCCCCCATCACCTGAGGAATGGCTAATTTATTTCACATATAATGAGAGCTATAGGCTACGAGTGGAACTGAATAAATAACAGCTTATCAGCATGCAGGATGAATCCCTAATTATTATCTGCAACTCTAATTAAGTGCAGGCTACAGTAAGAGGCTACTATCAAATGCAGCTGACATGCACACATATTCATGAATGCACACTTGCAGCTCCAATGTACTCTTCACTTCATTTAAAATCAAAATCAATGTGACTAATCCGAAATTGTATCTTTTTGAAAGCAGATATGGATTATTGTTACGTATCAGGGCCTGAAATGTTATTTCTCTGGCGTTAAAATTGGCAGCGTAATGGCTTTCCCGCTGCTGCGTGAATGTGTGTGTGCATTTCTAGGTAGATATTGAGATAAAGCGAGACAGCGACTCGCTCCATTGGGATTTTGCTCATCCGCCTCCTGTAATTACAGGGTTGCAGACACACACATTCACTTTACACGTACCCCTTGGTTAAAAAGCCATCTCTACAGAGGGGGTTTATTTTTTTTTTCTGACTTAGATTTATTTTTAGAGAGCCTGACCAAAACACTGGAGACCTAATAATAAGTTGAAGCTTATTTTCAATCAATCAACCATAAAGAAGGTTGCTGGGTTTTGGTTGGACTTAACAACACACGGGTTCTAAATGATATTACATTAGCCACTCTTGGGCATCATGTTGATAGTGGTATACTCTATGTGCCACTGTATATGTAGCCAATTCTAGAGGGCTGTACAGTGCAAGCATCAGTGTTTCCAACTCCACTACAAAAAAATTCGCTACTGGCTGTCCTAAAAGGCGCTATAAGGCGCTTTTTGCATATTTCATGTCATCCAACTGTAGGAGATTCAAAACCGCTCCAATTCCCTTTTTTTGGTCTGTCAAAGCAGTGCAGAAATATAGCTGAGGGTATTAGCATTTTATAGAAAGAAACAAGAAAACTAAATAAACATAGATAAGCCATTTATTTCCACACTGCATGCCAGTTAGGCTGTGTTCACACCGCAGCCTGAAGTGCCCACATGTGACCTGCATCTGAACAACACAGATCCTATTTTTTCCAATGCGACCCAGGCCACTTGGCTATGTGGTCCTGAATCCGATACGAAGCTGATCTTTTCCAACGCGACCTGTGTCTGAACCGCCAGGTCCCATCCATCCTGTCTGAACGTCATTAATACCCGACAAAGGTCACTATTCTGGGTCTTGCTATGAAGAAATGGCAAGAAAAACAACAACCATGGCGGACGATGATGCGCAGAGCAGTATTTTTTTTAACCATCTTGAAAAGATTGAGGTTTTAAGGTTTAGAATCATCGATAGATGCTCTCCAGCACTACCATCCATGTTTACTTCCGTAAACCCAGAGCCACTGGCTTGTGATGTCATTGCATCCTCTACTGCGCATAGCCTTAGTGTCTGGAAAGAAGAAGAAAGTAGCCAATAGCAGAAAGGGAGAGAAATTTAAAAAAGCACCGGTTCATTTTTATAAAACTTGCTTTATAAATAATTTTTAATCCTTAATGAGATTAGTAACAGCTTAGAAGTTTAAAGATTCTCTCTCTCTACTGCGGCGCAGCGTGCAGGCAGACTGCCCTGCATGAATCATGACAGCAGACAAGAGAGAGGAGAGCAGGAGGTGGGTTGTGAATCTAATCGCTCTGGAGAGCAGAGTTCTGTGCTTCTATATGTTGTCGCCAAAGTCTCCAGTACCAGAAAAAAAGTTGCTACATTTGGTGCTAGGAGCTTTTTTAAACTAAAAGCGCTAGTGTGGTCTGAAAAGTCGCTTAATATAGCGACGAAAGCGACAAGTTGGCAACACTGGCGAGCGTTATATTCGCATTTAGGCATAGAAGCATGTGTGAAAGTACAGATTTCACTCATTTCATTCACATGTTGCTCCTAAAATAAGTTGGGCTTGATGTAAATAAGATATCCGTTTGTCTTTTATTAAAAAATAAGAAAGAAAATTCAGAAAAAGTCAAATGTTAAATTGGTTTGGGGAAATAGCTAAAGCTGTAATGCATAATTATCAGCAACATCTAATGTTCAGATTGCAGCGACATGACCTGTCCCCCCCCACACAATCGAATGCACCCAATATCTGTACTTGTGCGTTCTCATGTGTTCGTGAAACGCCATCAGCCTCAGCCCTGGTAATGTTCAAGTTCTGAAGAACACAAGACAGAGAACGGACAAAATCCCCGGATGTTGTTGTCGTCCCTCCCTCTTTACCCAGCATGCATCAGAGCAGACTTGTCCGTTCTTGAGATTGACAGCTGTCCCAGCATGCACTGCGGCAGCAGCAGCTTCCAGCTGAGCGCTCACAAAGCTAGTATTAAGTTAAAACCTTACTTTAATGTTCTATAAAAGTACGTTTTAACATCGTTTGACATTGTATAGTTTTAAGCTTCATTATAGAGCCTATTTACTGATTAAGTGCGTGATTTAAAAAAAAAAGTTCAAATAGTGAAGGACCGTGTTAATCAGCGGACCTCCGAGGCTAACCGCAGCCAGGGCTAATATCCAGATTCATGCTACGTTTTCCCCAAGTCTATACCTTCCTGTGTTCTTGTCAAGAATGTACTCGCATTCTTGTGAATTGAAAAACTCTCCCTTCTAACAATACAAGTACATTCACGGTACAAGATGGCTTCCATGACGTCCACTTAACCAGTCTTGTTTTGGTGAAGGAAGCCGGAGAGAAAAGCTTTTAAAAAGCAAAATGGAAGACGGAAAATAACTTTGACAGAGGATGAAGCAGGGAATGCTCTTATGAGATCTATGGGTGGCTTTAAAAATAAAAAAAAAACAGGTTGGAAAAAGTGTTTTTTCTTTTTAATCTCTTCGCTGGAACCTAAAAAAAAACAATAGCTTGTGTAAATATAAAGTCAAAATCCTTCCGAAAGTGTTGGTACTGAGATCAATATAAGTGTTTTAAAAGGCAAATTTATGATTAATTTGATATCCTCATTTGAAATTGTGTCCTTTAACCAAGCTGAAACCGCATCCGTCACATAAACCGACGTGAATTTCCAGGTTAGCGCCTCTTCTATCAGATAAACTTTCCTACTGTGGCTGAAGGGTTTAAAATCAAGCTTCCAGCTAATGATCCACAAACGCCGTGATCTTCCTCTGCCTGCTGCTTCAAAGTGTAACAGGAGGCATCCTTTCACTCAGTGTAACTGATAATAAAACCTTACTACTTATAGTAAAAACTGATTAAAGGCTCGCACAGCCTGGGAGAAACATAAAACCAGTCCCATCTCGGTCATTTTAGGGATTTGTAAACAGAGGTAAACACTACTAAAACAAGCACCAAAAAGACGCAAAAAATAAATTAGATAGATAGATAGATAGATAGATAGATGATAGATAGATAGATAGATAGATAGATGACAGAGAGATAGATAGATAGATAGATAGATAGATGACAGAGAGATAGATAGATAGATAGATAGATAGATAGATAGATAGATAGATAGATAGATAGATAGATAGATAGATAGATAGATAGATAGATAGATAGATAGATAGATGATAGATAGATAGATAGATGACAGAGAGATAGATAGATAGATAGATAGATAGATAGATAGATAGATAGATGATAGATAGATAGATAGATAGATAGATAGATGATAGATAGATAGACGATAGATAGATAGATAGATAGATAGATAGATAGATAGATAGATAGATAGACGCAGTTAATCAACAACATTTTTAGCAGTTTATTTAAAAAAAACAAGCCAAAAATATTATGATTAATTACATGATTTGTTCATTTTGAGAAGCTTCCCTAAGATCTTTATGAACAATAATTCCAGGAAAGCTTCAGGCTTTGGGGGTTCATGGGGGACCTCCTCATTGCAAGATTTACCAAGGCCAAGAAAGGCTAAATAAGATTTTGCATACAAAAGGGAGAAAATAGAAATACTACAGCAAGAGGGGACAAGAGAAAACCTGAAGAAGAAGTCAAAAAGAAAAAGAGTAAGTGGAGAGAAGAAGAGGGAAATGGAGAAAGGAGAAAAGGGAGAAAAATATAAAGGGTATATAAATCTTGGATTTTTGGTGTGTTTTAATTGGTTTCGTAAACATAAAATACAGTTTTAGAGATTTGGAGTTGTTCTCAATGGCAATTAGCTATGATATAATTTTGAACATTGGTGGAGCAAGCATGCTTGCTCTGCACTCCCAGCTATATCAGCTCTTCTTAAAACACCCTAAAAAAGTTTTGATACCCCCCTCCCCCCACTGTACATGGTTTAAAGGTTTAAACAGCAACTTTATTTACATTCTCTCATGCTTACAGAGAAAAGAATCTTCAGTGCATACCTGTAGATCCTTGAGTCTCTGCTCCATAATTGGATACTCTGTAACAGCCGTTGATGGGACGGAAAGTTTGGCTTCGCACTGCTGTAACCATGCCAACAGCGTGGATATGGTCTCTTTGTATTGGGCTGGGGGCAGGCTTTCCAAAACTGAGGACAGAAATGAAAATATGCTTTAGAGGCTGAAAGGTAGCCTAGACTTGTTGCAGTTTTAGCAAACGAGATGAAACTAGAAAATAAAATAAAAAAGTTTTTAGAACCACATGGACTTTTAGTTCACCGGTGAAATTATGGACAATTAAAAATACGCTTTTCTTTTGTGCTTATCTGAGCATAGATACACAAACAGCAGATTTAATTATAGATTAAATATAAATAAGTCCAAAAAATAAAAAAAACAACTAAAACTGGTTATTAAATTAATGAAGTGTTAAAACAGTGAAGAACTAATGATTGTTAATAAAAGTAAAAATAAACAACAGAAGGATGAATATGTGCTATAAATGAATTTTTACTCTATTTTAAGCACAGAAATTTATTTATTTTTTTTTTAGAAAAGTTTTAGAATAAGGCTACATTCCCTCAGCAGGGCTTGAAGCTCAATTCCGATATTTTTGGCTGAAATCCGATGTTTTTCTGCATGGTCGATCAAACTACCAACTGATGGCAGCCACTATCAGACCCCAGTCTGAACCCTCACAGCCCCAATGTGACCTGCATGTGCACGAGGACGAAGTACAGTGGGAGCCATTAAAAATTTTACCATTTTCCTTGGCTGGTCTCCTACACTTCCTTTTTAAGCATCAATCTTTGTACTAAAATATTCTTTCTGTCATGACTGACTGAAAAGAAGCGCCTTCTCCTGGTCAGACCCTGTAATTCAGAGAAAGGGTGGAGTCAGAGTAAAAAACTATGCACGCCCAGGAGAAGGAGTGGGTCACTGGGAGCTGGAGGGAAGTGGCCAGCCTAACCACTACAGTCATGGCCAAAAGTTTTGAGAATGATTCAAATGTTAATATTTACAAAGTTTACTGCTTCAGTTTTAACAGCAATTAATTGCAAAGTCAATATTTGCCTAGAAAATGAACTTTATCCCCTAAAACACATTTCAACGTCATTGAAGCCCTGCCTTAAAAGGACCAGCTAACATCGTTTCAGTGATTGCTCCATTAACACAGGTGTGGGTGGTGATGAGGACAGGGCTGGAGATCAATCTGTCACGAGGCTGGTGCTTGGCATCATTGTTTCTCTTCTGTGAACCATGGTTATCTCTAAAGAAACACGTGCAGTCCTCATTGCACTGCACAAAAATGGCCTAACAGGAAAGAGAATCGCAGCTAGAAAGATTGCACCTCAGTCAACAATCTATTGCATCATCAAGAACTTCAAGGAGAGAGGTTCCATTGTTGCCAAAAAGGCTCCAGGGCGCCCAAGAAAGACCAGCAAGTGCCAGGACCGTCTCTTAAAAGTGTTTCAGCTGCGGGATGGGGCTACCAGCAGTGCAGAGCTTGCTCAGGAATGGCAGCAGGCAGGTGCGAGTGGATCTGCACGCACCGTGAGGCGGAGACTCTTGGAGCAAGGCCTGGTCTCAAGGAGGGCAGCAAAGAAGCCACTTCCCTCCAGGAAAAACATCAGGGACAGAGTGATACTCTGCAAAAGGTACAGGGAGTGGACTGCTGAGGACTGAGGTCAAGTCATTTTCTCTGATGAATTCCCTTTCCGATTGTTTGGGACATCTGGAAAACAGCCTGTTGGGAGCAGACGAGGTGAGCGCTACCACCAGTCTTGTCTCATGCCAACTGTAAAGCATCCTGAAACCATTCGTGTGTGGGGTTGCTTCTCAGCCAAGGGAGTCGGCTCTCTCACAGTCTTACCTAAAAACACAGCCATGAATAAAGAATGGTACCAGAATGTCCTCCGAGAGCCACTTCTCCCAACCGTCCAAGAGCAGTTTGGTGATGAACAATGCCTGTTCCAGCATGATGGAGCACCTTGCCATAAAGCAAAGGTGATATATAACTGGCTCAGGTAACAAAACATAAAGATTTTTGGTCCATGGCCTGGAAACTCCCCTGATCTTAATCTCATTGAAAACTTGTGGTCAATCATCAAGAGACGGGTGGACAAAAGAAAACCTAGGAATTCTGACAAAATGCAATAATTGATTGTGCAAGAATGGACTGCTATTAGTCAAGATTTGGTCCAGAAGTTAATTGAGAGCATTCCAGGGAAAATTGCAGAGGTCACTGCAAATATTGACTTGCTGCATTAACTCATTCTGTCATTAAAAGCTTTTGTTACTCATAATATGATTGCAATTGTATTTTTGAATGTGATGACATCATCGGACATACACACATGAAAACCAGAAGGCAGCAGGTCATGTGAAAATATAATATTTGTGTCATTCTCAATACGTTTGGCCATGACTGTATATAGGGCACTACAGGTGCTGGTCATAAAATTAGAATATCATGAAAAAGTAGATTGATTTCAGTAATTCCATTTAAAAAGTGAAACTTGTATATAATATTCATACATTACATACAAACTCATATATTTCAGATGTTTATTTTGTTTAATTTTGATGATTACAAATGACAACAAATGAAAATCTCAAATTCATCATATCAGAAAATTAGAATATTACTGAAGACCAATAAAAACAAAGGATTTATAGAAATGTTGGCCAACTGAAAAGTATGAACATGAAAAGTATGAGCATGTACAGCACTCAGTATTTAGTTGGGCCTCCTTTGGCCTGTATTACTGCAGCAATGCGGCGTGGCATGGAGTCGATCAGTCTGTGGCACTGCTCAGGTGTTATGATAGCCCAGGTTGCTCCAATAGTGGCTTTTAGCTCTTCTGAATTGTTGGGTCTGGTGTATTGCATCTTCTTCTTCACAATACCCCATAGATTTTCTATGGGGTTAAGGTCAGGAGAGTTTGCTGGCCAATTAAGAACAGGGATACCATGGTCCTTCAACCAGGTACTGGTAGCTTTGGCACTGTGTGCAGGTGCCAAGTCCTGTTGGAAAATGAAATCTGCATCTCCAAAAAGTTGGTCAGCTGCAGGAAGCATGAAGTGCTCTAAAACTTCCTGGTATGTGGCTGCGTTGACCCTGGACCTCAGAAAACACAATGGACCAACACCAGCAGATGACATGGCACCCCAAACCATCACTGACTGTGGAAACTTTACACTGGACTTCAAGCAACGTGGATGAAGTGCCTCTCTTCTTTTCCTCCAGACTCTGGGACCTTGATTTCCAAAGGAAATGCAAAATTTACTTTCATCAGAGAACATGACTTTGGACCACTCACCAGCAGTCCAGTCCTGTTTCTCTTTAGCCCAGGCAAGACGCTTCTGACGCTGTCTGTGGTTCAAGAGTGGCTTGACACAAGGAATGCGACAGCAGAAACCCATGTCTTTCATACGTCTGTGTGTGTTGGTTCTTGAAGCACTCACTCCAGCTGCAGTCCACTTTTTTTGAATCTCCCCCACATTTTTGAATGGGTTTTGTTTCACAATCCTCTCCAGGGTGCGGTTATCTCTCTTGCTTGTACACTTTTTTCGACCACATCTTTTCCTTCCCTTCGCCTCTCTATTAATGTGCTTGGACACTGAGCTCTGTGAACAGCCAGCCTCTTTAGCGATGACCTTTTGTGTCTTGCCCTCCTTGTGCAAGGTGTCGATGGTCGTCTTTTGGACAACTGTCAAGTCAGCAGTCTTCCCCATGATTGTGTAGCCTATAGAACTAGACTGAAAGACCATTTAAAGGCTTTTGCAGGTGGTTTGAGTTAATTAGCTGATTAGAGTGTGGCACCAGGGGCCATCAATTTTGAACCTTTTCACAATATTCTAATTTTCTGATATGATGAATTTGAGATTTTCATTTGTTGTCATTTGTAATCATCAAAATTAAACAAAATAAACATCTGAAATATATGAGTTTGTATGTAATGTATGAATATAATATACAAGTTTCACTTTTTAAATGGAATTACTGAAATCAATCTACTTTTTCATGATATTCTAATTTTATGACCAGCACCTGTATATACCCATTTCAGATGAGTGTCCGAATGACTAGTGGATGAAAAAGTAGCGGACAAGAAATTTCCCAAAATGCACCTTAAAAAGTAGTGATCATCCATGTTCTCTTGACGAGCAGATATATCACGGAATTCTTTGGGAGGAGGGTTCTCCTCGCAAAGCATCATGGGATTTGTTGTCACAGTGGCCTGCTGTCGCCCAAGGCTCTAGCTACCATGACAGGGGCGACTAATAACAAAGATGGCTGAGATACGGTGCGGGGAGGCGAAGTAATGTTACCAACGGGGAGCGAAAAGTAGTGATCATCTGTAAAGTATACAATATAGTCAACTCTCTATTTAGTGATTGAGGGATTTAGGGTTTAGGGCGGACGTTCTGACAGAGCCCTGGTCCGGGTTAATTGGCTGTAAGGTGTCCGGTAAAAAGGGTTATAGGACACCTACAAAAAAAGTTCCTGTCAAATAGTCTAATAGTTTCTGCCAGCTAAAACGTTAGCTGGAAACGGGAAGATGGTTTACGCTGGTTACCTTGGTAACACATCACAGCTAAAGATGCAGGATTTCCAGAAAAGTAACGAATCATAGGAGGATTTCTTTGTCCTTCAAAGTGACAAAAGTTGACATGAGAGCACAGGAACTGATCCAAATGTGAGAAGGCAGAAGCAGTCGTGTGTGTGATGCATTGGATACAAGTGGTGAAACCCCATCAGGGAGCAATGTCTTCAAAATATGCTAACATATTTAAGCTAAGTAGGACATTAGTGAAGGAATCTAAACTAGTGATTAGCTGTTGAGTTTGAAAAGTTGCAGTTATGTCAATGCTCTCACCCAGCTGTAGTAGCCTCTCTCTGGCCCGCAGGTCCTCCAAAACCTTATGGTAGTGTTCTTTGAATGCAGAGATGTCAGCATCCAAAAAGGCAGAAGGGTCCTCCTCTCCTTCCTTTTCATCTTTCAATTCCTTCAAACGCTTTTCAAGGAGCTCCACCTGGGGCTGCAGGGAGGAAAGGCGAGCCACCTCCTCCTGTTATTACAACAGAGTAAAGGAACAAATTTGAACCCTAATCCAACATCATTCAGTTTGGCGAGAAATAGGCGAGCAGCAAACTCTCCAAATCTATACATCGTTTGTGCCTTCATCTAGCCTCCATTCTTGCTTAAACTCTCTAGCTTTTAGATTATGTTAGAAAAGGCCAATAGAACCACCAAGGGAACAGCCACAGGTTGGGCAGAATATGAAGGTAACCCATTTATAAAAAGTTTGATATAGAATTCTATAGGGTAGCATATGAGTTTATTTGACACGGAGATTTTGGAGCATTTTAAAAGCCTGCAGTGCAAAATGTTCAAGCTAGTAACTTGGAATACCTTTTGTATGCATTTAAAAACACTACATAAAAAAAATTAAAAAAATCTGCATAAAATGGCTTTCAGATTTGACATTAAGTGCCCATTAATCCTGATTCCTTACTACTCTGCATATATTAGCTGTGACATATGAATGAAGATGCTATGACTGATGATTGGCCAAATTTAGGTGTACAAGCTGACATATGACTAACCGCCCTGCATAAAATATAGAACCCCCCCCCCCAAATTTTATTATAAAATTAAATTGCAATCATTATATTTTATAATATATATAAAATATATTAATTTTATTAGTATATTAAGGCTCAAAAGCATTACATGGTTCCTTTACCATTTTCAGGCACCATTAAAAGCCATTGTAGTGGCCCTAAAGTTACAAGACCCCTGCATTAGAAGAACAACTTGGTTATAAAGTTTAAGAAGAGGCAATAAACTATCTTAATGTTACCGTTTGAGGTTTTGATCGGCCAATACATTAGATAAGAAAAGCCAAGACTGTGGAGTACTGCAGGATGACATTTTCCGACACTGCAAGAGAACCCTGATCAATAAACCCACATGGGGTTAAGAGCAGAGCTCAACAAAGTCAGAACTCCTCTTTAATGTCTTCCAACAGGGCAACGGAGCTTCTCTGTGCTTTGGAACAGCAGGTGACGACAACCGTGAACCCCTGAGAAGCGGAAATCTATTAAGTAAGAATCAACATCAGTTGCTCTTGTAAAACTGCAATGATCAGTATCATCGGCTCAGAAAACATTTAAATAGGGGAATTAAAAGGAAAGCGATTGTATGTTGTTTATAAATATATTTCTTCCTCTTGGTGGTGAAGATTCTAAGTCATCCAGCTCATAATCCTTCCAAAAAAAGAAAGTTAAAAACAATCCACTTTGTTTCCACGTTTGAAGACGTTTCTCTTCCCATCCAGGAAGATTTTTAAATTGAAAATGTCGAATGAATAGCATTGAGTTTAAGGTTTTATACAGTAGCCCATCAAAACCGACAGAGGTTTTGATGGGCTACTGACAGAGGGGGTGGACTAAGATTTCAGCTTTTAAAAACCTACAATACAACAATTGATTTGATCCCTTCCTGCTATGACCGCAGCCCCAACCCCTGTACAGGAGAGCAGAAGACCTCGCCTATTCAGCCAGGCCAACAATTCCCTTTAACGACCCCCCTTTTAGAGACTTAGATGGGGAGCAATGCAGGCTAATAAAATTCAAATTTTACTGTTTTCAAGGCTGCACTTTAAAAAAAGCAGGATATAGAACATTATTAAGGTTTATCTCCATTTTGACAAAAAAAAGAGATAAAATCAGAGCAAAAGAAAAACATTGATCCTTTCTATCTCTACATGCATTGAACGATCCCCGTTTCAGAGACTAAGAAGGGTATGGAGCAATGCAGGCTAACAGGCTAACAAAATTCAAATTTTACTGTTTTCAAGGCTCCACTTAAAAAAAAAAAAAAATTTCTAGAGCTGTTTTAAATGAAATTTCTTTTTGTAAACACTAATGTATACAAAATGCCAAAATAAATCTGTCTAAGTCTAACAGAAGCCAAACGACCCCCATTCAAAAGGGGTGGACCCCTTCGTCCGTTTCAATTTGCATGTTTTCAGAACAAAAACAAGGTTTTGATGAGCTACTGTATAAAACCTCGAACTCAACGCTATTCCTGACATTTTGAATTGAAAAAGATTCATGGATGTGGAGCGAAACGTCTTCAAACTTGAAAAAAAGTCCAGTGGATTGTTTTTTTTTTACTTTCTTTTTTGGAATTTCTCTCTCTTATGGTGTAGTATGATAGCCTGACGTAGTCCTACTCAATTCTAGTCAGAATATGAGTCTGATACTGCTCCATAGAGCTGTGATTATGGGGCTTGTTTCGAACGAACCAGGAAAAAAAATGCCTCTGCACTCAATTGGATAGACCTACAACCAATAAGAGCAACGGAGTGCGTGACGTATGTTAAGCGAGGCATAGTTGTTGTCAACAAAAATCAAAGCGTGCAGTTGCACGCCTAGAATAAGAAGATGAGACTTGATCGCGTTTCTCTGTTCCCCTTTTAAAATTAATTTGCTGTCGATATCTTCTAGAACAGACCTAATAGCAGAATCTACTCACCTCAACTCTCCAGCGGCAGCCATTATTGTTGTCGCCCAAGCGCGCTTTGGTCACGTGGTTGATTACGTTACTGTTGATCATCTGTCCATCATCGTATAAAGCCCGCCCTGACAATTTGATTGGCCCACCAGATATTGTGCTAGCATACTCGCGCTACTATTGAGCAATGCCAGACCGAACTTCCTGACCTCAAACATTGTGGGCTGGACTAAGTTCGGAATGGCACCCTGGCTAGTAGTATGATATGAAATTTACAAATAGTTCAAGTTCAAAATACAAATGCATAAAATGCTTTACAGATTTGTACCTGTAAAAACGGTTAAAAAAAACTTGCATATTTTACCTTCCATTAAATCCTATTCACATACATTGAAAAAATAAAATAAAATAAATGAAAAATATCAAAAAAATTTATTTTAGCCCCACCCCTCCACCTCACTACAAGCTGGAACTAAAGTAAAGCTAAACTAATCGGGGTTTATGTGTACTGAAGCTCTCTAGCAAGTAGTATTAATAGAAGTACTTACAGAATAAAGCTGTGACAAGGAGCGTGAAACAAAAACAAAAACGTGTAAAGCACCTATGAGAGCCTTATAGATAGAGTCAGGACTCCTTTAGCCTCACTCACCCGACATCTGTCTAGTTGTACTTTGAGAGGTTCTGGGTCCGACGCTGGAGGTGCCTGGACTTTGAGCCAGTTCTCACTGGTGTCCACCGCCTGCTCACACTGCTCGTACAAACTGTAGAAGGCCAGCACCTGCAGCACAAAAACACAATTTACTTCTACATCCACTTTATTTCAAATGTTTAGTACAGTTTGAATTCATGTTAGTTCATCTATGTAAGGTAACCTAATCTGGACGCATCGGCATTCTGAGGCCTCAGAATGCTGATGCGTCCAGATTAGGCTTCAGGAAATCCTATACACTACTGTTTATGCTCTAAAAACCTTCTAAATGACTTCGTTTCGAGTAAATTCTGGATGCTACCCACTCAGGACACTTGGAATACATTGGACGAGCAGTATGGAGGAATATTGACACGTTTTTTGTGGCCTTTTATGGACCTTTCTGTCTCGGACACCATAGACCTCCATTATTTGAATGTCAAACGTTTTATCAAACTCCTGGTTTGCAGAACCAGTAGGAAGCACCTTTGTTTGGTAAGCCAGCCAGGTCAGACGGTCCGACAGCAGGACACAGAATCCTGCCCAGCGCTGGTTGAGCTGATCTGCAGCCTGTGCGATGTCATCTGCACGGCTCCCCTCTGCAGACAATTGGAGAGAATAAGAGTGTTAGCCGACAACAGCAACAATTTGATCAAAAAGAGTCATTTGTAAAAAAGTAATTCCACCAAAGATAAACTCCAGTGGTTCTATTAAGTGTTGGCAATAAGTATGGAGGACCAAGAGTGTCACAAAAAACAAATATTCAAAATTAGGCATTAATGAATCCCCAGAACTAGAACCAAACATGGAGAAGCAGCATTTAGTTCCTAAGCTCAAATCATATAGAATGTACTACCAACAAGTATGCAAAAGCATATCAAAGAGAAAGTTTTTGGGATCTGTCTCCAAACACTCAAACAAAACGGTTTATTAAATGCCGCTTTAACATATTTTAAGAGATGTTTAAATTCTATTATTGTTCTGTTTGTTTTAGATGTGTTTGTTGGTGAGGAAAATAGCTAGGGGAAGACCTCTAAAAGTGTTCAGTTTTGTCTGGCAGAAGGTAGGAATGAGAGACGGGTACAAATTGAGCTTCCCTGCTTTCAGGGATGCCAACAATTACACAAGGACAGAGGTGAGGACACAAAAAAAGACATCTCTGTCCTCTCTCTCTCTGCGTGCTTCTCCATCGGTGTTTCTATGGAGACAAGCAGAGAGGGTGGGACAGGTGGAGGCGTTGCCATGGGGACAGACAGGGTGTGCATGCCAGTGTGTGAGAGTGCGAGTACCCTGCTCGACGAGCGTCTGCGCCGTGCGCGTCGCCTCCTGTAGCTTTCTGTACTTCTCTGGCCGCTCTCTGTCTATGGCCTGTGGGAAAGGGGGAAGCAGAAGAATAGAGAAGCTGAACAACGGAGCAGCATGGAGAAGCTCACTGACAGAGAGATCGACAGTTTAACCTCAGAGCAGCTTCTGTAATTAGTGACTCAAATGATCGCTTCAACTCTTTGACGTTTTTCCCGTTACGTGACAAACGTCAGTGTTTGGTCTGGAAAACAAAGTAGAGCAGTATAGGTATTTTTTTTCTCTCTACATTCAACAGCAGTGTTGTAGTCAGGACGAGCACCAAACACTTCATGTCACAAAGTGTGGAACATGAAGAAAGGTATTTCTCACATAAATCTGAAAGATCCACATTTCTACAAAAAAAACCAACATCTCAAGCACTCACAGCTGAAGTAAAGGTAACTGACTGTTTTTAATACTCTTACGTCCTATTTAATAAAATATTTCCTTAAACTGAAAATAAAAAGTATATTTGAAATAATTATTGTTGCTTTTTAGTACAATCTATAGGTCTGCTGTAGATATTATAAACCTCATTGTGACTGATTTTCATGTCTCAAGAATGACTATATATATATATATATATATATATATATATATATATATATATATATATATATATATATATATATATATATATATATATATATATATATATATATTCTTTTTTTCCCCAGCTTTTTTACTGTCATTACACACAGTCACAAGTACAACGTACCATATGCAATGATCATGGTTTTTGGACATTGGGAACCAGTGTCCATATTTCATCTTGAAATGATGACCAGAGAAGGAAACAAAAGTTTGGTGAATAACCAGCTATAAGATCTCTCCAACCCCCCGTTTTCAGCCAACTCCTCCGCAGGACGTCCCACAGAGGTGTGACTTGCCAGCCCCTCTATGTGAGGACAGAGAAACCACAGAATAAACCATATTCCTTCTCTTTTTCCTGCTCTCTTGCCCATGAAGCCGGGGTCGGCTTCGGCAGGATCTCTGGCAAGATGGAGATCCAAGGCCCAGGGGGAGCCCAGATCTCCAGAATTATCAAAGATAGGTCAGAACCTTTCAGAACCAAACTGCTGCAAAACAGACCTTTTGCAACATATTTCTCTTGAGTTTCAGAACTTATAGAGCCAGACTGGATGAGAAGCCTGCAAGCTAACAGGATGGACAGCATGCTACGCTATGCTACAGGAATATGTGTTGAGCTGTTGCTGAATCTTGGACAAGTTTTATTTCACTGAAGGGTCTAAACACTGATATAACATTAGTGTTCATGTGTTCCTTTTATGCTTATTACATTTTCATGACCAAGTATGACCAAGAGTCATTTAGTGGAATCCTGATGTCTATTCGCTGCTAGCTATTTCAAAGAGGGTAAAGAATCATTTGACTAAAGGTTATTGGTTCTTGATTAAGCAAATCATTTAATAAAACCTTATTTGGCCAAATAATGTTTTATTCACCTCATTGATTTGCATTGTGAATTGGTCCGAAAACATTACAGTTAGTGAAAAGCTAATTTAATCATATCCCAAATTCTTCCAGATAAACTTTGGTTTCAAACACAAAATCCATCTTAAACTGTGATATGGTTTTCAACCATGTTCCCCCTTCCTCTTCAAACATAGTAGTTTATTTTATTTTAGTTTAGTTTAGTAGAGTTTTACCAGTCTTAGTTGAGAGTGTTAAACTGAAATATGTTTGACTTGGAGCTGAATGCTTTTTGTTAATAAACTCTTATATTTTGAACAGAAGTTGTGGTGAATTTATTCCATGTATGTGCAGAATTCTCAGTTTGACCATGATTAGTGCTCGAATCACTCTTTCATTTATTGTTCTAACACGGGCGTGTGTTCATAAACAATATATAACAGCCTAAGTAATATCTGATTAAATAAGATATTACACCCCCCCACCAGGGAGGGCAATAAACATCTTAAAGTATCAGAAATATAAATTCCCAGCTGGCTGAGAATAGAAAAGAACATAAAATCGTAACAAAGCTAACTTAAAAGCTCTGAATTCAGTCAATATTTCTAGTCAAAACTTTCTCTCGCTGCTTTTTTTGTTGTAGCTTTTTCAGTTTATGCCAACATAACTGGTTCCAAATATTAAAGTAAATGATTCAAACTCAACAGCCTGTTTTGAAAGTTGGAAGTAGTTTAGGAGAAGAAACTGCTGTGTTGATGATTTGTGGAGCAAACTATAAAGACTCTGTATCAAAAATCAAAGTTGCAGTTTTTTTATATAATCTAAAATAGGGACACCAAAAAATCTGAATGATTATTTTGTATATTGTGAAAACCTAACAAAAGAAAACCTGCTCATTGGGGCAAAAAAGAGAAGATAATCGATTAAAAGATTCTTGTAAAGCAGGTCCAAAATTTGATAAACTAACTCCAAACCAGCTGCATTGAGGATCTTTAGCCTCCATTGGGGAAGACTTCCACAGTATATGTCCTCCTTAAAAGGTAATTCTACTTTTTATAATGAATCTTGACATCACTGTACATCTTCTACACTTTTTATTTTTATTTTTTCATCTTTTCCTAAAATGAACACAGGTCTTCAAAAATATTTCATTAAAAAGGTGCCGGCTCCCTTTGTGACAAAACTAGTGTTTGTGAGCTTCCATGAAGAATGTCTCTCCTTGGTTCCATGGATGAGACAAAAACAATCCCCAGGGAAGGTCCTTCTTTCAGTGAAAGTAGGTTTGGTCATTAGGGTCGTCTTTTTACTGGGTTTTGTCGTTTACCTTTAGCTGTAATTGTGTATTTTATTCCATCTAAGACCTTTTCACCATCACTGGAGTGTAGATTTAATAATATCCAACATCGAATTTCATTTATTCATTTGCTGGTATAATGGACACGAATTACTCAAACTAGAAAACACTAGTTATGAAAAGGTTTGACATTCTTTGATTAAGAAATCGATGTTGTCTCAAGACTACAGCTCAAACAGCCCTTCCAGGTATAACGGCTGAGTGAGATGCTGAGTGTAAAACGTATTCCTCACCCAGCTGAGTAATGATATTCAGCCACACAGATCTCAGCAGAATCCCTCACTGTAGGGGATTATTCTCACAAACAACCCGCCCTAAACACTTTTCTTTTTATGTTTTACCTGGACTTTGTCATGCAGCTCCCGAATGCTCCCATCTTTGCTTGACACAGAGAACTCGGGGCTCTGCAGGATGGCCTCACCACGGGTCATGTAGCTGTGGACCTCTGTGAAGTCCACGTCAAACCTGATGAGGTCAGAGAGAACAGATGTTCAATTAGCTGTGAATGCTGCTTTAATTGGTGCGGAGCAAAGAACTGCCGGAAGGAAGGAAGGAAGGAAGGAAGGAAGGAAGGAAGGAAGGAAGGAAGGAAGGAAGGAAGGAAGGAAGGAAGGAAGGAAGGAAGGAAGGAAGGAAGGAAGGAAGGAAGGAAGGATGGATGGATGGATGGATGGATGGATGGATGGATGGATGGATGGATGGATGGATGGATGGATGGATGGATGGATGGATGGATGGATGGATGGATGGATGGATGGATGGATGGATGGAAGGAAGGAAGGAAGGAAGGAAGGAAGGAAGGAAGGAAGGAAGGAAGGAAGGAAGGAAGGAAGGATGGATGGATGGATGGATGGATGGATGGATGGATGGATGGATGGATGGATGGATGGATGGATGGATGGATGGATGGATGGATGGATGGAAGGAAGGAAGGAAGGAAGGAAGGAAGGAAGGAAGGAAGGAAGGAAGGATGGATGGATGGATGGATGGATGGATGGATGGATGGATGGATGGATGGATGGATGGATGGATGGAAGGATGGATGGATGGATGGATGGATGGATGGATGGATGGATGGATGGATGGATGGATGGAAGGAAGGAAGGATGGATGGATGGATGGATGGATGGATGGATGGATGGATGGATGGATGGATGGATGGATGGAAGGATGGATGGATGGATGGATGGAAGGAAGGAAGGAAGGAAGGAAGGAAGGAAGGATGGATGGATGGATGGATGGATGGATGGATGGATGGATGGATGGATGGATGGAAGGAAGGAAGGATGGATGGATGGATGGATGGATGGATGGATGGATGGATGGATGGATGGATGGATGGATGGAAGGATGGATGGAAGGAAGGAAGGAAGGAAGGAAGGAAGGATGGATGGATGGATGGATGGAAGGAAGGAAGGATGGATGGATGGATGGATGGATGGATGGAAGGATGGATGGATGGATGGAAGGATGGATGGATGGATGGATGGATGGAAGGAAGGAAGGAAGGAAGGACGGAAGGACGGACGGACGGATATAAGGAAGGAAGGAAGGAAGGAAGGTTAGTGTGTTTCAGTCTAAACATTATATGTGTAGACTAAACATAAAATGTGATAATTACTAATACCTTGTTCGTTAAACTAATCAAACCATCTGAACATGCTGGGAGCTACATGATAAACTGACCGAGGTGATAAAAAGCCTCCATTCACAGAGTTCTGGAACCTCTAGGGATGATTATGCTTAATGAAAATAAGCGAAATGAAAAACCCTGTCCTTATCCTGATTCTAAAACATCTACACTCTCTGTATTCATTCTCAATTTCCGAGGTCTATTACCCCACTTTGGTCCACATGCAGTTCGGCATGTCTACCGAAATTATTTTATATCTCATCGTTCCTTTTGAGCTTGAATAAAACAACCATCTTCCTTCTTTAACTCGGTTTCCTTCATGCAACATTGACAATCCCTGATTGATCGACAGTAAGTACTGTCAGATAGCTTATCATCTAGGAGAGTCATGCATATTTAGCTCCATCCATGTTACATCTGCTCAAGATGTTACACCTGCTCAAGAGAACTATCCCCACAGCATGATGCTCCCACCACCCTGTGTCACAGTGGGGTGATTTCTTTCCCCTGGAATAAAATGATGTCTTACTTTTCTCTATATTCAAAAAGTTAGATTTTGTCTTCTTATATCTTTTTTTTCCACATAAAATATTGATAAAATATTTCAAAGTTTGAGCTCTGAACGCGAGAAAAACAAATTGGTTTAAAGGGTAAGCAATGGAGTAGTTGCTGCAAATCAAAATATATCTAAGGTCTAGATCCAAAGCATAAAACTAGAGTAAATATGATGCTTCTAATCACTAGTTGACCTCTGCAAACTTTCTAAGAGTTGCCATTGCTAATATGAGCACCAGGCCTCACCATAATCGGTATTATTACCTACCTGCTGAGGTAGGACAGCAGGAAAGGGTGCATAAAACTGAACATGTCACCGAGGTTAGATCAGGTCTTATATCAACTAATAAATAACAAATCTGGACACTCGCTCACCTTTTCCTCAGCTCAGAATCCACAACCACTTGTCTCTTCTTCTGAGGCGGTGGCGACTCGCGAGTATGCCGCAAAGCGGACACCTTCTCCCTCGTGGTCACCTTGGTAACGGTCGCCGAGACAGAGTGGGTCACCTCGGACTGCTTGGTTGTGCTTACAGCCGAGGAAACCTGAAAAGCCAAACTATTGTTTTAGATGAAACCAACGCTATAGATAGGAATGTTCTGCATCAGGTAGCTTTGAACCAGAAGGTGAGAGGGGATAAAAAAAAGGCCAGATAAAGATGTGAGCGAGTTCTAATTCAGAACATTCACAGTATTTCCTGTTTTTATGGGCATGTTTATTGCAGCCAGGAGCAGCCTAACGAGCTTTTAAAATCGAGTACAATTACTTGAATATCCCCGCTGCCATGGAAACGAAGGTGTTCAGCACCTGGAGTCAACCTGAAGAGGTCAATATAGTAATTGTCTGACTGATTATAACGGACAAGTGATTAAAAGAGTAAACGATGAAGTGAAGGAAGGATGGAAGGTGCAGGAACAAAGGATGGATTTGTTTATGATCTGGCTGTGTGTATGCGTGTGTGTGTGGGGGGAACAAAGAGGTGGTTGGTACTTGTTAATCTTTCCTATCTAGGACCTGTTCTGGTAAAAGCACTCGCCTTCTGATGATCGATGGACCTCATGGGGACCAAAGCCCAGTGCTAATGCATCAGGACATCATTTGTAAGCTTAGCTGTTCAGGTCTGTTCTCCTAATATGATCATGGTTGTGTCATTTTACCACTTAATACGTTCAAATTAAAGATTATGAAGACTTAAACCCTCTACATACACTCACTGCTCATCAGCAAAACACAAGCAGGGACATATTTTGAAGTTGATTATTACAAAGGTTGTAGAAGTTTCAAATATAACTAATGTTACCCTGTCTCACCACTCTTATGCTATTTTTGAAAGCAAAATTGACCAATCTACAAGAAAGCCTGGAAAACTGGGTCAGCTTTTTGGAAGCAGAGACCTTTTATTTCATTAGGTAACTATATCAGAGACCATAAAAATCACATTTGGCATTCCCCAAGGGTATATAGTAGGGCCCCTATTCAATATCTACATGCTAGTTCAGATTAAACATAATCACTATGCAGATAACACACAGCTATATGGTACAATGTCACCAGGTAACTCTTATTCCATTCCAGCACTGAGTAAATGCAGAGAACAAATAGAACACATGGGTGTGGCTAAAGGTTCTTCAGCTGAATCAAAAATGAATCGTGAGCATAAATTCTTGGACCAAAATAAGAGTGTTAGACCACAGCTTCTGTTAATCTAGATAGAAACCACTAATCAGGCTGTAAATCTTGGTATAGTCATTGACTCAGACCTGAACCTTCAGAGGCTCTTTAAGACAGCAACAAAGTCTGCCTCCATCACCTAAAGAACAACTCTACGATTAAGACTAACCGTTGATCTAATCTATCCCATGCCTTTGTTTTTACTTGCACTGACTGCTGCACTGGTGTCTCTACAGGTCTGCCTACAAAGTGGATCAGACAGCTGCAGCTGATCCACAGTGCTGCTGCCAGCGTCCTCACTAAAACTAAGAAAGTGGAGCATATCAGCCTAGTTCTAAAGTTCTTCCACTGGCTTCCCTTATCTACTGTAAGGTCTTACTTATTGCAAACGGATCACCAACACAGCCCTCTAACGTCTACTACAGACGCTGGATCGAAAGAAGAGAAGCAGTGTTTAGTTGTAATAATCTAGATCAGGCATCCCCAAAGTCGGTCCTCAAGGCCCCCTGTCCTGCAGGTTTTAGAGGTTTCCTCTCTCCAGCACAGCTGATTTTAATTGAAAGCTGATTAACAGGCTTTGGGTCTACTGCAATCATTATAACCAGCTGTGCTGAAGCAGAGAAACCTCTAAAACCTGGAGGACAGGGGGCCTTGAGGACGGAGTTTGGGGATGCCTGATCTAGAACAAACTCCCCAAAAAAAACCTAAGTGACTTTAAACCAAGTTGAAAACCAACTGGTTTGAAACTGAAACATTTTTAATTAAAGTTATCAGTTATTTACTTATTACTATGAATTTTTTTTTCGTACTGTTTTTTTAATGACGAATAACTGCTCACTTTGAATTGTTCCATTACTAAAATGCGCTAAATAAAAAAAATCTGCTCTCACTAGTATCTATTAGCCATGTGAGACCATCCTGATCTCGCGAGCTTTCAAGATTTCACTCGCCAATTAGTCTGGAGACTCTCCGCTGAAGAAAATTTGGAGCCGTTCACCAAACGAACGTCCAATCAGCGTTGGCTTTGAGGCGGGTTAAGGTGTGACGCAACGAAAAGCGCGACAGTTCAGTCTAAAGAACATGGCGGCTTCAGCCGATGAAACTAGCGTTAGCGTGGCTATCGAGCAAGTTTTATCGGAATTACAGAGTATTTCTTCACTGAAAGAAGAGTAAAACACTGCTCTGGAGGCTTTTCTCAGAGGAAAAGATGTTTTTGCTCTTCTCCCGACTGGTTTCGGCAAGAGTTTGATCTATCAATTGGCTCCTCTTCGTCGTCGCTCTCTTAGTACGTCATATGCTTCGTTGATCTGATTGGTTTAGTGGCCCGTCTATCACCAACAAAGGCCAATCAGCTAACCAGTATTTTCGCCCCTTCCCAAAATTACTTAAACGGAAGGTTTCCAGGTGGATATGCGGAGCAAATCCATCTGGCGGAGTCAGGTTAAGTATCTATATCCCTTAAAAACAATAAATTCTTTGCCCAACTTTGAATTTAGAGGCAAATTCTTATCAGAACACACATAGACTGTGTCCAAAATTCAAATACATCCTTTTTTAGAAGGAAAAGCATTGAGGTATTTGCTAGTAATGAACCTGACATGTAGGTTTCTTGTGTGAACAGCCCAAACTGATGAACGGCCAATCAGAAATTCAGAAGCAGAAGATTCACAGTTAGCTACTTTCAGTCTCTCATATGTTTAAAAGAACAAGAAAGCTGAAACGGAGCAAAAAGACATAACATAAAACATAAGTAAATTATGTGTTGTACTGCAGGAAAAACTAAACTTACCATTTTAGAAAGTATAAAGGGATTTGATCTCTTATTTGCATAATTGCTGCCGATGGATATCGTTTAGTGTTATTGTCTCAAAAACGAACATAAATCATTTATAGTTCTGTATAATTAACAAACCAAAAGCTTGATTGACATACATGGGAGATGTTCAAGTCCAGACTCTGGACCAGACGATCCCAACGCTGAGCAAAGCTGTCCAATCTGGCCTCTAGTTTGGAGGCTACTTCCTTGTTCTTGACGCTGAACAACAGATCCTGGCTCATGGAGCACAGCTTATCCATGGTGGGATGCTTCGCCTCCAGTTCTGCTTTCAGCATCTACAAGGACAACATTTGATCTGATTGCTCTCTATTTCCTGTATTATTATAATATTAATTAAAAAAAGTAAAGCTCACAGAAAGGCGACGCAAACAGGCTGCCATCTCTGCCTGGTCTTTCAGGTTGGAGGTCTTAATGGAGCGAACCAGCTCTTCCTTTTGCGTCAGCCAGGAGTCAAACAAACACTGTCAGCAAAGATATGAGCAGAAGAAAATGAGGCGTGAAAGTCGAGGCAGATTTTAGGAGAATTTCGAAAAAAATAACATTTAAAAAACAAGAAAATAAAATAAATATAACAGCTGAAAGAGAATAAGGCCTTTTTAATACAGCTGATAACTCTAGCACATTAAAAACATAATTTTAGCTGCTCTCACAAAGCTAAAACAATTAAAAGTAAGTATTTATAATACATGCATATAGGTGTTTCTGACATACTAGCACAGAACTGATGCATATATTTGGTCTTGTTACCTGCTGGTTCATTCATATATTAATATACCAAAAAAAACATACACTTTAAATAAAAAATGAGTCATTTAGGGCAGAAAACAAAGAGCAGATTTATCCAAGCAGTTGCAATGCAAATCTATCTTTTGGATTTTAATTAACTCTGACTTGTTAATCATGTTTAATCCCATGCTGTGATCTTAGACGCTGCAATTATTACTCGCTTAACATGAGCAAATCTGATATCTTAACCCGCTTAATGTGTTAGGTTGTCTTTCTTTTTTTTCAGTCTGCATTTGCAAAAGATGATTCATATAAAGCATGAAAGGTTTGGTCATTTCAGTCCTGTTCACTGGGGATCGGTTCATGATTGCAGCTCTACATACAGAAATGATTCCACTTGCTGTGATCACACTGTGGAAATGCAATCCATGCACATTTTCCAGCAACACGCCTAGAAACCAGAAGCTGTATGTGTTATGTGCTTCGGGCACATTATGATTTTTGTCTATTTCTTTTCTTTGTTTTCTTACAGACTTTAGTTGAAGGATCTTTTGTTAATATATTTTGGGAGTTGAATAATTCTTTTGGTCAGTTAATTATGTTAATTTGTGGTGCTGTTGTCCGCCTATAAATAGGCTGGCTTTCAGCATGTTTGGGCGTTCCTTTCCATCTTCGCCTGGACGCCGCTTTTCCACCTGCTTCCACTCGTTCCACCGTGCGTGGTGCGCACTTGTCTTGTCGCTGCGGGCGGCAGCGGACGTTCCAGCCTGCCATGCGGTATTTTGGTTAGCCGTTGCTTACTTTTTTTTCTTGTGGTTTTTGGCCTGGTGGGACCGGTTGTCCTATTTTCGATTTTTCTTTTGCTTAGGTTATTTTTGTGCTTTAGTCCGGTACCAGTAGGGGCTTCGATGGCCCTGTATAGGGTTGGCCCCCTGCTGTACCGTTTTGTTCTGTTTGATCGGCCTGCCAGGTCCAACTTTCTGCTGTTACTTTTGGGTTCTTATTTTTTGATTCCTTTGGGGCACGGGATCTGAGGGCCTCTAACTTTATTTTCTTCGCAGAAAATCAGAAGAAGCTGAGCCAAGAAAACTAAAGAGGAGAGAATTTATAAATAAAATATTTCTTTGAACCCTCATCTTTTTGTCTCGTGTCCTCAAATATGTTGTGCCCTTGGTGGACGTAACATATTTATGGGGGCTTGTTTAAACATATTTATGGGGGCTTGTTTAAACAAAGTTTGCCTTTAGAAACAGGTTGTTTCCTACGGTTGATTCTTGTTTGTTGGCGGTTATGCAGGTTTTGTGTGCATTTTTGCGCAGCTGACGCGCGTTGCGCTGGTTAATTAGAGCATTCGGTTCTGGTGGTGTTGTAGCTTTGTTTGTGCATGAGTGTTCCGGATTTAGTGTGGCTTGATTCCAGGGGTAGACATGGAGTTTGACCTGGATGAGTTTGTTCGAGAGCCTACATTGGATACTTTGCGTAAGTGCACAACGGATCTGTTGCTGTTAATAGCCGAGCATTTCGAGGTTACCGTAGATTAGACGATTTGGCTCTGGTGTTTTTGTGGCTTTGTGTGTGTGCTTGACAGTTTGTGTGGCGTGATTCCAGGGTTCGAACATGGTGTTTGACTTGGATGAGTTTGGTGAGAAGCCCACATTAGATGTCTTTAGTAAGTGCACGAAGGATATTTTTCCTGCTGCAGTTTTAACAAAGAGTCCTGATGAATCGCCGAAGAAAACCTCACTTGCAGCTGACCCGTTTCGTCTAAAGGAGCTTCAGGTCGAATTAGGACAGCTGGCTTTGATGGAGAAGGAGCTGTTGTTGGAAAAACGCAGACTGGAGTTGGTGAATCGGATGTATTTGCTGCGCTCGGTGGCGTTGAGAGCACATTGGATCATGTCTTGGATGTGAAAGCTAATGTAACGTGTTTTTATTGTAGGAAGAGAGGACAACGTAGTGGCCGACGCACTCTCACGACTCTAGTCCCGCTTTCCTTTTTTCTCTGAATGGGTTGAGTTTTTTTTTCAAACCCCATTCAGAGTCTTTGGGTGGGGGTGTTATGTGCTTCGGGCACATTATGATTTTTGTCTATTTCTTTTCTTTGTTTTCTTACAGACTTTAGTTGAAGGATCTTTTGTTAATATATTTTGGGAGTTGAATAATTCTTTTGGTCAGTTAATTATGTTAATTTGTGGTGCTGTTGTCCGCCTATAAATAGGCTGGCTTTCAGCATGTTTGGGCGTTCCTTTCCATCTTCGCCTGGACGCCGCTTTTCCACCTGCTTCCACTCGTTCCACCGTGCGTGGTGCGCACTTGTCTTGTCGCTGCGGGCGGCAGCGGACGTTCCAGCCTGCCATGCGGTATTTTGGTTAGCCGTTGCTTACTTTTTTTTCTTGTGGTTTTTGGCCTGGTGGGACCGGTTGTCCTATTTTCGATTTTTCTTTTGCTCAGGTTATTTTTGTGCTTTAGTCCGGGACCAGTAGGGGCTTCGACGGCCCTGTATAGGGTTGGCCCCCTGCTGTACCGTTTTGTTCTGTTTGATCGGCCTGCCAGGTCCAACTTTCTGCTGTTACTTTTGGGTTCTTATTTTTTGATTCCTTTGGGGCACGGGATCTGAGGGCCTCTAACTTTATTTTCTTCGCAGAAAATCAGAAGAAGCTGAGCCAAGAAAACTAAAGAGGAGAGAATTTATAAATAAAATATTTCTTTGAACCCTCATCCTTTTGTCTCGTGTCCTCAAATATGTTGTGCCCTTGGTGGACGTAACACTATGGAACCCTTTCAGTTTGAAAAAAAAATAATAAAAAAAAATCCCTTAATGCAAACTCAATTGTCTCCATTAATTTATCCATTTTGAAATTAGACATTGAGTTTGACCTTCTGTATTTATAATGAAAAAAACACCCTGGGCAAAGTTATCCTAAAACATTAATAATAATTGATTTTTCTAATTAAAAAAAGATACAGATTAGAGTTTTTTTTTTTTTTAAGTGTTTTAAATATAAAACATATTTTATTAAAAACCAGCTATTGTCACAAAGCGGCAAACTTTAGGTTGACGTTTCACCAGATATTTCGGTCTGGAGAGTTTATTTTAGAAGCACTCGTAAATATCTGGTGTGCAAATAAACTTTATTTTATCTTCATCTTCCTATATTATCCCTTTATGGGGTTCCTACATGTCTACCTACTTAAAAAAGAAACAAAAACAAAGATGGATATTTTACTCAATTCTTTATACGCAAAATAGCGCAATTAAATTGAAGGTATCTAAACACCATAGTTGAAGTCGTACACATGGTAAACATAAATATACTCTCAGTATATACCTTCTAGGTCTGGCTAAATTTTGTGCATCTTAGACTTTCTTTTCGGATTGCCCTCTATTTAACCCCAACCATTGTCTGCGTCTCTGCTAAAGGAAAGCTTTATGTTCCTGCGGCCATATTTGATGGTGGAAAGAATGCAATGCTGGGTGCTAAACAGATAGTTACGTCCCTCTACATCAAGTGTCCCCAAAGTCGGTCCTCGAGGGCCGCTGTCCTGCAGGTTTTAGAGGTTTCTCTGCTTTAGCACAGCTGATTCTGATTATTGCAGTTCAGCAAAAGCCTTTTAATCAACTATCAATGTAAATCAGCTGTGCTGGAGCAGGGAAACCTCTAAAACCTGCAGGACAGCGGCCCTCTAGGGTATCCCTGCTCTACATATTCAGGCAGTGGTACATTGTAACCATGGCCAACATTAGCCGTGTTTTAATTAACCATCAAACTGTGCCAATTTTAATTGTGAAAACAAATGTGCTGAATTAAAACACTGCAACTTAAAAAGAAAACAAAAAAACATTTTGATTAAAAAGTTTTTTATATGGTGGTTTTTAGGTTATATCAAAATTCTAATATTTTGCAAATTTGCAAAGGAAATACTTTTTTTTCCACATCACAGGCGTTATGCCACCTGTAACTGGACCTTATGCCTTGTAAAAAGACGAAGAACACCGGAAGTTGTTGGAAATATGGATATCTTATGTCTTTACACCCGTTCCTTCCATGTTGTTTTCAGGAGTTATTATTTGTACAAACATTAAGCATATAAATATTAAGTGTATTGCTTATCCAATGGAAATAGCACTATGTTAACATTTGCATTCTCTTTATCCCAACCCTTGATTTTTCTTTTTTCACTGAATAATGAAATGCGGAATCCTGATGCGATGTTTAATACTATAAACTTGCATAAAAAAGGTCATAGCTAAAACTTTTTCATCAAAATGATGAATGTTTGAAACAATAATACATCATATTGTTAGGATTCCAGTCTGTGTGGTTTGTGTTTTGTGTGTTTGTCTTCCTTCCTCCACCAGGCGGCTGCTGATCTTGGTTCGCCTCCTCACACACCTGCGGATGGAGGTGACTGTCACTACCTCGACGCCAGAGTGTTTCCCAGTTTTGGGTACTCTAGCCAAGCTGAGTTTTGCTGAGTCAAACTGTGTTTTTGTCTGCCTGAGTTTTAACCTCGTTGTTTTGTCTTTGCCACTCGGCAGGAAGTCATTCTGCAACTGGGTGTTTCGGACCTTCTCTCCCTGGAAGGATCTTCTGAGAATCAAGCTGAGCTGAGGATTCAAGGGTGTGATTCTGATCAACCCATTTCCCCAAGGAATGTCTGGGGAATGAATGTCTTCTCTCTGAGCAGGGAATTCATCTCCACAACAACCTGTTCAAGTACCGCAGGAAATCTAAGTGGCAGTCAGCTTCTCCATTCACCTACAAACAACTGCATTCTGGGTAAACTCTGTCCGCCCTCCATCGAATGAGACAAACACTGGGACACCACACTCCGACTGGAGTCAAAGAGTCAACAATTTTCTGGAAACCTGAGTCTGCAATCTATTTCTCCTCTTCAAGTTCGAGATTCAAATTTCTCACTGAGCCTGAACTAACCGCAGTGTCTTCCTCTCACTTTCCAGTTCCGGTTGAGCAGTGTTCAGAACTACACTGGATTCATCACAATCTGGGTCCAAGCTCTCGATAAAATCATGAGACATATCCAGCATCAGAAGAAGTGTTACTTTAACAAAAAAAAAAATTATTAAATAAAGCATATAAATAAATATAGTTATATTTTTTCTAGTTTTATCGGTGATGGTAACAGGACAGGATTCTGCTAAAAACAACAGGAATAGTAGGTCAAAGGCACGCAGGATTGAGCTCAGATCCTAGTATTAGATTTAAAAAGGCTCAGCATCAGTCAAGCTTTTGGCGTTGCCCTTTAATTCTTGAAAGATAAGTTAAACGTTTGATAACCAAAGGTTAGCATTAGCATTAGGGTACTTGGCATCCGCCTGGTAAAGGAGGGGTTTAACTTATAGCTATCACCTTTAAACCTTTCTAAAAGCCTCCTGGGCCAGTCTGCTACAATAAATCATTAAATTATACATCCAATAAATGTATTTCAGAAACAGATGTCTTTGTAAAGAGATGTCATAAAGTGGTCACTCCTTAAGTTCCGCCAACAGTGTCAGCCCGAGTTAATAAAGCAAATCACATTTGTTTGTTTCAACAAATATCTCATGTGCAACGGCTCATACAAACTTTTAGAAAGCGACATAGAAACAAATATGATCAAAAATAATTCTGGTAATGTTAACCTTCCTGTGTTTACTCTGCAGGTTCAAGACCTAACAGCATCTTCTACCCAGCATGCATTGCAGGGTGAATAAATGGTAACCTCCGTGGGTGAAAAATATAACAAAGGATATATATATATAATATATAAAAGTAACATTTTTCTGTATCACAAACAGACATTTTTAAGTTAAAAGGAAAAATACAACATATTTAGATCAACATGTTTTACCTTTTTTATCTTTGCTCAGACATCAACTTTGCTAAACTCTAAACAGATGTATCGTCCTGTATTTTTCAGTAATTCTGCGATATTATACGATTCAAATATTTGTGTTTAATAAGTCCTTTCTAGTGCAATTTAGGAGATGCTTTCCTCCTTTTACAAAAAACATCAGTGCACCTAATGGCCCATCAGCTCACTGCTTGTCATGGTGTTGTGTTTATTTACGAGTGCAGCAGGCATCTTGATAAGTTAGGAAACACTTTGCTGCCAGGTGTGAACGCTGATATTTAAGGTCATCTTCTTGAATCTAAATCTACAAGAAAGCAGCTTAATGCAACAGTAAAAACATAGATACTTACTTGAGTTTATTAATGTTTTATTGTTTATCTGCAACCGCAGTAAAATGTTCAATAATATTGAAAACGTTGATTTAAGATGAGAAATTTATATCAGCACAAAATAAGATGTATTATAATTAGGAAACTATTGTTGGGGGAAATTATTTGATATTTTACCAAGTAAATATTGAGTTGAGATTTGTGGTGATTTATAACAGAAATATCAAAACTTCTAAATTCATACTCTCAGGTACATTTTGCTAGTAGTAAGTTGTGCCTCCTGCTGCTTTATTGGCATTGATTTAACAAGGTTTAATTATCTGATTAGATTTCCATCAATAATTACATGATAGTATTTTACATTTAAGCACACAATTGTGATGGATTTTAACTGTAACCTTTGCATAATCTAGTTAGTAATGTTCTGTGCAGGTTAAAATTCTCTAAACACCTGTAAAATATGAAGGATTTAATTTATTTGACTGAATCTCATTATAGGTGGAGCAAATAACAAGAAAACATTGCCTCAGTCAGGTTGTCACATATACCTGTTCGTTAGTGAAGTGCTGCCATTTTAACAGAATCTCCTGGAGCAGAATCCAGCGCTCTTCTGTCCATCTGCAAATAGCTGCCCAGCGGTCACCCAGAACCTGAATACACATACATAAAGAAAGGAAGTGTATATAAGCCAGAAAATTCTCTTTGAGATATTTCCCTAAGGCAGATTCAATTTCATCATGATGCTTCAAAGACTAATTGAAGCAAACTTTGACATATTAAATGAATCTTTATTAAGCCATTAAAAATGCAGTTTGATTTTTACTCTTTGCTGTTGTAGAGTTTATATTAAAGGCACACTATGCACCATTTTTCAGTTAATTAATGTGTTCCATAATGTTTTGGATGATTAAATGAGTCATTTCAGGTTGAACAAAGGTATTCTCGGCCGCCCTGGTGGTCTGTGGGGGAAATACTGCACTTGCAATTGCAGGAGCCCTCGGCCCGCACACACAGGCTCAGAAGTCTCGCGAGAGTCAGTCTTGCTTTACGGCGAGAACTGCTACACGCCCCCAGTTAAAAGCATGCTCGTTGCTAGCACAGTGGCGATCTTTGTGCAGTTATCATGGCGGAACCAGCGTGAAAACAGCGAAAGCCCATGTTGGAGCAGGCAAGAAAGAGGAAAAGGGCTCCGGACAGAGAGAGGAGTCGTACAGGTGTGAACATCGGGCAAGCTTTTTCCGAATGGCGAGAGCTAAAAGAAAAAGAAGGCTGCAAGGCTGACGCGGACCTCGCGTTTCTGCTGATGCGATTGTAAGTAACATTGGAATGGTTTCTCTCTCTCTGTGTGCTTGTTCATACTTTCACTGTGTTAGTCATTCGTTGCGTTCGCCTGTCTGCTAAGCTCAAAACAACCGGGCCTGGCTTGACGGAGAAACCAGGAGAACAGCTGTGCATATTTACGACAGTGTACTTTTACTTTCGCCCTCTGGGGGGAGCCTCGCTGGAAAATCAACACCGGTTGCATAGTGTACCTTTAAAGTTGGGAGGAAAAAAAGAAACAAAATTTACTTAAAAGACAAAAAAAGAAACGGGACACTTAATGCAACATAACGGCCTTTAAGCCCTTTACAAAAAAGGTATTACTGAAAAACAGCCATTCTATTTAACTATTTCAAAAGGAGTTGGGCAAAAAGTAACTAGTTACAAAAGTAACTTAGTAACTCAATTACTGCTCAGGGAAAGTTACTTGTTACTTGCCAAAGTAACTATGCAGTTACCTTTTATGATCTAAAGTGTGAAGGAATTTGGAAAACCTTCCTCTGATTATAAAATACAACTAAAGGTTCAATTATGGAATATAAGGCGGTTATTTTTAATTAATAAACTAATTTACACTGCTTTAATGCATTTATAAGAAAAGAGAAATAAGTTGAGGAATTTACTGTTTTGCAAATTGGCAGCTTTCAATTGGCTATAAAAAATGTATGTAAGATAAAAATAAAGCTTTTCAAGCAATTTAACAAAAATAAAAGTTATACTTTGCAATACAATCAAACTGGGGGGCTACATTACTCCAGAAATTTTTTTTTGAAGGTCTGTATGATCCCAGGATGTATGCATAAAAACAAAAAACAAAAAAACATTTAGCCTTCAGTAGTGCTTTATTAGGGCTGCTCAGTGGAACAGTGGGTAGCACTGCTGCCTTGCAGCAAGAATGTTCTGGGTTCTATTCCCTGCCCAGGGTCTTTCTGCATGGAGTTTGCATGTTCTCGCTGGGTATTGTTGGGTTCTTTCAGGGTACTCCGGCTTCCTCCCACAGTCCAAAAACAAGACTGTTGGGTTAATTGGCTGCTCTAAATTGTCCTTAGGTTTGTAAATTGTCTAAATTGTCCATGAATGGTTGTTTGTCTCTGTGTTGCCCTGCGATGGACTGGCGACCTGTCCAGGGTGTACCCCGCCTCTCGCCTGTAGACAGCTGGAGATAGGCACCAGCACCCCTCGTGACCCCAATTGGGACAAGCGTGTAAGATAATGGATGGATGGATGGATGGATGGATAGCGCTTTACTGCAGGAACGCTGTCATTGACTCAGTGGCTCTGCGCCATCAACTCTGTTCTCATGCTTAAGTTGCACAGAGCTGTCAACCAGGTGTCAACGTCTCAACCAGGAAACTGTAGTTCTTATTTATACACAGTATCACACAAATAATGAATGTGTTTAAAGCACAGTATTGACTAACGCCTTACTGCCTTTTCAAATTTATTTTGACATTTCTTAAAAAGCATGCTTGACTAAGCCCCTCTGTTTATTTAAACATGAGTCAACATGAGTCTTCCCCGGGAGAAGGCCCCGGGGAAGACCCAGGACACGCTGGAGAGACTATGTTTCTCGGCTGGCCTGGGAACGCCTTGGGGTTCCTCCTGAGGAGCTAGAAGAAGTGGCTGGGGAGATGGAAGTCTGGGCCTCCCTTCTTAGGCTGCTGCCCCTGCGACCCAACCCCGGATAAGCGGAGGAAGATGGATGGATGGATGGATGGATCAACATGTGCAGCAGATTCCTGCACGGGTCTGACTTTACTAAACTGTATCCGACCGCACCTTTAGAGTTCAGAACCAAGAGCCGACCCGTTACCCACAATTATCCCCATTTAAAACCTGGCCTGGACCGAATGGACCCGTAAATAAAATTAATCTCAAAATTTACACACAGCCGTTTACAATAACAGAGGCAGTAAAGATCATCGCCTCATGCTCACATCCTGCACGCTGGTCGCACAGATTAAGTAAGAAGTTTTGCCTCGTTGCTCAAAAAATGCTGTTTTCTGGATATTGTTCAAACAAATTATTTTTAAGATGTAGAGTTAATAAATAAGAAAATGTAAATAAGTTTCATTCATGCTGTAACACTATGATACCTGCATTTTGTTCGTTTATACCCATGCCCGCACCCCGAAATAGTATGGGGATTTTTTCTGCCCATAGATGTAGAGGTTTTATATGGGTACCCACTGATAACCTACCTGATCCTGACATTGCTGATAGAGAGGACTGGTTTCTTCCACCCAATGTGAAAAATTACAATTACTTCTTTTAATTTTACTGAATAGTTATTCCTTATTATTCCTTTCACTATTGTTCTGATTTGGCACTATAGATATGAACTGAATTAAACAATAATAACATGGAAATCCATGAATCAATTTTGCGTGAACGCATCATAAAACGCTTCCTTTGCATAAAATTCAACACACACACACATGTTCTGTACCACTGACCTAAAAACACATTGTTGAAATCTTAATTATTGAATTTCCTTCAACATCTCTTGCATTATTTATTCATTATATTTAAATTTAAAATAATAATCATAAAAACCACGACAGAATATTAGGGCCAGGCTAGAGACTTTTTTTTATTTTATTTCGAGTCCTAATATTTTTAAAATAAAGTCATAAAATTACGAGAATTAAGTCATAAAATTACAAGAACAAAGTCATAATATTACGAGAATAAAGTTAAAAAATTATGACAATTAAAGTCATCATACCACAACCCATTACAGAAAGAAAGCTTCGAGCTGCGACCAGCATATGACGGCTGGCCAAAATATAACTTCAAATGATGCTCAACATTCCTCAGTAGAAGAAAGTGCTTCTTGCAATTTCAATTCAATTCAGTTTATTTATAAAGCGCCAATTCAAAACACATGTCATCTCAGGGCAATTTACAGTTCACTAGATCATACAGTCAGATTGATTTAAAGTTTTCTATCCAGGGAAACCATTTGATTGCATCGACTCATTGACTCAAATGCAATCCCTTACACTAAGCCTGCTTGTAGCGACAGTGGAGAGGAAAAACTCCCTTTAAACAGGAAGAAACCTCCAGCAGAACCAGGCTCAGTGTGAGCGGCCATCTGCAGAGGCTGACTGGGGTTCAAGGAGACAGAAGCAGAGATACAAAAGAGTTGTAAATGTTGTCATTAAATGCAACTTTATTCTCGTAATGTTGGGACTTTATTCTCATAATATCATGACTCTATTCTCGTAATTTTACAATTATTCTTGTAATTTTATGACTTTATTCTAATAATATTCCGACTTTATTCTAAAAAAAAAAATCTCTAGCCTGGCGCTAATACTCCAAAATAAATTTATATAAACATTTTAAGTAATTACAAATACAAAGTTATGGTACTGAAGGCAATTGCATTTAACAATTCATATTCTAGCCATGATGCTTTGTGACTGCCCTCGAAAACAAATGACAAAAAACTAGATGCCACAAAGAAATACCGTTTCTTTTCAGTGAGTCAACGTTGTTAGGACAATAATCCATCATCTAAAACTGACAGCAACAGTCTTGAAGTAGCAACTACTGAACAAAGACAGCCATCTGTGTGACAGGCATCATGCTCCAATTATGGCAGCAGTAACAAACTGATGTGAAAATTAATGGCTCGAGTTGAAGCATAAATCTGTTTTATCCTTTGCACCGTGCGAGACATAACAAGCATAACACAGGTTGGGCTGAAGTGAAGCATAGAAAATGAAGACAAACAACAATGTCCATTACCTTTGTGTTCTCTGGATTTACAACTTAGAGCAAAACTAACAAGCAGAGATCGACAAAAATATTCGCACAGCACAATGTAGTAAATGTAATAATTCACCATTAACCACTCAGCGTTGTTAGACAACATATTTAATTCTTAAAGGTCAAAGCTATAGCTTTATCTTTTTCATCAAAATAACTTTTCTAACATGAGAGATCCAAAAAATGTCAAGAGTGCTTCAAAATAAAAGCACATAATGGTAAATGATTACTTGTTATGAATTTTGATGGTTCCAGAATATATAAATACTTCTGTCACAATGCAACAAGGACATGAAAGTACTCTGCATAAAAAGGAATAGTAGTTTGAAGTTACAATAATAGAGACAGAGCTCCATGGTAGAGCTGAAAATATGGCTTCTTACTGTTAAGACTATTGAAACGTCATTAGTTCAACTTTTTTATTTTCTTTAGTCCAACTGTTTTCAATGTTTCTGAATTTTTTATTTCATTTTTTTCCCTACTTTGATTCTGTTTTATCTTCCTATATTTTAATCATTGCATTGTCTTTGTACTGAATTGTGCTATACAAATAAATTTGCCTTGCCTTGTCTTGCCTTAAATTTCTTTTCAGATTCAAGCCAAAAAAACAACAAAAAAGAAGCAAAACAAGGCAGAAAAATAGTCAGGAGTGCTGGAGAGTTTAAAACAAGCAAAAAAGACTGTTGATCATTCTACCTTCCACTTATTGTTTCATTGGAGAACCATCTATAGTGTTTGTCCAGTTAAAGGCAAAAGGAAATAACCAAAAAAAGAAAGTAATAACTAGAAGAACAAAGATATCAGCACAGATTTTACCATGTGGAGATAGATAATTAACGATCTCAGCTTCAAACAGACGTTGACATTTCTGTCGTTCTGCTTGACAGGTCAATTATATTAATACAACAGTGAAGTATATTTTAGTGTCATTTTCAAACAAGACAGTGTAGTCCAGAAACTAGTCTGTTCCCCTAAAAGTTTGTTTTTTAGCCTACATTGGCTGAGCTCTGATGCAACAGTTCCCAGCTGCTGTTAGTCTTTACCAATATCATGTAAGCAGACAATCATCATCTTCCTTTAGCTCAGTTTTCATACATTTTCCTTGTGTTTGACAATTTATTTTAGTTGATTTCTGATGCAACAGTTATCGGCTGCTGTTATTTTTCACGGAAGTCGTACCATCAAGCTAGTGCAAGCTTCTTTCAATCCTGTTATCTTACAGACTTCCATGTGTTTCATTGTTTATTTTAGCTGATTTGACATGAGTGACTAACGCTGATGCATCTCCATTCAGACAGAACAAAATGGCACTCTGTGGCTTGCATGGTAGGTCTTAAGACTCTTGACAAGGAGGCACCAGAATGTACTTTTCGATTGTTTGTAATTTATTCCAAGCACAATTAGATGGAGGTAAATCTCACACTCCACAGTTTTTGACGAACACATTAAAAGATCACCTTTTAAATGATAGCAAATCGAGGGTAGAGCAACTGACTCCTGATGTTAACAAACCCCCCAAATGGACATTAATGATCCAATTAGTTCCCTGACCATATTAGAGCTAAACACTCCTACTGTTGACCTCAATGGCATTATTAGTGTAATTATACCAACTGTATTTCATTCCCCTGATGCTTAGAATACATAACCAAAGCTACTGAGATTTAGAGAACACTCTTCAGGAAATCAGCCAACTTTCTCTCTTGCTTTCATTCCTTACATTCGAGGAATCTATGGGATGTTACCGCTTGAAGTGCTTTTGTTTACTTGCCTGAAGTTTGCTCTCCAGGGCGGCAGTTGCACTGTCTCCGGTGTTCTCATCGACAACCACCACCATGTGGGTCAGAGAATTTACCCTCACTTGCTCGAGTTCCAAGTCCTCCTGAAGGAGCTGAAGAAGAGACGTAAACGCAGATGAAAAATAGAAAACACAACGTTTTGAAAAGGGTTATGAGACAACAGAGACAACTTATTAAAGTGCATTCCCATTTAAAAATTTTTTATGGGATGTTGAGGCAGTTGAATGTTTAAAATCAGCAAATTTAATAACTAGACAAAGAAAGCCAATTATTAAAACTAACCCAATCTTGGTCATTGACAACTATCAGTTTAACAAGCAATAATACAAAACCATTTGTGCTCTGGAACCTCAATGACTTACAGAGCCTTTATTCAGAACTGCAGTGAGTTGTTGCCCTTCCCAGTACTATGCTCTAAACCATAATTGTTTCAGGACGGCATCAAAAATCCCACGAAAAAAGGGCTATATCTCAAGGTTTAAAGGATTTATATTTCAACACTGAGAACAAGGACAGGCAAAACTGCCTTTTATCCTCAAAACTGATGCTGTCTAATCGACTTTCTTTCCACTAAAGATAAACACACAAACTAGTTCTTCAAGGTGTTACTGAGACATTAGTCCTTTAATCCTTGAGATGTTCTTTAGATGATGAATTCAGGTCTGGATCTATCACTACACCCAGATTTAGAGCCTGATTGGTGTTTTCTAGCTGGGTTAACTAGAGCTATGTGCCGTTGAGTCATATACCATGATATTGATTTTGAAACTTGAGGACCAATGTCCATGCTGATATCAACTCATGGGACACATGATCTTGTCCCAACTCTGTGTTGGGATCAAATGTCAATGGTGTAACTGTAACTGAAGGCAAACCCTTCCGATGAAGTTTTTAAAAGCAAACACTTCCCGCTCAACTTCCAGTTGCCGGCAGCCCGCGGCTGCTTAAGGGCTGGTTATACTCCCCGCAGCAGTGTGTCGCAGTGAGCTCGACTCAGACATTTTTGATTTATGCTCAATTTAGAAGCATGGTCTGCGCTATGTTATATTCAATGCCACAACGCCATAGAATCATGAATTAGCTGTAGGTCTAGATACAGGCGGTGAGGAAGTGGGGGCCAGTTTGTGCAACAACGGAGGGAGATGAGGGCAAAAAAGAGCGGGGATCCAGGTGGAAAAAGGGTCCAAGCTATCTTACCCACCTCGCTCTTCTAGCTGGTCCATCTTCACGAGTCATTTTCTGCACTTGCGGTCATACAAACAAAACAAGCCGGCCTCCTGTCTGCGGCACTGTCTGCGGTCACCTACAATTTGGGAGAGGTGCAGCGGAGTGTCTGCGGAAGGGGGTGGGGACGTCTCTGCGTTCGGCGCGACACCTACGCAGACGACCTAGTTTCGATCAAGTATAAATCAGCCTTTAGGGCTAGACTCGAAGTGCTTCTCAGCTGTAAGGTAGGTTAAGTGGCGATTGAATCCCTCCGGAAAGGTCTGTACTCCATTGACTGAGTCTGACTACCTTTCCTACGATTCAAACCGTGTTGAACGCAGTGTTTTCTTAAACCCCCTACTACAGAGAGAGAGAAGGAATACAGCTCTGATAACCTAGATCTAACCGCAGAAGGCCTAATTTCCGTTTGCAGAAGGAGCCGCTAAAAGCCGCCAAACAATGACTTCTCCGTGCGTTAATTTCTTCTCTGCATGTTCCCTGGTATATTTTCATAGTGACCTGCTGACATCGTAATGTGCAGCTGTGTGACGTCTACATAATTGTGGTAACTGTCTTTGAGGATCAAGATCTGACTTGGGGGAGATATTGAGTAGTAAAGGCCCTAAGATGGACCTTTGGGGAACTCCACTTATGATTTTTGTAGTGTCTGATGTAAAATTACCTACCCACACAAAAATATAATTGAAACCTGTTTGGTGTAGTACCAGAAACAACATCCCAGTTTTCAAGGCGGTCTAATAAAAGAGTGATCAACAGCATCAAATGCTGCACTAAGTTCCCAACATACCATAATAATAATAATCTGCATTTGTATGGATGCAATACACTCTCTAGCAAAGGCAATCTGTGTGATTTGAAAAAAAAACCCTGACTGTGCGGACGACGAATTGGCTGGTTATAGTTAGGAATGTATTTAACACAGCTTCAATAATAATCTACAAAACATTAAACCTCGGAAATATGCCAACAAATGTACATTAAATGAAGGTTTAACATCTTCTGGCTATGAATACAGAAAGCTAATTTAAGGTTTAGGCCTTAAAGGCATGTAGAAAATGCCAGATAAATCCATTTAACACAGCTGGAGAGCACAGCCTCACACTGTGATTAGAGCAGAGATGTCTGAACAGTTTCTTTCTTAAATAATGCCATATTTAAGAAAGTGAAAATACTAACAGCCAAGAGTCCCTACTGGAAGAACTTTCAACCATAAAAATCAAAGCTATACCATGCACATGGTTCTGTGATGAAAAAATAATGTGGTAACTATTTGATCTTTAAACTAGAGTAAAAAAAAACTCAAGCCGAGCAAAGACAAAATAGATAAAAGTGGAATAGGACTAAAATCCGCATTACTGAGAAAGAAGAAAAGAGAAGCGAAAGAGTCCACCCTTAGTGCTTCCACTGGAATCAACAAGCAGTATAGAAATACGGCTCTGCTATTCAGAATATAGCTGCATAATATTTTGCAGATTTATCGCAAGATCACCAAATCCAGTATGGATATATCCAAGAACTGCCTGGTCTGCTAAATTATTACTATTTTCAAGCGCCACACCTATAATAATCCTAATAATCCTAATCTCCTGTGTTTTCACCCAAAGTTAACAGAGGTCAAGGATGATAAATTGGTAGAATACACAGCTCAGTTAAAGTGAGTTTTTATTTGATTTAAGGAATTAAGTAATTAAGTTAGTCTTAATTAAGGAATTAAGTTAGTCTACTGATAAAGACAGAAAATGTGATTAAGAGTTATAAAGGATGGGATACTTACTGCTCATTAATCTGAGAAGAGCAAATAATCCAAAGAGCCATTTTTGACGTAAATCCAGCTGATAAAACTTGTTTAGAGCTGCAAAACCTTACCTGACCTTTTTTTTTTTAAATTAAAAAGATAGATTATATGTAACAAATATCTACCACATATCATTGGTCATATTTTTTGGTAATCACTGTGTGAAATCAAATCATAGATTTCGAAATTAAGGGAAAAAATTGTGAAAAACGTATACAGTTTTAATGATTAGCTGAAATTATGTGAAAAATTATGTAAAAAAAATATTGACTTAAAAATATCAAAATTATATATTTCTGTTATGCTTTAAGTCAACCTATTTTATTTACCTATTTGAAATTTCAATGCAATTATTCAATGGAAAAAGACAAAAATACTACAACCAGCATCTTTTAGCATATCTATGTGAAAAAAAAATCTGGATCTTTTATCATTCTAAGCCAAATTGATGGATGAGATACTCTTGGTTAGATCCTATATCAGATTATTTCGACAGGCAGTTTTACGTCACAATATTTAGGACAATCAGCTGTTTATTACTTTTGGCCATGCAAAAATGGCATAATCTGACTAGTTTTTGAGTCCAAATTCATTGCTCATGAAATGTTGTACATTTCACTATTTAGTAAGCGATTTTAGTACCATGGAAATTCAATAAAAAATCATAAAAGGTTAAGGATTAAATCAATAAATGGGAAATGTGCAGTCTACATTTATATTGATACTAACTCATAGTAGACCTTCATATGGATATGATGAGTAAAGGTGAGATTTGGATTTGCTGGGGTCTTTAAGATCTTCCTTGAATGTCTTGCAAAATTCAAAATGATCTCAAACCATCGACTGTAAATAGAATGCTACAGTTATAGTGGAGATTTGCTTTTTCCAGGTGGATCATCAAAATAAGTGGTTCTCCTAATTGTCAATCATTCTGGTGATATGTTTACGTAAGGCCGTCCTACGTGCTCTTCCCCATTTTCATTTACCGGTGGAGAGTCTTACAAAGTGTAAAAATTATGGAAAGTAAGCTTGTATGAGCGATGCAAACAGCAACTTTTAAAGGGGTCATAGAATGATTCTATAGGGTATGTGGTGCTGGTTCTTAATGTCTCTGAATGGGGTGTGTAACATTGGTTGGGCTGAAAATGGCATATTTGCTGTTCTATGAGCCCTAATGCAAGCCTGGTTATAAGCCCTAGAATGAAACGACAGGTTTTCTTCCTTTTATGGTGTGCTCATGAATATTTAGATCATGCTCCTCAGCTCCTGGGCTGGTCTGGGAACCCCGGCAGACGGGGGCAAGGAGCCAGCAGGGGACGGAGTGACAGAACCCGACCCGATTATGGTAGCCTGGACACAGGCGGCTCCATGCTCCCCCCGCCTGCCTTACTGACCCCCAGCCCCCCTCCTCCGGCTGAGGACTGGCGGCTCATGGCTCTCTGCTGAGGTCCGGTCCAGTCAGCGACCCAGCAGTCAACACTTCATACCCAACTTGGGCCAGTGAACCAGTTGGAAGTTTAGAATTGTGAGATTTGCAGAGAAAGGAGGTTTCGATGGGGTTCGTTCATTTCACCCACTGAACTATCGTTATTTATCTATGACAATAAAAACTCAGTTTTGCATTCTTTGACCCCTTTAAACAGAGCGTGTACGAGGAGATTTGGGCTCGTGAATACTCTTGCAAGCATTTAATAGGCGTTCCCTCTCGGGAGCGGGTACAGGGTTGTGCATGTGCATTATTTTTTGAGCGAAGAGGCCGGGTCGTTTAAAAAATACGTGAAGATCCTCCACTATACCTTTCATTTTTGCGGATCCTTTGACGGGTACACCTGGTTGGAAATTAGCACAGTCTGGGAACAGCATTAAGAGCCAAAATTGTGACTAATTTATCATGGATGACAATTCACCAAAAGGATCAGTATACGGTTAGGATTCTGCCAAAAGTTCACATGAGTAATAAATACATGAACGAGTAGTTTAATTTAAAACACATGCATATGAAATACCCTCTTTGATCATTTTCTAAATTTTATGCATGCAGGTTCAATACCATGAGGCCCCCCAATATGTCAGAACCATTAGTTCATGCTCCGTCTCTGTGCTCTCTTGCTTTTTATACAACTGTAGATTCTCCCCTAAACTCTTATAAACCTGTTTCTGTGTGCTAATGTCTCTTTCACCGTAAAGAAGGAAAAACCTGAGGAAGACTTTTCAGGAAATCCCATCTCTTGAGAATGAACTACTTTCTTTCTACTTGCCGCTAGTAACATTATTAGCTAAGCATCTTCTGGCTAATAACTGTTATAAAGAGTTTAAAAAAAAAGTGAAGTAGTCGTTAAATAACTTGTGTTAAAAAACAGACAACAGTGGCAATATGCTCTAAGATGCTTAATATTAGATTAGATTTGGAACTTCTTATGAGCTAAGCTAATGCTAACTTTAATGTTTATACACTGGAAAAAATCCAGTGTATAAACAAACTTATTTTGTTTTTTTAAATAAGTGCATTTGTTCTTGGATTGAGGAAGTAAAAGAGGCATTTTGCCAATGGAACAAGACAATTTACACTTAAAATAAGAAAACACAATTACATTGTCTTATTCCAAGTGCATATTTTCTAATTAGCTTTGTTTAAGTGTAAAAATACTCATTCCATTGGCAAACTATCTCATTTACCTACTCAAATTAAGGGTAAATACACTTAATTTAAGAAATCTTTACTTATTTCTAGATCGTTTTTCCAGTGTATTGAGGTATGTACGTCTGGAATGAACTCTTGTTGATTGTCAGCTGATTACAGAGAAGCCTGTTGATATAAAATAACAAATTTTAATTTTTAACAGAATAGTGCTTTAGGTTTTTCCTGTATAAAAGTGTGAAAATGTTGCACAATAATCAGCAGGCGCCCACCTTGTGCTCCTCTACTTGGTGCTTGATATCCTCAAGGTCAGGCCCCAGTGGCTGAGAGCCAATCTTCTTGATGCGTGCCTCTGTGACGTCCAACCAGTCTGTGAGCTGCTGAAGCTGCTTATTCTGCAGGTCCATCAGGACTTCATGAAGTCTGGAAAAAAGAGACAATTCAGACGGCTGTCACTCATTTAGCGGAAGCACAGCGGAGTTATTATCCTAAAGCAGTCTTCCTGAAGAACAGTTTGGAAGTCCAACAGATGGTGCTGTAACTTTAAAGCAGAGATTTGAAGTCTTTTAATGCAAATTATTATTATCATTATCATCATTCAGACCCCTGTTCAGCAAGGGCCGTGTCTGCTTATCTCTCGGCTCGAGTCAACACGATTGCCAAAGAAGATAGCTGAACTGTTTAATTAAATTTGGTTCAGTGTCAGTTAATCTTGGATTCCCTATAATTAGAAAGAGAGCTGCTCTTTGTACTCATCAATGTTAGCTGCAGTAAAGTTCTTCATTAACTGTGAAAGTAGAGAGGGCATGTGAAGCCATCATGGCTTTAAATTTCATCTGTGGGCTGCAGAGCTCGTACAAACAGCTGAAATCAGACATATTATACGCAGTATGAAACAACAGCCCACCATTCACATCGAATAAGACTGAACTTTTCTTGGTTTATGTCAGGGTGCCCAGATTATCTAATAAATCCCTGACCAATGAATGAGAAATTATATATTTTTTTTCTCATCAAACTTCAGACATTTAAACCTACTGAATGACTTATGCCTTTTAAGGATTAGGTAACTGTGAACATTGTTTCCTTGACCAATAGATCAGGAAGATAACCTATAATTCTAGATCTTTCTTTGGTTTAAAAAGAATTTGATGTGTAAAATGCAATTTGAAAATAGTACCACTCATATAAGTCAATCTGACATACATAAAGAAAAAGAAAATACAAAATCTGTGAAAGTATTTAAAAAAAAAAAAAAGTAAAAAAAAAAATAGAAAGTCTTTCTTTTTTCTCAAAACAATTCAAAGAAAATATTTGCAAAAAAAAACAAAAAAAAAACAAGGAAAAATCTGAGAAAACAAACAGCTAAGTTACTCCCAAAACCTTTTTCCATTAAAGGATTTTACAAAAGTTTCATTTCCGGATAGCGTTTTTTTTTTTTTCAAATTAAAAGTTTGTTTTTTCTTTTTTAATTCCCATTTACAAAACATATCTATTGCTTTCAACACTAACGAAACTAAATTCACTCCATATTATTTCTGCCAACCCAAGAACAAAAAAAAATACCATGTGAGAATGCTGAAGGAAGCTGACAGGAAACATGGTCTGAATGGCCAATTAGCAAGGAAGAAGCCAATTCTCCAAAAGAGACATTAAAAGCCAGCATTGCAAATATACTGGGAGGCTATATCTGTGTCTGGTAGAGCAAAAATTAAGGTTTTTGAAAAAATCTTTACATTTTGGGGAGGAAAAAGAAGCTTAAGGGTTTCAAATAAACTAGGGATGCACGATATTGGGATTTTGGCCGATATCTGATATGCCGATATTTTAAAACTCATGTAGCCGATAACCGATATCGATACCGATGTTAAAGCTGGACAAAAATTAGTAGTCATTGAAAATAGCAGTTTTGTTATCCATTTCTGACACTTTGAAAAATAATATACTCAAATATATTTTCATATGCTGATATCAAATAGATTTTTAAAAACGCGGTATCGATCTATTTTACTTTCAAAATCTCGTGAAATTTCATCGTTCTGTTACAAACTCTCGTGATATTTTGCAAATTCTTGTGAGATTTTGTTAGTAAAATGTATCAATATTTTTTTCCTCGTCTTTAGAAGTTTTTAAGTCTGTAAAAAAGAAGTTTTTGAGGAAGAAGAAGTAGTAGTATTTTTTCTTTTTCTTTTATACTTTATAAACTCATAAGCTGATCAAATATCGGGTTAAATATTGGTGGGGTGGCCGATGTCCGATATTCAGTTTTAAGGCCGATACAGGCCGGTACCGATAGGAGGCCGATTATATTGTGCATCCCTAAAAAAAAACATTGAAATCTTTGAAGTATAGAGCAGGAGCAACATTTGTTTTTTCCAGGCTCTCAAAGTTGTCCATAGATACTTCATGACTGCTTTACCTCATATTCCATTTTTTGATTATGTTCTCCAAGAGCTCTCTGAAGACTTCTGGGAGCGGCGGATTTTAATACTTAAGTTAATTAAAAGCCATTATTTCCACTTCATCCTTATATGTCTGCCCAACAACATGTACTTGTGCTGCCCTCATACTGGGTGTGCTAGTTTCTCCTTATAAGCTCAGGGAATATTTCTTAGAACTGACTCGGCTGCACCATTATGAACTCCACTTAAATGTACTATTTTTTGACAAGTTACAAATGTCAACATTTAAAAAGGTCCTTCAAAGGTGAACTTTTTAATCTTCCAAAAGGAAAGGCAGGCCGGCTTCTTACCCCAAAAATATAAACATTTAGCCTTTGCTGTTGGTGTGCAGCCAGCAAATAAAAGACATGTTTTCTCCAAATTGTCACAAAAATAACCCATTCTGAGACGATGAAAAAAGCAAAATGACAGGAGGCCCAGACAATAAAGATCTAAAGTCAGCTTTAAAACTATATGACCATGAATTCCATGCAGTAAATCAGAAGTTTCAATACTCTGAGGTGTGATGGGATTCCCCAGTGGGTTGCAGGACACAAAGTTTTGGGTCGTAAGATATTTATTTCAAATCATTGTGAGGGGATCCATCAGGTCTGTACAGGGCAAAATTTAGCTTTAAAAACATAAATGTGCATGTCTAATAAAAGAAACAGATATACCATAAAAAATATAGAGATGTTAGTTTTATTCATTTATTTGTTTAATGTATAATTCAAATATCAATGTGGTAAAGTTAAAACCTCCAACATAAAGCAAAGCAATGGTATGAGAAACAATATAATGATACAAGTGAATCTATTTACCCTATAAATTATAAACTAATTAGGAACAAGATGTTCTGATCAGAGCAGAAAAACATTTAAATTGTACATATCTGCTTAAACACCAAACCTATAGCTGGTGGTGGCAGCATCATGCTGTGGTAACGATGTTTGTTAGCAAGCTGGTCAGAGTTGAAGGGAAAATGTAAATGATGAACAAATATTTGAAAGAATAGCTGAATAAGTAAAAAAAAACAAGAACAAATCTGGTCATATCACTAATTCGAATTTTAAGTAACAGAAGAACACCTTTTATTGCAAAAGAACCTTGTTTAGTGTCCCATGAAAGACTGGTTTAAACACTAGAACATAGTAACTCAACAAAAAGAAAAAGTGTCAACAGACCTGCTCTGTCTCTCCATGCTTGCCACTCTCAGGTGCTCCCACCGAGAGTTCAGGAGGTTCATCTGCTCCCTGACCTCAGAGTCCTCCTCCTCACTGAGGTTGCCCTCTGACAGCAACGCAGCACCGGCACGCAGGACGCGGCCCACGCTGCCCTGATGTGTGGTTAGCTCCGCCATGTACCCCTGGTGAGTAGAGAGTCGGAGACTTCCTATAAACATTTCCCAAATGATAGCTTGTGCTTAATCAAGCTATTCCAGAAGATGAGGAGGGATGACAATCGTCGCCCTTTAGTGTGCATTAAACACGCTCTTTCAACTTCTTGTCACAAAGCACAGCCGACTTCATGGAACTCCTAAAATAGTTTGCCATTATGCAGCTTCTACTCATTAAAGCTGGGCATACACTGTGTGATATCAAGCATTGCAAGCAGCTACAGCTCAAACTGTATGACGAAACCGCAGGGTTTAAAAGTTCACAGCTCATGAAGTATGTTCTCACACTGTGGCCCAATGCTCTGATGTGACCTTATGAAGGCCGACTGAATTCCAAACATGTTTGATTTTCTCCCGACCTTACAATTCCTGATTGGGAGGTGGTTGTGAGAGGCTGATCACCCCTCCTTACTATCTGTATACTACACCAGCGGTCCCCAACCTTTTTGCACCACGGACCGCTATGTCACACAATAAAACAACATCAAACAACAAGCCGGTCCCATCTAGGCGTGATCGGAGACAATGACAGACGAAGTGTGCTCCTGATGTCCAGTCTGTTCCGTAGCTTTGTTTTGGTCGCTGTAACCGCAGAAAATCACGCTTCACAAAGATAGGATGTTATAGATAGGATGAGTCTTGAACTGAATTAACCTGTGTCAAGAGGCACAGATGCACCGACTGTCGTAATTGGGAGAGAATACCGCAATTTTTTATATTTTTCAAAATAAAACATCACTCAGACTCTGATCGTCAATAAATTATACATCTATATATATATACTTTTTTCTGTGCGGCCCGGTACCAAATGACTTGTCCGCGGCCCGGTGGTTGGGGACCCCTGTACTACACGACACACGACGAAGGATGGGGCTAAAACAGGCTTGTTGGAAAAATTCTCGCACGACTGGAGAATCAGCCCGAAAATGGCAAAAAGAATCATACAGTGTATGCCCGGCTTTAGAGAGTCGACAGCCAGACCATCAAAGAAAACAGCTGTTGGTTGTACTGAAGCATTGCGTTTCTTTGTACAGGAAATTTGTCACTTAAGCTTTTGATTTTCTTGTTGCATATCAGTATTTCTACTTATTCATTTTACTGCATTTTTAGCCTAAAATGCAGTAAAACATTTTTACTGCATTTTAGGCTAAATGTGCCTAAAATGTGTGGTTTTTATTTAGAAAGAAAACTTTAGACTTCTAAGAAGTGACAGCAAAAAGACTTTAGGGTGAATGACACATTTGCAGCTACATCGTTGTATTCTACATAAATGTTGCCAGTAAAACAGACCGTGCAATTAAGAGAATTAATTCACCTGCTTCCATCCATTATAGATATGTCAGCTACTAGCCTTTTTGAAATCTGTTTATCTTACGATGATGCATGTTTCTTGGTTTTTAGAAGAGGAAACAACACACCAGCAAAGTGCCAGCATATCGCAACATTTCCATGACAATGTTTTTGTCATAAGTCCACATTACAGCTATCATTTATTCTTGCAAAGTAAGTTTCCCCTCTGCCTACCTCATGCGTGTGGAACTGCTCCTTCACCTCCTCCACATGGCTGGAGATGACAGGCTGAGCATGGAGGCTGTCCTCTGCCGACAGCAGCCACGTCAACACCTTTGGAGAGCAAAGTCATTTCGGGTAACATACTCAAAGCATAACAGAAGGCTTTCGTGTTTATTTTACACACAAAATTCAAATGTATTGATATTAGAATTAAGTTATGGATGATGTAATAAACTGTGCATTTTGTCACATTAGAATCAAACTCCTGATTGTTTTAGCAGGATTTAATTAAAAAGAAGAACACAAATTAACCTTGGGCTAAAACCGTTTCAAATAAAAGTAGGTCAAAATCCAAACAGTAAATTAAAAAGAGAAGCAGAGGTGCTTATATATTTTGATAAATGCTGCTGAAGTTGGTTTGTATAAACAATCATATGGAATTTGGATCATACTAATGCCTTACCTCCTCCAGTGAAGCCTGGTAGCTCTCCAGGCTGGTGGATCCAGGAGGCAGAGGACTGAGGCCTCGCTGCAGCTCCTCCTGGCTGGGGGTCAGAAACTAAACGGGGTGCAATGTAAATAAAACAGAAAAAGGAAGGGAAAGAAGAGGGGATGGAGCAAGAAAACCAACATTACGGGAATGTGAAGGTAAGACATTAAAAGAACAAAATTCAAAGAGCGTGAACAGAAATGTGAGAGAAAGATCTGTTATGTGTTGGTCATTAACAACACAACAGCTGTTCCTCTTTCTTAGAGTCCCATCTCTCTATCTCAGAGTGTGTTGCAGGACTGAACAGCAGCCTTTTCTCCACAGTCTACAACACTGAGGAATCTGCGGCTGTCACTGCAGGTAGAGGTGAGACTCAAAAATCAGAACATCAGCAAAACGTAGATTTATTTCACTACATCATTGCTTATTAGCTCCAAGTCAAGTACAAGGTGGAAGAGATTCACGTCCTCATTTATTTTTCTGAACTGGATTCCATTTTTGATGATGTTCTAATTTATTCAGCTGCACTTATCTATATCCATGTCATCTTGATGAAATGGGAAGGGAGTAGCAGACATTCATCATACACACACATTAAATGTCTCAAATGTCAGATTGATTTTATTGCTACGTTCACACTGCAGCCTGAAGTGACCCAAATCAGATGTTTTTGGCCCATATGCGACCTGGATCTGATATGTTCATGGCAGTCTGAACAACACAGATCCGATTTTTTCCCATCCGACCAAGGCCACTTGGCTATGTGGTCCTGAATCCGATACGAATCTGATATTTTCAAATGTGACCGGGGTCTGAACGGCCAGGTCGCATTGATCCGACCTGAACGCCATTAATACCCGACAAAGGCCCCTATTCTGGGTCTTGCTATAAAGAAGCGGCAAGAAAAACAACAACCATGGCGGACGATGACGCGGAGAGCAGTATTTATGTTTAACAATCTTGAAAAGATTGTGTTTCTAGATGTGCTCTGGCACGACCATCCATGTTTACTTCTGTAAACACAGAGCATGCTGGCGTGTGATGTCATTGCGTTCTCTACTGCAAATGTGAGACAATAGCGTTGTATGACTGCAGTTCACACAGGAGATCGCATACAAGTTGCATATATTTGGAAATGTGAACGACAAAGCAAAAAAATCGTATTTCACAAAAACATCGGAATTGATTATCAAGGCCTGCAGTGTGAAAGTAGCCAAAGTGACTATGCCTCTAATGTGACCCTCTGCTGAAATGTCTGTTTTGTGTTACATGTGTTTTTCTTGTGCAGAGGTTTTTTGATGTCTCAAACTGTATCCTGTCAAGGATAAAGTGTTAAATATGCTTTTTTTCCCCTCTCTTCCGAAATTTGGCTCCTATCTTTCAACAGAGATAAAGGCAGCGCGATAGGTAACCGCCTGGGTAACCGGTGGGAACCTGGCAAGCCATAAGAATGCGCCGTTCTGTCTAATGGCAGCGTTCTGCGGCACGCATGGCCTCAGTAAATCCGTCCCCCTCTCAATGTATGTGACGAATTGTGCTGAACGGTTGTACTGAAACTGAAATTTCGATTGCAATGTAAATTGTAGTTGACAATAAAGAAGTTTGATTGACTGAAAATTACAGGGATGAACTACTTTTGAAAAGCTCTAAGAAAAAAAGAAGAAAGACAGCAAAACTTCACAAGAAACAACACAAAAAGGGTTGTTTCATTTTAGACCAATTTGTCAAGGCTTCAAAAAAAAAAAATCCATGTAAAAGCTGAAATAAATGAAATGTACACTAAAAAAGTCTATATATTCTGCTGTATTTTAATGTAGGTAGTAATGGCCGCAGCAGAAGATTAATTTTCTTAAAATGAAAGAGCAGAAAACCCTTTTAGCTATTTAGGCGGATAGAAAAGCAGATGGTTGGTTGGTAGCAGATGCTAAATGTAGCGTTAACATTGCTAACTGTTAGCTAGTCTTGGTATTCCCACAGATTGCGGGTATGAAATCATTCGAATCTCATCTGTTATGGTTAATTTATTCATATCAAGTGTCTAAAAAGCTGGTTGATAAGAAAAGAAAAAATGATGGAGGCTTTTTTCTAAAGTTTGTAACTTCAGTTTGGCCTAATTTATAGGTCTTAACCAGCAGTTTGGCAAAATCACAAGAACTACTTTTTTTCTCTTCAAAACCAGAATCGCAGCTGGGTCCTGACCTTAAAAATCTTTGACTTATAGTTTTTAGTGTTGAAAAGACCCTTGTGAGCAGGACTACACTTTGCCAAAACTATTTCTGCCTTTTTGACTTTGTCAAGTTTTATAAAAGCATTGGGAAAATGTTTGCAAAAATGCTGTGTAAAACTTTTTTAAAGCCTCTTTATGATGTCCAAGAGCAACAGTCATTTCTTTTAAAGATTGTTTTTCAGTAATCTGTTGATACTTGTGGTATTTAGGTTAAATCTCAGGATCTCTGGAGGTTCATCATTGCTCGCCACCTTTCTCTGAACGGATCTGTCTGCGTAGGTGTGTAGTGTTGAAATTCTGTCTGCTTGCCGTTACAAAGGGGGGTGTGGAAGCCAGAAGTGAGGCGCGGAAATTGCGCACGCGTTAAGCATAAATCCGGCAATAAAACTACAGGCCTGCTTTGGCTGTAGAGACTGTAGAGTTTCTGAAGCTTTAGTCACTTATGTAAAATTATTTAAAATAATAATAAAATAAAACTTTTGCTTTAAACAATATATTTAGGACTTTTTATGCTCAATCCTTCTTACATATGGAGGTCAATTTAAGTCAAACTAGATTGGTAATTGTACGAGTTTTTTTTTTTTTTAAGTATTAATAATATTGATATAAAACCAATGGTATAAAAAGTTTAGCTGACAAAAATTACGACAGATATATCACCTTTAAAGACGATTGATTTTTTTTTTCTTGTTAGTTTGATTCCTAAGGCCTGAAGAATTAACAGAACAGAACAGAATTCGCTTCATGTCCTTTTTTTCCCCATAAGTGGCATTAGTTCACCCTTCAGTTATTTTCCTTAGCAGGACGTGGGACCATCCGACACCGCCATATCTAACAGTTAAAGGTAGACCGTTGCATCAGCGGACCGATTTTTTTCTTTTAGTAGCTTCAGGTGATACATGCAAGCATTTGTCAATTCATTGGTGCGTTCAACAGCAATGCTAAGATCACATGTAGTTCATGCATACACTCCCAGCATTTCTTAGCTGTTGTTTATGTTTAGTTGGATTTGCATATTGTTTATGCATGATGCTGTTGCCTAACTGACAGACTGCTGTACCCTAAATGCACCAGGGAGCGTTATCATAGCCGCATATCCCAGCCGCTACTTTATGACCATCACTGTTCCCAATAAACTCAATAAGTCGACATTGATGCTGAATTTTGCAGTTTCTGTGTTAGTCAGTCCAATAGCATGCTGCTTTTATTTTATTTTTGCACATCTCTGATGTTGGTGCGATTTTTCTCACATCCTTTAATGTAAAATATGTCCATAACTGTTGTTGTGGATGCAATTTATTATCCTCCAGATACAAAGTATTATATTATAAAACACTGTACAGGACAATAGTTAGTTTTATTGTATCTGTTATTTTTGAACACTTTTCTAACGTGCAAATTGTGTGACCACTTCTACTATAACCTTTGCTGCTGTAAACACCACACTTTCCCCATTTTGGGGCAATAAAGGGATTTTCTGCTCTATTCTATTCTAAAAGTATATTTATTTTTGAATTAAAATGAGACTTGTGTAAAATTTTGTCAATTTAGTCATATAAAATAAAGAAGAAAAAGCAATATGAAGTCAAAATGCTGCAAAAATGCCCATGTAATAAATACTTGTACTATCCTTGTGCATTTTAAATGCTCTATGTGTGCAGATTTAATACCATGAGGCCCTAAATATTTTGCAACCCTGAGTCCATGCTCCTTCTCTAAGGCCCCGTCCACACGAACTCAAACCCTGCCCTAAATTCACAAATTTTTCACTAAACCAGCCTCTCATCCATACGAAGCCGGCGTTTCGGGGGTCTGTAAACGATCGTTTTAAAAATTTTAAAATGCAACTCAAAACCCATCTGTTCAAGATTGCTTATTCTCTTTAAAAATATCAATTTCACTGTCACAGCCTCTGTATTTTTTAAATGTTTTTAAATGTCTTTATAATTATTATTTTTATTTTTTCTGACACTTTTTATGTTTTTGTACGGTGACCTTGAATGTCCAGAAAGGCGCCTTTTTAAATAAAATGTATTATTATTATTATCTTTTTTTTATTAAGCCTTCAGAGTGGGAAGATTTTGAAACGCCGTTTTCGCGTTTCCATCTTTAAGCTCTAACCGCATTTTTTTTCTTACACGCATGCGTCATAGCGTCGCCTCTAAACACGCACGCACAGTATCACAACAACAATGGCGCCGTACGGTGTTGAATGGTTGCTGCTCATGCTACTCACCCTGCTGTCGGGCTTACAACAGAATCTTCTTCTTCTGGAATATCTCCAGGAAGAACAGAGCAATATCAACGACATAGTTCAGCACCTGAATTTGACTGAACCACGAAAATGGACCCGCAGGATAATTTTCCGGTTTTCCAGTTTGGTTGTTGTATAAATATTACTGCGCATGCCCAACATTTCGTTGCCTGTTTTCGCCTATTTCTGTTTTGGCACCACAGCGCCACTTACAGGCCTGGCATACATTTAGCAGCGTTTTCATGCATTCATGTGGTCGATCACATTTATTTTACGTCTCCGTTTTTAAGACAAACGTTCTGGAAAATATTACCGTTTCGTGTTCGTTTTGACTTCGTGTGGACGGGGCCTAAGCTCGCTTGCTTTTTATTCACCTGATCCAAAGTTTGAACTGATACTGATGCACCTGATATTGTTGGACCTGACAGAGCAGAGATGTCGAGGCCCTGAAGGTTGGATTTTTAAAAACATGATTGAAAAAAAATAAATCCTCCATTGAATATTAATAATTAATATTCTTAATTATTTGCTTTAATAAACTTTTTAACCCTTTAAAGTCTGGCCACTCACACTAAGCCTGGTTCTGCTGAAGGTTTCTTCCTGTTAAAAGGGAGTTTTTCCTCTCCACTGTCGCTACAAGCATGCTTAGTGTGAGGGATTGCATCCGAGTCAATGAGTCGATGCAATCAACTGGTTTTCCTTAGATAGAAAACTTTGAATCAATTTGACTGTATGATCTGGTTGAATTGTACAGTGCCTTGAGATGGCTTGTGTTGTGAATTGGTGCTATATAAATAAACTGAATTGAACCATGAAATAATTGACAGAAAGTCCTAATTTTATAAAATTAGAGTTGTCATCGAACTTTCTAAAAAATAGAATAAAAAAAACAAAGATTTTAGGTAAAGTAAGTAAAATCAGAACATTTATTTGCAATAATTTTGATACATAAGGCATTTTCTTTGTAATCTTTCATTTTTTTTCTGTTCACTATATGTGTTTCATCGTATAAGTGAGGATTTTCAAGAACAAACATATAACACCTATGATGCAGAGGTCTGAAAACCTGTATCAAATATGATACACTTTGCTTTAAAGGGTATTTGATTTGTTTAGAAGCATCTGCCAACTAACTCTAATCTAGCTGATTTTATTCTATTTTTGTATTTTCATAGACCAAACAGGAAGTGGGAATCAAATGGACATTTTTTTGTCAATGAAAATAAAAAAATAACTAATCTAAAACAAAGCCACAGGTTTTCCAGCCAAGACATGCACAGACAAATGGTGCGCTTCAAGCGTTAGCACTGTGAGCGACGGACCTGCTCGGTAAAACGTCTCCTCTTTTGCTCTGGCGACTTGACATACGCAGCCTGGGTGTAGGCATAGCTTTTATAGCGAGGCTGTGGGGAGGGGCTTCTCACACGCCCCTGAGCCACACTCAAGGTGATCTGAGAGCCAAAGACAGAAGAAGAAAAGGACAGAAAGAAGAGTTGGCAAAGAGACAGGAGGGATAAAGGACAGGTACAGGCAAAAGAATGTGAAACAGTGCGCAAACAATCAAAAAGCAACCATAGACAAAAGAATGAAAAGCTGACAATAAAACAGGTGAATGGGGAAAAAAAAAAAGCAAGATGCAAGAAAGGAAATTGTGCAAGAGGAGATGCAAAATCACAACTGAAGAGAAAAATAAATGCAGTAGTTTCCATCCAAATTGTGAAATAATATATTTTTAAAAGTCAAGTTTGGTTCTGGTCATGATATAGCTCTACATTAAAAGCCTAAATATACCAGGTTAAATAAACATTGTATATTTAACTGTGTCTGATATGATTTTAATCTAAAGAAAATAATGTCAATAATGTCTGTATCTTCAGGAGCCCCTGTAACTGTTTGGCACTTACGACTTTCACTACCTATATCAGTTTTCTTTCCTCTGGGCTGCACACATTGTTTTGGATTAAGTCTCTGGATGGAAACCATCTTTAGAAGCAGACAAAGACAGGTACACACAGAGAGACAGTGTTATAGAGTAGCAGACATTCAAAGCAAGTCCAGCCCTTGTTCTGAAGCTCTTTATATTTCTTTCACCTCTATAAGTCACAGTCCACACAGCAACTTTTCTGGACTTTCTTGTGTCAAAAGTAAACATTCCCCCCTGAGCCACTCACTCAGCCATTTTTATGTCCAAATACGTAGACATTTTTGACCGTTTCTGCAATCACTAGAATGCTAGCATGGACTCGTGTTCTCGCAGAGTACGTTCTTGATAAGAACACAGGAAGTATGGACTTGGGGGAGAAAAGTTACAATGCAGATAAGATCTAGGTCAATTGGAACAGAAGCGTATTTGTGACATTACCAAATTCAAAGCTAGTCTGAACCTGCGTTTTACTGCCTGTTATTAATATTCTCTAGATCCCTGGTTTTCAAAGAGGGGGCCGCGGCGGGGGGATGAAGACGCGTGAAGATGGGCTTTATGTAAGACAAGAGTTTCCCACCCTAGCTGAAAGGGCTCTGAAATGTCTCCTTCCTTTTGCAACCACTTACGGTACTTGTGTGAGTGTGGCTTTTCCCCTTTAAAAGTACTGAAAAGTAAACACAGATCACCTTTGAATGTGGAGAATGACATGCGTGTTGCTCTGACAGACATCAAGTCCAGACTGGACAAACTGTGGAAGCCATCAGGCACACTGCTCCCATTAGCATGGTAAGTATATGTATCCCATGTAGCCTCCATTTGTTGTTAGGCATTCATTATATAAAATGCCTCCATGTTTAATTTGGGACAAACTTTTATTTTGTTCCCAAATCTTTCTGTTTTTTGCAACGTATAAAGAGATTCATCATTTAAAAAAAGGTTATTAAAATTAAAGTGGTGGGCCTATGTTATTGTTATATTTTATTCATTAAATTAGTGACTTAAACTTTAATAAAACATAATTGTGACTTCATCTTTACAAAATAAACGTGTTTTTATTTAGCGGGTTTTGCCACTCATTTTTTAATTCTGTCGCTGTAGCTTACACATGAGTTTTTACGCATGTTTCATATAAGGGGGTGCCTCAGCTGAAAATGTACTAGTGTAGGGGGGCCTTGGCATGGTAAAGTTTGGGAATCCCTGCTCTAGATAACAATAAATCATGACTTTTTTCACGGTCAGATAAGCAATAATCAAATAAAAATTTTGCCAAATAAAATATAAAACTAAACCATCAGAGCCAGCGGTACTTTACACACGGCTATGCCAAGATGGGACCGCCGCAGAAAAGCCTCGGAGCTTTGCCGGTTGCCACGGTCCTATTAACAGCTAAACTTGTTTATGTATTGTGCACTAAATCAGTAAATAGGCCATATATTAAAGCTTAAAGGTATAATATTCTCGCCTCAAATGATTTTTTTTTTTTAAATGTACTTTTGTAGAACAACAACAGCAAATGGAAATTTTAACCTAATACCCTGAGCTTTGGAAGATGCTGCTGCCGGGGTGCATGCTGGGTAAAGAGGGAGAGGTTCTTGTCATCCTAAGAATTGGAACAGTGCTGGGGCTGATGACTTTTCACAAGTACACATTAAGAGAAACGGCCTCTGTGTTTTATACATTATATGGAGCTCGATTTATTAATAACTATCCCAAAATATAAATGCATATACATTATATTTCAAAAAGTATTTAAGCTTAAATGAATCAACACACAGTTTTATATATATTTTTAAAGTAATCAGGCAGAAAAGGCTGGGTGATTACAAATTCCCGCCTATTTTTAAATAACAATGAAAACCATGTTTCCTTCCTTTCATTTTATCTTAGCAGTTGATCCAACATCAGATCTGGGGAACATCTGGGTCTTTTAGGTGGTTAAAGAGTGAACTTTAGCGATACATGGAATAGTGAAAGTGAAAAATCCTCAGCCATAAACACAATAAAAGCAAATTTTCTATCTCCATCTATATATTCTAGCTCTAGAATCGTCTGACATTTCTTGCACTTTTTTCCACCTGTTCTTTCCCATTCCTTTCCAGGATTTTTATTTGATCCATTGAGCAAAAAGCCAAACCTCAAGATCAAATGTTTCCCTGAAAACGATGTTAAGCTTCAGTTTTCCTTTTCTTCCTGCCCTAGGCGTCAGAGACATAGGGGGGGTTTGGTACATTTCACCAGCTTGAGGTAATCTTCTCCAAGTTTCAATCGAGTTATTTTTCATATATTCCTTCATGAAAAGTTAAGGTCCTTCACCCTGCTGTGCCTCAGGTGGTGTTAGTATAATAGTAATGCGAGGAGGTGGCATAAGTGCTGTGTTGTTGATGACAGATGATGGAGGAGGCAGATGATAGCTGCTGTCTGTAACTTGTTTTCCACTGTCTGCGGCTCTTATTTTACTCTCATCTGGCTTGTTTCTTGTAGCCGTTTTTTTTTTCTTTGCTCCTTCTCCCGCTCCATAATCCGTGTCTCCTTGTCATCATCCAGCTGCCTGCTTTTCCTCCCAAGCAGGATGTTTGCTTTTCATCTTTCCCTGTCCTGCCGCTTCTGTGTCCGAATTGTTTCTCTGCTCTCAAATGCTACACAGATAGATGATAATATAAGCGGTAATTTCACACCTATCTGCTGCGATCGGCCACTGACCTCTGCCGAACTGAGCTTGAAAAGTGACCACAGATGTCATTTTTCCCCCCATTTTTTTATACGCCGTTTTAATAACTGCTTCTGCGTCTAATCAGACGTCAGCCGACGCATTTGAGACGGCGCCTGGAAGAACGCTGTTCCTTGTGTGGATCCCTGGGAGCGAGTCGGAGGAAATGACTGCAGGCGAGAGAACATCTGGTAACCTTGCTGCCACTGAGACTGTTACCTGAAATCTTGGCAGTAAAACCGATGACTGGATGAACGTACAGATGGTTGGCAATTAAGGCCGACACCAAATTAAAGAGCGGCTTTAGAACTATGGAGAGGTACAGGTCTGTGTGCATTTTGTCATTTTTCTGTCACACTTTATCGAGATTTGCAGGATTGAATTATGTTTTTTGAAATCTTTTTTAATAAGCATACACAAACCTTGAGGTAATCTACCTGCAAGGTAAATATGGCCGCTGATATGAAGCTAATGAGTCCCTATTGTCACAGTAAAGATTTACTAATAAGAACGTATCTCATCCTTCAGAGAGACTCTGCTTTAAACTGGAGTGCAGATAAGAAAATCTGAAAAGGATTTTATCCTTATATAAGTACTAATACAAGCAAAAGTACAAAAACACACTTTTTTTGGGCATCATTCCCTCAAGCATACATAAAAGCTATATATACCGAGATATAGAATGTAGCTACGTGTGAGGTTTTATATTTTTAATATAAAAAAACAACCATCTGTTCAGTACAGAAGCGTTTTACACTCATAAAAGAAATTGGTCTTGTTTTTGTTTTTAAAAAATAAAAACTCTGTTTTTCTTAACTAATAAGACAATGCTGCTGTAACTGTTTGCATTGCAGATTTCTAAGCAAGGGAAACATTTCCTTCAGAGAAACTTCAACATTGTCCTGTTTGTTTAGTTAAAATCTTTTTTACCCTCTTTTGGCATTGAGACATCGGGAAGTAATCTAGTTTAGTTTAAAATATAACCTATTTATCCAATTTGTAAAAATTATCTTATAAATTCAGAAAAACAGCCCAATTGATTTCTATTATTTTTATTTTTTTTTGGTTAATGCAATGTGACTCTATAATTCAAAATAAAAAACAAAAACAAATCTAAGCTTCTTTTAACAGTTCAGAGCGGTCTGATCATGACTTGTCATGGATTACCAGTTTGATTGAAAGATAAAATTATGTTGCTCATGTACTTTGCATCAAACACTGTACTATGGTTAAAAAAAATTCAGCGAAACAACATATTCATAATATCAGCCACCTGGATTGTTGGGTATTTCCCGGCTGGCTTGTTTATTCTCCTGAAAATAAGGCATCTAAAAAAACAAGAGGATATTCGTATGTACATCAAAGGTAAGTTACGCTCTGCTGATCTTAATGTAAATAGCTAAACCCAACTATAATGTCTGCAGAAAAATCTTTAGATAATATCAAATTGTAATTAATCACTTAATTTTCTGAGGGAAAAAAAATGTACACCACATTAGGTCAAGTCTAAGCTAGCTCTCCTGACTTGTTTTGAAACTCGCCTGATACGACACGGAAACTGAACCGACGGCTTCTTGCAGTTGGTGCCCAGTCAGCCCCTTCTGTTCGCTTACAGCCATCTCTGACCATGTTTATTCCCTTTTTAAAATAAAGATCCATTTGACTAAAGTTTGGTTCCAAAGTAGCAGGTAAAAAACTACTAAAACACACTTTGACCCCAGATTTCGTTGGGTAAAACAGACTATTTAAACCATGTTGAATTCAGTCCAGCAATGATCATTTTCAGAAGGTTAAATAAGTCTTTACATCAGATTGACCTTTGGTTAAACTTTGTTAAATTCTATTTCCACATTTAAATGAAGATATTAAAAAACAAAGGCTGTGTACGAAAGTCCTCCCTAATCACTAAATAGGGCTGTAAATATTAGTTACACTATTTAAATTAGTGTCCGAAAGTCTAGTGGAAGAAAAAGTACTGCATTTCCCACAATGCACCTTGAAAAGTAGTGATCATCTGTGGTCAATAGACAAGCAGCTATACCCCAGATTGCTTTTCGAGAGCTCTCCTTGCAAAGCATTATGGGATTTGTTGTTACAGCTGCCACAGCGGCGACAAATAAAGACAGAGTCACGTGACCAAAGGTGAGCGAAAACTAGTGATCTTCTGTCCGAATGGTCAATTAACTGAGTTCACTATAAAGTCCACTACACAGTCCCCACTCTAAATTGTGATTGAGGGATTTAGGGCGGAAGTTCGGACACAGCCATTGTGTGTCAGTGGGTGGCTTTCAAACCTGCTGAGAGAAGCGTTGCTGGGTCTGGATCTGGTAGTGCTCTTCCGTCGTTACCCGGGAGATACCGGCCGTGGTCGCCGATGGCAGCGATTCTACTTCCTGGATGGCTTCCATGGAAATGCTTTGGGGGAGCACCCGGAAGAGTGAAGTCACGTACATGATGATGCTCTTCTTGTCAGGATGCGAGACCGCCACATCTATAAAACACAGAGCGTGAGTAAATACATCAAATATGACAAACACTAACTTGTTGCTCTATGGCAGGCATCCCCAAAGTCGGTCCTCGCGGGCCGCTGTCCTGCAGGTTTAAGGGGTTTCCCTGCTCCAGCACAGCTGATTAACATTGATAGTTGATTAACAGGCTTTTGCTGAACTGCAATCATCAGAATCAGCTGTGCTAAAGCAGAGAAACCTCTAAAACCTGCAGGACAGCGTCGCTCGAGGACCGACTTTGGGGATGCCTGCTCTATGGCATCATAATGCTGACTGATGGAAACTATCTACGTAAAACAGAACTTTTAAAAATATATTATTGGTTTGTGCTCTGTTGTACCAGTGGAGCTTCAAAAAAAAGAAAACAAATCTTAGCATATAGGTTGTAAAAACAGTGTACTACAGGCTCATCACTAGTGGAGCCAATGAGAAAACTTTGATAAACTCCCGATTACTTTACAAAATAAGAAGCAAGTCACAAAGTATGTTCGAACTTAGGGGCTTGGTCCTTTAAAGTCATCGACAGCAACTGATGAGCTGTAAATTGGGACAGTCTAGCCTTTAGCAACCGTCCCAACCAAGGGTCTATAAGGGTCATATTATTGTTAATGAAAAACTAACAAAATAAACTAGAATTTTCAAAAACATTCTTTAACAAAAAAAAAAAAAAATTGCCTATCTTAATTAGAGAATACCAAACTAATAAAAATTAAAATCATTTTAAATGTGCTTAGTTTGTGTTTGTCACATTATCTTAATGCATTAATGAGGCCTAGTTTCTGTTTGCACTTTTTTCCCCTGTACTGCATTATGTATATTTTTTTTCTTTTTACATAACCTTGGTATGTGAGTTGCATTACATTTAAAAACAAATTAAAACTAAATCAATTCAATCTAAAACAAAATAGAAAATCAGAAGTCTAAAAAAAGTCATTTAGATAAAGATGGGGGTTTTAATTTTCATTACTAATAGAAAATATGTAAAAAAATCAGGTTTTGATTATTTTCAAAGAGCTGAAGAAAAACATTGCATATGCGTATCATGTTCAAACAAAGTTAGATGTTTAAGGAATTAAATTTGTTTGAGAAATTCAGACCATTTAATCCAGACAGAACTCTGGTTATCCAGCTAATCTAAAACATCTTTTATGATTCTTCCTCTTAAAGAATCATAGGTTGTGTCCGAATGTCCGCCATAATCACTATATAGGGCACTATATAGTGGTTATGGCTATGGGTGCACCGATTGCAGTTTTCCGGCCGATTTCCGATCACCGATCTTTAAAAAGTCTGACCTGCCGATTCCGATTTTTGGTTGATACCGATTTTATTATTTTTTTGCTATAACCAACACTGTGTTACAAGATCGCAATTCACTTTCAATGTTACAATCTTTCTTGGAAAACATGCCCTTGAACAATAGCCTTGAACCATTATAAACTTGTTTTAACTGCCCATGAGGTAGAGCCTTGACATAGAAATGAATTAAATAATAAATATTATATAAAACAAACTTAAGACTACAACATTGGTCTTTTGATTTTTTACATTTTAAAAACCAACCTTCAACAAAAGATCAGAAAAAATATGGAATAGAAACTGATTTTAAGACACTCGCGGAGGTAAATAGATCGGTGGTTAAGATCGGTTTCATATGTAAATATCGGCCGATCACCCTAAATTAAGGAAATCGGGGCTGATCGATTGGCCAGCAGATTTATCGGTGCACCCCTAGTTATGGCATTTTAAATGAGTGTCCGAAAGTCTAGTGGATGAAAAAGTAGTGGACTAAAAATGTCCCACAATGCACCTTGAAAAGTAGAGATCATCCATGGTTACTAGACGAGCCGATATATCCAAGAATGCTTTGGGAGGATAGCTCTCCTATCCTAATTAAAAAATGTCTTATTAGATCAATATACATTCATAATTTAGGAATTTTACATATTTTTGATTTAATTTAAGCTAAAATTATAGTTTTCTATAAAATCTGAATTAGAACAGAGAAAAACTGATGAATTCAGCTTTTTTTTTTATAAAAAAAACAAAACATTCAACAGATGAAAACTGGGATCCTATCTAAATACCACTGAAGCTATCACCTTATTGGTTTTAAATAATTAGTAAAACAGAATTTGTAAAGAAAACAAATGAAATAGATCCAAAGGACCTATCAGTAACCATGTCTGTTCCTCTGCATATCATCATTAGAATTTCTTTAAAAATGATGTCGGACATGATCTACGGGGGCCCCCTTTGGCCCCTGTCTAGAACCGCCCATGGATGAAAAGTTTTTTCTTGGTCAAATCACAAGCAAAAAGACCTTGAAGAAAATAAATAAATAGAAAAGATGAAACTTCAAAAGAATGCAAACCCACCACTAAGTGATCTAACAGGCTGCATAAATCAGGCCGTCCTTCAGCTGCTACAGTCACTTTCCTCCTATTTTTCTCATGAATCACTGCAGGCCATTGTTTAGGCTGCTTATTATCTTCCACAGCATTGAGTATGTGTCAGTCAGCCTCCTTGCACTGAACCTTACAGCTGAATTAAGTCTGAGGAGTGATTTTTTTAAACAGAAGGCTGCAGGTATAAAGGAACAGCTTTGTTTTGTTTTCTGATTTAAGAAAGGATGCGAAGAGCCCGTGGACATGCTAGTCTACCAGGTGCAAAAGTAAAAGAGACAGATCGCAGCATATCACCCAAATGAACATGTAATGAGATGGAGATGCCAAGGAAAACAAGACAGATGAAAACACTGGGGCTGAGGAGAAAGGGGAAACGGTTTGTGTTATTCTCTTTATCCCAGCCTGACAGTTTTGATTAACAGAGCAAATCGATCCGGGAGACTGTCAAGAATTGATGGCACAGACGTCCCGGTGTGTTCTTTTCTCTCCTCTAGTGTCCAAATCAAAATAGCCTCAGCGTTCGGGGAGGTCTCTTTTTACTCTTTACCTCTCAGGCAGTTTGATCCTCACAACTTAAAGTCTGACGCATCAGACTACAAACGGGCCAATTACAGCCACCAGCTGCAGGGCGAGCTTCGTTTCTATTCTTCTCTACAGTAACTGATGATGGGTGTGGATTTGTTCACCGCCTCTGTGGTGGCTACCTTCGGGGTCCAGCAGTCTCTCTATGCCCATGTGCTGTTCTGCCTTGCTAAAGGCGTGTTCCAGTCTGTCGATCGCAGACGTCTTCTTCTCCACCGCGCTCCAATCAAACAGCTCCGGCCTGGAGAAAAGCGAGAGAAAACTTTTGGTACATTTACTCCAGCTAAACAAAAACAAGGAGTGAAGATATAATTGTGTAATTATTCAAATAATTGAGCTCAATGTTTTAGAAAAGTTTTTTTAATTCCAGCTTTAGCTGATTGACACCTTAGATATCTAGGTGCTTCTCCGACAAGGTTCCCATTTATGAAAAAAAAAAAAAAAGGGCCCACAGCATCATAGATCTTTAAGTTTTAACAAGCTTTAGGTCAGAACCACCTGACCCAAACACAGAGTTCCAGTTCCAGAGATTTAAGCCTTTTTAATGAATCAGATCACGCCACAGCAACGAGACATTCATTTTAATGGTTTTAGTGCTTCTGATACCAAAGATGTGTGGTTCTAAAGTGGGGGTCACATAATAGTTTTCACCATCATTGTAATGTCATATAAATGTTCCGTAAAATAAATATACAGGTGCTGGTCATAAAATTAGAATATCATGAAAAAGTAGATTGATTTCAGTAATTCCATTTAAAAAGTGAAACTTGTATATTATATTCATACATTACATACAAACTCATATATTTCAGATGTTTATTTTGTTTAATTTTGATGATTACAAATGACAACAAATGAAAATCCCAAATTCATCATATCAGAAAATTAGAATATTACTGAAGACCAATAAAAACAAAGGATTTATAGAAATGTTGGCCAACTGAAAAGTATGAACATGAAAAGTATGAGCATGTACAGCACTCAGTATTTAGTTGGGCCTCCTTTGGCCTGTATTACTGCAGCAATGCGGCGTGGCATGGAGTCGATCAGTCTGTGGCACTGCTCAGGTGTTATGATAGCCCAGGTTGCTCTAATAGTGGCTTTTAGCTCTTCTGAATTGTTGGGTCTGGTGTATTGCATCTTCTTCTTCACAATACCCCATAGATTTTCTATGGGGTTAAGGTCAGGAGAGTTTGCTGGCCAATTAAGAACAGGGATACCATGGTCCTTCAACCAGGTACTGGTAGCTTTGGCACTGTGTGCAGGTGCCAAGTCCTGTTGGAAAATGAAATCTGCATCTCCAAAAAGTTGGTCAGCTGCAGGAAGCATGAAGTGCTCTAAAACTTCCTGGTATGTGGCTGCGTTGACCCTGGACCTCAGAAAACACAATGGACCAACACCAGCAGATGACATGGCACCCCAAACCATCACTGACTGTGGAAACTTTACACTGGACTTCAAGCAACGTGGATGAAGTGCCTCTCTTCTTTTCCTCCAGACTCTGGGACCTTGATTTCCAAAGGAAATGCAAAATTTACTTTCATCAGAGAACATGACTTTGGACCACTCACCAGCAGTCCAGTCCTGTTTCTCTTTAGCCCAGGCAAGATGCTTCTGACGCTGTCTGTGGTTCAAGAGTGGCTTGACACAAGGAATGCGACAGCAGAAACCCATGTCTTTCATACGTCTGTGTGTGGTGGTTCTTGAAGCACTCACTCCAGCTGCAGTCCACTCTTTGTGAATCTCCCCCACATTTTTGAATGGGTTTTGTTTCACATTCCTCTCCAGGGTGCGGTTATCTCTCTTGCTTGTACACTTTTTTCGACCACATCTTTTCCTTCCCTTCGCCTCTCTATTAATGTGCTTGGACACTGAGCTCTGTGAACAGCCAGCCTCTTTAGCGATGACCTTTTGTGTCTTGCCCTCCTTGTGCAAGGTGTCGATGGTCGTCTTTTGGACAACTGTCAAGTCAGCAGTCTTCCCCATGATTGTGTAGCCTATAGAACTAGACTGAAAGACCATTTAAAGGCTTTTGCAGGTGGTTCGAGTTAATTAGCTGATTAGAGTGTGGCACCAGGGGCCATCAATTTTGAACCTTTTCACAATATTCTAATTTTCTGATATGATGAATTTGAGATTTTCATTTGTTGTCATTTGTAATCATCAAAATTAAACAAAATAAACATCTGAAATATATGAGTTTGTATGTAATGTATGAATATAATATACAAGTTTCACTTTTTAAATGGAATTACTGAAATCAATCTACTTTTTCATGATATTCTAATTTTATGACCAGCACCTGTATAAATACAATGCATTAAGTTATGTAATGCATGATTTGGATTTTAGATAAAATATACAGAATGTAAAATTAAATGATTAATTGTCATAATAAAAAAATTAAATAAATGTAAAATAATAAATTGAAAAGGTAATGCTTTTAAAATGCATTAATTTATATAATTGATGACTTAAATGTTAGCTATAAGAAATTAAAAAATGTAATGTCCTGAAAAAAACTTTAAATATAAACAAATTTGATCTATTTATTTATTTGACATGCAAGTTAAATACTTGATATACAAAGAAATTGTAAAATACAAAGTTAAAAACTTAACTATACATTTAAAATCATCAGTGTTTAAATAAATGTATGTTTTTGTTAGAAATTTCAAAATTTGAAATATACCAAATAAAAAAACTAGATTTCAAATCAAAAATTAAATCAAATCAAATCCAATTACTTGTTTATAGCTTTCATGATTCAAATATTAGATTCACCAATAAATTAAAACATGGAAACCAAGGTTTAAATAGTTTTGCAATCTTCAGTTGTTGTTTTATTTTATGGTGTTTTGATCTAAGCATTTGCATTCTATGTTAGTTTTAATTCCTTTTTTGTATTTGTTATCTAGTTTAGTTTAGCTTTTTCCTTTTTTAAATGCTTAGTTTCAGTTTAGCTTTATTTAGGTACAGTTACAGTTTCTGTCTTTTATGTAATAGGACTGACATACCGGCAGCAAGACTAAAATATATAAATACATTAAATAAATACATTTCCAGATCAGCACTGACGGCTAAAGCAATACCAATGACCTGACCACCGTACTGCCATCTGCTGGCGTAATGCTACTGACATCTGTCTTTAGGAAGTAGGTTTTTAGATGACCTTCAGGCCTAAGTAGCAGTTATTGAACAGTCTGACACAAAGATGAGGTCGAATTGTTCAGAACGATACAGTTACGTCTTTCACTTTATACACAGAAGCACTTCCTGTCTTGAAGCATCTTTATTTCAGTGTGAAATTTAGTTTTTAATTCATTTTCATTTACATTTGTGGCAAGTAACAGCTTACGGACGACGTTAGAAAGAAACGGCTCCTACATAGGACCTATAGTTTTGGGCTTTTCTAACAGAGTAAGGAAGTATGGCTCACTCTGCTCCAACCCAATGATTTCCAACGTTGGGTTCTTGACCCAATTTGGGTCCTTGATGAACTAATATGGGGTCTTAAAATTCTCCAGATTAAACCAAAAAAAAAAAAAAAATGCATTTCAAAGAGGTTAAATATATAAAAGCATCACATAAAAATGGACAAACCAACTACTTTGGTTGTTGATGCTGTTTTTACCATCATTACAGCCGTGGTTTGTTGATTTTGTATAAACGTTTGTATGTTAAACCAACAGTTTGGGTTCAACTGGAAATGTTTTGATGGTCAGCAGCTGAAAACTTGGGGAACTTCTGATCCAGCCAAAAGGTGTCGCTAGTGCTGGGTTTCCAAGATTAAAATAATACTTTAGGATCTCTTTAAAAACACTGAAAAGTGGCCAGAAAGTATAACTGGAATCCCACATATATTCAAAAATTATCTCACCTCCTTAACTGCAAAACACACATTGCGATAAAGATTCTACCCATTACTGTTTTTAGTTCTAGATTTGTTCCATGTGCCTTTTTATGGTGAAATTCCGTTTTTAAATATGCTACTGAAACAAAATTGATATTTTCACTGATAGGAAAGAAAACAGTTTGCACATTGATTATTCAGTAATTTTGCAAATTACTTCAATATATCACCTTTATACAACCCTACTAGATTAATTAGAGAGCAAAGCTTTTTGACACCATGAGTAAGGGGATGAACAACTTAAGGGACCTTATATTATGAATTCATAAATAGTGTAAATTGGAGATAAAGTTAAATAAATGACTAAATTGTAGTACATTTTATTTTTCTCAAATATACATAGCTGTATATTAAGGGTCTCTATTTAACTTGAGTTTCAATAAAGAGCCTGGAAAATGTTTAATTTCTGATATGATAATCTAGATTTAAAGAAAAAGGTTTCGAGATGTATGGAAAACTGTTTTCAACTAAAATCCTAATTTATTATCATTAACTTTAAAGTAAACTAAGCCTTTACTTGTCTCCTTCAGTGGCTCTTTGTAAATTTGTTTTCAACACAAACATTAAATTTTTGCTCCAACATCTTTGTTCCTCTCCAGCTTCCGAACACAAACACGTCTTTCTACTGTACCTGTGGCTGTGGATGAGGGCGTTGAAGGCCAATCCATCATTCCAACTACTGGAGAAGTTAACCACATTCACCTGAGGACAGAAACAATATAAAAACTAAAGAGCCAGAGTGTGAATGCAGCAAAACAACCTGCAGAGTAAACTGTGTCCCTGAAGCACAGCGACTCATTCAATTGAAGACAGAGAGCTTTAAAGCGGTGAACAGAAAATAATACAAAGGTTTAAAATACTCTGAAAAGCAAAGAGCAGGATGTCAAAGAGATGTTCATTATGCTCAGTCTATTACAACAACTGCTTGTGTGGTGAAAACATCCTATAAAGCCACTTTTTCCACTGTGGGGATTTTCAGCCCTTACCAGAGCTCCTGAAAGATGTTATTTTTTTCGCTTAATTTTAAGGAATTTCACTTTTCAGAAGTGAAAAGATTAAAATTATGGATTCTAGATTACCCCGGGACTGTCAAAGCCCTTTATTATTATTATTATTACTTAAAAAGAAGCACAATGTAGGAGATAATTGTTTAAAAACAGACTTTGATGTATTACACTTTCTGCAAATCAAAAGAAAGTATTATAATGTTTTTAGAAATTTTAGCTCTGTCAAACTGAAATATCCATTAAGTTTTAAGGAAACTGCTCAACTACTTCATTCTTGATGATGACTGATGACTGCAGCAGTGTCGTCACATGTCTGCGTAATCTTTGGTCAGATCTAGAACGCTGCTGCCTGGATCCTCACTAAAACTAATGTTCAGACCGCACACTATTGAAGCAGCTAGTTTACATGCAAAGTCAATAGTTGATGCGCATCGAGGCGCATCAAAAGGTCTTGCAGCGCGTCTCGAGCAGCAAGGGCAGCGCATCATGACGCATCGAAGCAGCTGCAGTAGTGCCTCATGAGCATCTTACGCAAGTGATGCGCATCACAAGCACCAGCTGCTGGAGTTGGAGAAATTTAACTTTTGATGCTCGACGCGCCACATCAACCAATCAGAGAAGCTGTTCTGGGAGCTGGCAGGGAGACAGACACAGCACTGCTGATGCAGATAGCTATGATCACTCCCATGAAACTGTTTAGAAACTCCTAAATTAAGTTAGAATGTCGAAACCTGACCGCAAAGTATGTTTATTTTTATTATCCTGGTGCCTGCAGTTTGGATTACGTACATGAAAACCGCTAACAACTCCTTCCAGCCGCCACGAACAGTAACAAAAAAACCCTAGAGGGGAGTCGGCCAGAGGCTGCCATTGAAGGGGATTTCCAGTGACAGCAGTAAACTAGAGACTGACACGGGAGTGGATTTTCACTCCTGTCCCGTCCCACTCCCACAGAAAAAAAATTGTGTCCCGTCCCGATCCAGGGCCAGAGTAGAAACCTAAATCCTGTCCCGTCCCACTCCTGGTGAAATTACTCCCACTCCCATCCCACTCCCATTCAGAATGACTCCCACTCCTGCACCACTCCCATTCTTGTTTTTGAGCGCGGGTGAAAAACTCTGAGCGGAAGCACTGTTGGTTTTTGGGTCGTGTCGTTTTTTTTTGACTCGCATTATAGTGTAGGCTTCAAGAAAAAAAACTACAAAATGGCGGCGCCAGTACTGGATTTTTTTTCTTTCTATTTTATTTTATTTTTTGGCATCGATCCTCGTTTTTTTAGTTACTATTGGTTTTGCTCCCACTCCCGTCTGCTCCCATTAATGTTTAATCCTGTACCGTCCCAATCACGTGATCGTTACTAATATTGACTCCCATCCCACAGGAATCCCGTGACCCGTGGGATTCCCAAAAAAATGTCAGTCTCTACAGTGAACTAACTGAATAGATAAAGATTTTGGGGTGACGTTCTTACTTAAAAACATATTAAAGCTATTTTTTAGTCACTTATAACAGCAAATATAGAAAACCCGCTCTCTGCTATTGAACGCAGGAGCTGCAGAACATCAAAAGAAACTTTACTGGATGCTGAATAAAATTAAGCTGTAGAAGCTTTTTTGCTGTTTCTATCGTGTGCAGTCTGAACATGGCATAGGAAAGGACATCACCTCAGTTTAATCAAGATTGAGAACTTGTTTAGAGTGAGCTTTAGTTGTGTTATCTAAGCATTGGTTAAGTTTTTAGTCCAATTTCTTTCATTTTATGACAAGTATCTTTATATCTCACATTTTTTTAATTATTTAATTACCTTTATCCATATGCAAAGTACAGGTGCTGGTCATAAAATTAGAATATCATGAAAAAGTAGATTGATTTCAGTAATTCCATTTAAAAAGTGAAACTTGTATATTATATTCATACATTACATACAAACTCATATATTTCAGATGTTTATTTTGTTTAATTTTGATGATTACAAATGACAACAAATGAAAATCTCAAATTCATCATATCAGAAAATTAGAATATTGTGAAAAGGTTCAAAATTGATGGCCCCTGGTGCCACACTCTAATCAGCTAATTAACTCGAACCACCTGCAAAAGCCTTTAAATGGTCTTTCAGTCTAGTTCTATAGGCTACACAATCATGGGGAAGACTGCTGACTTGACAGTTGTCCAAAAGACGACCATCGACACCTTGCACAAGGAGGGCAAGACACAAAAGGTCATCGCTAAAGAGGCTGGCTGTTCACAGAGCTCAGTGTCCAAGCACATTAATAGAGAGGCGAAGGGAAGGAAAAGATGTGGTCGAAAAAAGTGTACAAGCAAGAGAGATAACCGCACCCTGGAGAGGATTGTGAAACAAAACCCATTCAAAAATGTGGGGGAGATTCACAAAGAGTGGACTGCAGCTGGAGTGAGTGCTTCAAGAACCACCACACACAGACGTATGAAAGACATGGGTTTCTGCTGTCGCATTCCTTGTGTCAAGCCACTCTTGAACCACAGACAGTGTCAGAAGCATCTTGCCTGGGCTAAAGAGAAACAGGACTGGACTGCTGGTGAGTGGTCCAAAGTCATGTTCTCTGATGAAAGTAAATTTTGCATTTCCTTTGGAAATCAAGGTCCCAGAGTCTGGAGGAAAAGAAGAGAGGCACTTCATCCACGTTGCTTGAAGTCCAGTGTAAAGTTTCCACAGTCAGTGATGGTTTGGGGTGCCATGTCATCTGCTGGTGTTGGTCCATTGTGTTTTCTGAGGTCCAGGGTCAACGCAGCCACATACCAGGAAGTTTTAGAGCACTTCATGCTTCCTGCAGCTGACCAACTTTTTGGAGATGCAGATTTCATTTTCCAACAGGACTTGGCACCTGCACACAGTGCCAAAGCTACCAGTACCTGGTTGAAGGACCATGGTATCCCTGTTCTTAATTGGCCAGCAAACTCTCCTGACCTTAACCCCATAGAAAATCTATGGGGTATTGTGAAGAAGAAGATGCAATACACCAGACCCAACAATTCAGAAGAGCTAAAAGCCACTATTAGAGCAACCTGGGCTATCATAACACCTGAGCAGTGCCACAGACTGATCGACTCCATGCCACGCCGCATTGCTGCAGTAATACAGGCCAAAGGAGGCCCAACTAAATACTGAGTGCTGTACATGCTCATACTTTTCATGTTCATACTTTTCAGTTGGCCAACATTTCTATAAATCCTTTGTTTTTATTGGTCTTCAGTAATATTCTAATTTTCTGATATGATGAATTTGGGATTTTCATTTGTTGTCATTTGTAATCATCAAAATTAAACAAAATAAACATCTGAAATATATGAGTTTGTATGTAATGTATGAATATAATATACAAGTTTCACTTTTTAAATGGAATTACTGAAATCAATCTACTTTTTCATGATATTCTAATTTTATGACCAGCACCTGTACTTTCTTCTCTGTTTTGACCAGTTTTTTCATATAAAGGGCTATACATTTTCCGTGTAAATTCTCATTCATCCGGGTCATAGCGAACACAAACAGGCTTAAATAGGAAGGCAACAGGAAGTTCCATCATTTTTTAAATACTTTTCAGTACCTATCCATTGGTCTTTGTCAGTTCTGTGGGCTCGCACCAGAGCAAACTAGTTGGAGCGGCGATTTACATAGGCAGCATGAAGCATCTCACATTCCACATGACATGCTTATTAATTAGCCGCCTCTTGTTCTCCTGGACTGTTGGAGTCTTTTGCTCTGTGATTGGTCTCTTGAATCATAATGGGAGATCTCATGTAATTTAGTTCCATGACTAAATTGTAATTGCTTAAAAGCTGAAACCGCAATCCTCCACCTCTGTTCAGTAATAGCTTCTCTTTTAACCAAGATGGTTTCCTTAGTCCCTTTTTGAGGACAGATTGTTTAAAATATATTAATAAACTTGCCCCTGTGTTCCTGTTTTAATACAGCAATAGTCATTTAGCAACAATTTTTTGTGATTTTTCAAACCATCTTGGACTTTTCCCATTTCTTCCAAGTGTTGCTCATTGCAGGACCAGTTAATGTTGGGTAGCGCTGAATCCGCTAGAGTTCCATTAATCCACTCCATGGTCAGTCTATTGCACTGGTAGGCAGTGTTGGGCACGTTACTTTGAAAAAGAAATTAGTTATAGTTACTAGTTACTTCTCCCAAAAAGTAACTGAGTTACTGAGTTACTCCACGATAAAAGTAACTAGTTACTAGTAAAAGTAACTATTGCGTTACTTTTGCGTTTCTCGCCCCCGTAACCCTCACCACCCAGCCCCCACCTTCTCGCGGTGTGTTTCCAAAGCCAGCTGAATAGAGCGGACAACAAAGACAAGAACCTGCAGAGAGTTTAGCATTTATTGCAACTCAATGTAAATGACATCAGGGGGAACGCCATGTGAAGTTTTTTAACAGGGCATTCAGATCTGGTGAAATTAATAACTGGAACCCCAGTCGGCCTCAGCAGATGGCCGCTCACACTGAGCCTGGTTCTGCTGGAGGTTTCTTCCTGTTAAAAGGGAGTTTTTCCTCTCCACTGTCGCTACAAGCATGCTTAGTGTGAGGAATTGCATTTGAGTCAATGAGTCAATGCAATCAACTGGTTTTCCTTAGATAGAAAACTTTGTATCAATTTGACTGTATGATCTGGTTGAACTGTAAAGTGCCTTGAGATGACATGTGTTGTGAATTTGGCGCTATATAAATAAACTGAATTGAATGTCTAATTTTGAAATCCTGTGTGTTTGGGTTGTTATAGATACTGCAACATCTATCTATCTATCTATCTATCTATCTATCTATCTATCTATCTATCTATCTATCTAGTGTGACATAAAATATGGATCTCCATCCCTGCCACAAAGGCCATCAAATAACGTTTAAAATAAAAAATACAGTAGGTTGAGAAGGCAGAGTATCCATCCATCCATCCATCCATCCATCCATCCATCCATCCATCCATCCATCCATCCATCCATCCATCCATCCATCCATCCAGATTTCTCCCTTTCTCCATATAGGCTATCATTTCTGGCTGTTGTCAGGTTAGTCATTTGATCGTTCACGCTCTCCTGTGGCACGAGCACAGGGCGACTGTTGCGCGCCTTTAGCGAGCATGCGCGTTTCCTGTCGCTTGCGCGGTGACTCGTGCCGCCTGCGCTGTGCGGAGATGCAGGGGAAACCGTATCTGATAGCAGCTCGACGTAACTCCGGTATTTCCATCAGGAAAACGCTGTTTTGCTGCTGGAGTCATCCTCACTCTCCATCTCTCTGTGTGTGCTGTACGTTAACACCCACCAGCAGAAACACCCACCTACCCAACTGACAGACGGAATCTCACTGTACATCAGCCATTCTCATCCTCCCCTCTCTCATGACAAGGCGCGCACCTCTGGATGACCTAAAAAAATTATCTTTAATATCTCTTAAACAAAAGTAGCACAAACAATATTTTTTTCTGCATAAATCTGCTCTAACGTTGCACTAACCATTCAGTCTATTTGCAGAGTTTTTTTTGACGTGGGTGGGGTGTCAGCTTCACGCAGCTGCGCACGAGTCCTATCATGAAAAAAGGTTCATTGTGCGACCTGAGTAACGCGCAGTAACGGGGTGTCTGCAATGGTAACTGCGTTATAGTTACAGTCAAAGTAATTAGTTAGATTACTCGTTACTAAAACAAGGTAACGGCGTTAGTAACGCCGTTACTTTCAACGCCGTTAGTCCCATCACTGCTGGTAGGGCTACGGATAATAATAGCTTAGATGCTGATAGTAACAGTGTTTCCAAACTGCTGCTCTTAAAACCATGTCACTTACTTTGGGGGTTTAAGCACCGTTTAGAGAAGTAGTCTTCAATGTTTTCCAGGCCAAGGACCCCTAAACTGATGGAGAGATGGAGCGGGGACCCCCTGATTATATATATTGTATGAAATTGTGTTATAAACTGGTCCTATAGTCACTGTATTACAGATGAAGTAATGAAACAAAAATAATTTCTCCCTGGGATTATTAAAAGTATTTCTGATCCTGATTCCTGGTTGATGGGGCAGGTGTTGTGAATGAAACGGTGCCCAGTTTGAAAGAGCTCCTGTGTGTCGCTGAATGTGTGCATTGATGACTGATTTATCTGTTTACTACAGTGTGTTGAATTCATGTTAATGTGGATTTAAAGACATTTCAATTACTTGAAAAAAATGCAGGGGGGGAAATATAAAAAACAGTCTAATCAACCAAAACTTTCACGACCCCGATGCAGTACCTCCGTGGACCCCTTGTTGAAGACCTCCGGTTTAGAGAATTAACTTGCATTATATTCCTTAACATGTTTTCAACCAAAAACTGTGAACTGGGACCATAGATTAACAGCACATCTCAAAACATTTACCATCACATTATCCATTTGTCACATGAGCGATGTTAGCCAATAACAAATAACTGATAGCGAGGATTTAAAGGCACATAACACACCAGGAGCAACACACATCTCGCTCACATACAACATAGCTTTAGCCGGCTGCTGTGCTGAATTGACGACTCTTTTGATGAGGTCTGTAAGAAGTGAATATCTATGAACTGGGAGGCTACAAATGAATTGCATACAAGGACCAATAAAGCTGTCTCACTTTGGCTGGATGTGGATTGATGCTGCTTAAGAAGCAGCAGAGAAGAAGCACTCCGATTGCTGCAGTCAGACATTATTATACAGTCAAAGTGGTGGTTTGATCTCAATTACATGGGTTTAAAAGGTAGAAAAGAGGAAGACCTACTTGATGCATATACTTAATCAAAGCTTTATTATTTGTATCTTAATGATTGAGGTTTAGAGACAAACATTGTCCAATCTGTCCCCTGAGCTTTAAAAAAAAAAAGAAAATAGAGGAATGTCAAACCATAAATTAAAACTACAGCTGAAGAAGGCTTTAAGTGGAACTTTGTAAAAATGGTTATGACAAAATGTGCAAAACTTCAACTCATCTATGATTCTAAAAAAACAGTTGAATCCAAATAATGTCAAATTTTAGATTTTAAAAGTGGCATTCTTTTTTATTAACTTATTGCGTGACAGAAAAAAAATTGTAGATTAAATATATCTTAGCCCTGAATTTACTTTTATTTCTTCTTAAAGAGTCATTAAGAACTTCATTGCCAAACAATAAATATTCAAGGCATGGAAATTCTGCATAAAGCAATTTTTTCACCATAAATAATGAAAAATAAATACCTGAGGATATTGCCGTGTGTTCTGACGAACCCAACTCAGCAGAATCTTCTCACTGTTGGTCTGCTGTAGGCCCGCCATCACATCCTTCATCACATCCTTTACCTGAACACACAGAACAAGCAGCGCACAATTAGAATCACAGGCTGAGGTAAATTCCTACGAAAACCCAAAGAAAAACAATTGTTGACACAATTGTGTACACAGAGAGACTTCTAATACCAAAGCCTGGAACTGAGACCTGAATCTAGAGGAGTTAGGAGGGTGGAAGCTTTAGAATATCGGAAACATCCTATCTATCATGTCATTATCTATAAGAAATGCATGATCAGTTCATATTTGATCTAAAGAAACCAACTTTGAACCTTATTTTCTCATCCATGTCGGGCAAAGAGCAAACTTCCATCACTACCCTCCATCAAAGTCAGAATCGATATTTCTACAGGCTGAGCTAAGCTGGCACTAGGGTTGTCAAAAGTATCGATACTCAAAAAAGTATCGATACTAAAACGTTGTATCCGGATACGATACTCGTTTTTAAAAGTATCGATACAGTGCTACCACCAGTGGCACCTAAGCAGTCATTCATCTAAAGTGCAGAATAGATGAAAATGCACTTTCTGAACACTGTGTGATTGAATAATTCTGTGCACTTTTCAGTTTCAGACTTTTTTTTTTGTAAGAGGTGCAGCTGCTGAGAATTATTTTTGTTTCTTAACCGGTTTGGCTAGTGTCATTGCTATGTGTGCAAAATATAGCCAAGGAAGGAACACTTAATTTTAGTTTTGTAAGTTTTTATCAAGCTTGCTTAATATTGTGCACAGCAAACAACCTCAAAAATATTGTTCTTATTGTTTATTGTATTTATTTATTGTATTTTATTTATTAATGAAAATATTTCTGTTGAATTTTGGAGACTTTGTTTTTATCCTTGTGGTATCGAAAATGGTACAGAGTATCGAATATTTTCCTTAGTATCGGTATTGAGTTGAAAAGTTTAGTATCGTGACGACCCTAGCTGGCACGCCTACAAACACGGCCATCCAAGAGCCACAGTCATTTCTTTGCAGGAGGTTCTCCACATTCTGTTGATAGTGGTTCTATTTATGAGCCAAATCAAAGCAATTCAGTAAACATTTAAATTTTCGATCCTTCGCCAGCAGGAGCTGTTGTTAGCGCGCCATGTTTTCCCGCACTGATCTTGCCGCATAGATTAAGTTTTTCTTGATCTGTGGTGCAAATTCAGTCCAAATGTGCGCCCCAAGTGACGTAATTTGACTCTGCAAACATGTCAAACACAAACTAAGCTTTAATCATTTAAACTGTTTAAAAAGCTTAATTAGGCGGTTAATCAAAACCAAGTCAATGGCAATTCAAACAGAAAGTGGAGGTTGGAGACAGTGACCCATCAGGATTGGTCCTTTAATCAGGATGGAAAAGGTAAAGCACGTTTAGATAAAGACATGAAAGAAGATATAATAAAGCAGCATTTCACCTAAACTGCTCTTTTTATTTGCTTATATAGCGATTTGGTTAATAACAGAATTCTTAAAGAAGCTAATTGTGCCTAATCTCACTGTCACTTAAATAACTACCAAAAACTGGATGTGATTGGGTCTGCAGGACGGTTAAAATATTCCCAAACTCATTTCTCTACAAAGCAGAACCCGCTCAGCTAAAGGACACTTCTATAGGCATAAATCTGTGCTGCAGGCTGTGTTTGCAAACATTCTCTATGGGAGCATTTCTGGCAGGTGTGAGTGACAGTTTTGGAGCACTCATTTGAACTCGAGCAGAAACAAAGTATTATGCTTTTCTCTTTAGCTAAAACATGTGAATTCAACCATAAATGCACAGGAGGATCTCTTTCAGTATGTATTTCCCCATACTACCTTTTCAATTTTCATTCATTATGATCTGTGGATTGTCAGGATAAATAAAAAAAATCTTTTTTTTCTGAATGTTAAAATAGAAGAGAATGTTTTATATTGGGTTTTTCAGAATTAGTTATGTTGCCTGAATGTTTCCTGTTTCTTAGGTTTCAAGTAAGCTGATGAAAATCTCCCACTGTGGGATTATAAAATTCTAAATATATATAAAAAAAAAAAAAAAATGTTAGGAACACAAAAACAGGTAAAGAGCAGACAAACAAAAGCAAACTAAACCAGAAAAGCCAACATTGAAAAAATAATAAAAGGTAACATTTTCCATAGTTCTGGTGAAAGGAGAAAACTCAGTCACTGCTATGCTCTCATTCATGGGCCCACTTAAAAGTTGGACTAGAGCCATTAAAAGTTTATTTCGTCCAGTATTAATTTTATAGAGCTAATCTAAATGATCTGTAATAAAATTTCACAATGATGACATGGCCAGAACAGTTTGGATGGGTCAGCTCATTTGAGTCAGCTGGAAAAAGCTGGACTTTACCACTTATTTATTCTGAGCTTTCAAGTCAAAATCAGTGCCCAGTTATGCCAAAAACTAAATGAAACAATTAATCGATGTTAAATTTATATCAAACATATCAAAGGACCTAAAACTGAACATTGTCGAATTCGCAATAAGTCTTATGGTCCATTTGCAAACATGAACCTGACAATTTTCCAATTTAGGTGGATTTGGCTCGTCTGACATTTCACCAGAAATTGGCCTAGCTTCTAAAAGGAATTTGCATGGCAGGTGAAAGGCATCAACACACCATCAAGCCTTCTGGTTGTGGGTTTCACCTCCACATGGTGCACAGGGATTTTACGGCGCGAGTTGCCAGTACTGTATTTACTTTGGAGAGCACAGCAAAGCCACCAGCATCCTTGGTACAGAGAAGTTTGGGAAGTCCAGGAGCTATGGCTGGATGATGGCTGCTTTTCAGCAAACTAGAGGTACAGTGAGACAGCGTCCTTGGGCTCAGACAGGAGCAGGGAAATAAGAGCAAAAACTCCGGTAAAGAGAGCGCCAGAACTGGGACGATGGGGCCAGCCTTGCCCCACTCTGTGGCTAATAAACCAAAGCAGTAGGCAAGCAGATCATCAGAGACAACGCAGCAGCTGGCTAAGCTCTGCGCTGGAGGTAAGGGAGGACAAAAGTCCCTCTAGGGAAAAATTAAAACGGATTTTTTTTTAAAAGCCACTTGCAGACCTCTTTAGAATATCCCCCACTTTATCATTTGAAAACAATATTTTCTTCATCTTCCATTTTGATTTAAAAAAAAAGTGTCTGTTGTCTCCTTCACAGTAGTACACAGCCACCATCTACTCCCCGATTTGTTTTTGCGATGCAAATGTAAAAAAAACATATTTTTTCCAACCCCTGCGTAGGTAGGCGAAGCAAACTTCACCACTGGCCTCACTAGAGTCACGACCTTAGCCTCGCTCCGCTTCCCTCCGCAATAAGCACAACATTTAAATCGTTCGCTCCGACAACATTTTTATTTGATCTCAGCATACCTTCACATGTAACCCCATTTGAATTCCCTGGGTTTGACCTACAGAATTTAAAAATATTCAACTCGTTTAACCCCCCACCCCACCCCCCCACCACACACACATACACACACTATCCATAAGACATTTCGTAAAATACAGTGATAATAAATAAAGAGATAATAGACGATACAAAGCCTTTTTAATGAGAAACTAATGCGGAACACAAAAACATATATTCAAATTGAACGTTTTGGTTCAAGCTTATTATTGGATATGCATTCATGAAAAAGTTGAATTTCAAAATATATGGAGAAATATAGTGTGCGACAAAATGAATGAATGTTAAAACCATACGAACCAGTTTAATATAATTTGTCTGGAGGTAAATTGTTGGTAAAATGATCCATAATTTATTCTACATTCAGACAGAGACATACAGGATTCTTTGTTAGCTCAAAGAATGTGACTGGTCAAATAAAAAGGGACTCATTAGGTAGTGGGTCACTGCATGCATTTCTGCTATAATTAGAGAGGAGTTTGACAGAGACTGCTGGATACAAAAAATAATAAAAAAGCCACAGTCACAGTGGTAGGATGCTTAAAAGATTCAGTGACGTGTGGTTTAGAAAATTCAGTCAATGTATAAATGCAGACTTTAATGTCCATCTAAGTCTAGGTTAACAAAAGCAATACCTTGACAACAGGTTTTTGCACTGATATCCTTAATGAATACAGAGAATGGAAGCTCGGAAACCCGGATATAAGGACAAACAAAGGAGTTGATCAGTAAACAGCTTCCTACCAGACATACCAAACAATTCATATAAGTAGATATTGACAAAGAGCCAAAGCTATATGTGTAGAAGATGGCATGTACTAGAAGAGACCAAAAGCATAAATAAGATTATTGACCAAACTTTGTGTACTGAGCCATAAACAGGATGGAGGGGAAAATAAAGATGAGAACAGGCCCACCCAGGGCTGATCGCCATCCATACAGGAAAAGAAACCTGTCAATAAGGAAATCAATCAACTCCTAGACATTCGACTTTCTACAAAAAAGGAAGCAGGAATTATCTCAGTACCAGACATCCAAGATTATCAATGCATTGTCTTTATTAAAATAAAGGTTTTAATTTAGCTAGGCAACTTAACTAGGCAGTTACCTATGGTCCCAAGGTCACTATAAAACTCCTCATACATGTGTTAATACAGTTATGGGTTATTTTTTTTACACATTAGTTATAGTTTTGTTTAAAATTATTTTTGCTAAAGTGCCAACATAAGTGTGTCTTCAGTCTCCATTGCATTGGATCAGTCTATCTTACTACAAATGTGCAAAAATCGATACAGGAAGACACCAGCGAAACATGAGAGCAGTGGGTAATCCAAGAAGTAATAAAAGAGGAAAGAAAAAGAAGGTAAAAATAAGTGCTGGACAGAGAAGTTTCCTATGATACTTCCACCTTTTGGCAAAACACAAAACTGCAGCACTCTTCTGCTCGTTCTCGTAGCTTGTGCCCTTATTTAACATGAGTTTTGTTTTAGAATTTTTCACCTTACCCAGAGTTGCCATTGGTGTCCAAGTGGAAGTGGGTGCCGGTAGCTTCTCCCACAAAAGCCACATTGAATATAACGCTTCGATCATTTACTCTGTCGGACCTATTTAACATTGACATGCTT